CATTTGTCGAGGCCCATTTCACCCCCTCCTCGCGGGAAGGGGACGAATGAAATCGAGCCTGTATTCTGTAATGAAAACGAGAGGGGGGGATGGATTGCCATTTCCTTTTATCGCCACAGGCCTGTCCATCTCTCTCTTTTTTTCTTATTTCACCCTCTCCCTCCCTTCTCTCTCGCTCTCTCTCTCTCTCCCTCTCGTCCCCATAGCCCTCCGTCTCACCCCCCTCTACCCTCCCTCACCTTCGTGCCTGCAAGCGGCCCTACCACCGAATCAACAATGGCCCCATCACACCTCTCGCTCCGGGGCGGTCCCTCCTCCACTGAGGTCCTCCCCCAGATGCCCTTCCCTGCCCACACCGCCCTCGACCGCCATGTCTCCCCCTCGTCATCATCATCGTCACCATCCCCAAAGCGCTCCCCCCGGCACTCAGACACATCCACAGACCCTTTCATCTCCTCCAGAAACGACTTCCAGCCCATATCCTCACAGCAACCATCCACCTCCACCAACTCCAAGCTCGACCCCTCCGTCTCCTTCGCAGCACCCTCGCCACCAAGGTCCCCCTCCTCGAAACAATCATCCAGTCTATCCTCCCAGTCCCTGGCGTCTCTCACGCCTTCCATGTCCCCGTCGTCCATCATCTCATTACAGCGGAGTGCGCGGCAAGAAAAGAGACACATCCGTGTGCCTGTAAATGACCATCACCACCAAAAGAACCACAAGCAATCCTCTCCCTCCACAGGAGCGTACATGGTCAAGGGCAGCAGCGTAAATCGCTCAGCGATGCTACAAAATAGCAGCGCTGCTCAATTCGACGAAAAGGAAAAGGAAAAGGAAAAGGAAAAGGCCGCAAAGTTAAATCGGGGTACCAACAGCAGCTCTAAAATGAGCACAAAGGGGAATCGATTCTCAAGCTGGGCTTCGTCCATTCGGCAGACGCTATCCCCTTCTTCGAAAAAGGCAGCAGTCGCCAAATCCAAGGAGGTGTCATCGGCACCAACACCATCTGCATCCAAAACACCCATATCGCCCGTATCGCCTCAAGAGTCGCCTAGCCCTGTCAAGAACGAGAAATCAAGCACAAAACCGCAAGACCATACCCCTCGCTCCAATGCCAATGTCAATGTCAATGCCAAAGCCAAAGCCAATGCTGGCACTACCAAGACTACAGAAGCAACAGTACTCAAGTCGGCCAATATCTCCCACTCAAGTACTACGACCTCATCCGGATCCACACCCTCACAGCAGCCAAGGATTCGCATACTGTTGCAAGGCCGGAGTAAGAAGATTGGATCCGGACTCATCACCGTCTTCTGCATCGTAGCCGTCGTTATCCTCATCGTCTTATGCTAAAGAACCAACACTCTCCCTACACTCCCCCTGTACATAGAATCATTTACAAATTGACATTAAAGCAAACGAGTTAACGACCCCCAGGCATTCATCAAGCGCATCCATTCCGCTTCTTTATTGTAATGCGCCTATCCGAACGTCCGAGACTCAACATTTTGCATTCCAAAATGGAAAGTCCCCCCCCCCTCAGACAGTTTAAACCGCAAAGACAGAAGACACAGAACGTGCTCCGTCAAAGATAAATGTATTGTCCATAGGGATGTACTGATGCGTGATCAACTTGATGACCTCTTGACTGACAACACCTCCAATAAACGAAGCAATGTTATGGATCGATCCGTTTCCGTAGCGACAGCTAGCATGGTGGATATGGAAATAGAAAGATGAGTTCGGCATCCAGAAGGAATTGAAGATGCGAGCGACATCACGATTCGATGCTGCCTAAAAAAAAAACAAATTTTCGTTCCGCTTACATTTCGTAAGTCAGGTCCTTCGAGATAGCGTCCTTGTCGATGCCCCAGGACTGCAGCAGTGTAGTTACGTTCGTATGCAATTGATCCACATCGTCCTCCCAGTCCTCTCCCTCGCCAGGGTATCGTCCGTGGTCATCATGGAACGAGTCCGACGCACGCAGAAGAACATAGAAAGGGAACACAGAGTCAGGGTCCGACAGCCACGATGCTAGGTTTTTCCAGATCGAATCAAAAACAATCCAGTTAATTCGTCTGACACAATCCAGTTAATTCATCTGACACAATCCCGCATTCATATTTGCCCATAGTTTAAATCGCTCATTAAAAAAACGCACAAATCTGCTTTGTCTTGGACTGATGGTATTCCTCCTCAAGGCTACGGTAGCGAATGACCTTAAGGAATGCAGAATACTTGCAGAAGCTCTCGATTTCCTGTAGCGAGATCGATCCTGGAGCCAGCCCTAAAGATTCCAACAGCGATTCGACAATCCTTGAAACCTCCTGAACATCCTGCTTTGCCTTGGTTTTGTAGCTAATTTCGTCATATATTGGAAAAAATAAATAAAGAAGTAAGATAGAGATATCAACAAGAGGTCCATATCTCAGGCGCTGCAGCATGGCAAATGGTTATCCAGCCAGTAGCCTACATGTTTTGAAGGGTCACGTAGCTGTCCGTCTGAGCTTTCATATCCGGAATGGTGCCCGAGAGCGGAAGCAGACCTCCGCTCTTTGATGGGTCGTTCACAAAGTCCCTCACCGCACGCGCGAGGATCCAAAAGTTGTCGGACTAGCGAAGAGAAATGACACCAATACATATTAGCAAAAAAAAAAAAAGCTCGAATCAATATACAGCTCCCTTATAACGTGTCTTGATCACTAGTCCATCGCCACTACCTCCACTGTCAAATTCTCGCATTTTGGATCGTTGAAAAGGTCCTTGATAGCACTTGGCACAACGGTAGGTTGACACGATCTCAAGACAGAATTAATCGCTTCTTCGAAATTCTCGTCGTCTGCGGACCGCATTCCAGACTTGATATTGGTCTTGAGTTGGTTCTTCTCTGCATATGTCGAGGGGATCATGCCGCCATGCTACAAGCAGAGAAAGATTAGGAGATGTATTAGTGAACTGAGGTAGATAAAGAGAAAAAAACCAATATATGCAAGACGCATCCAAGCACTAACCTCCTGCTTCCATTCACCCATGTACTTCAACAGGATCGCCACATAAGGGATATGACCGAACTCAAGTCCATCCTTTGTGTTGAAGTCAAATGACTTTGCGTAAGCGCTGAGTTCCGGGAATGGAGCATCGATGCGCAGATCGGCAACATTATCTGGGTGGGTCTCCACAACTGAAAAAAGAGCGGGTTAAAAATGCTTTGATCCTCGAATTGGGTATCCTTTTCAATTGCATGCCAAATGATTCCATGGTCTTACTTGCATGCTCAGGAACAGCGATTCTGGCAGCACCAATGAGTCCGACTGTCTTGACCCAAACGAACGTGGTCTTTCTCTTTCCTGCGGGACCGCCATTGCCACCGTTGGCATTAACATCTTGACCGTTTACCCAGCAAAGTCCGGCAATCTTTTCTGCGGTCTCACGCGTGACATCCGAGGCAACGACCAATGAGAACTGTGCCAGATATCCGGGGTCCTCTTTGAGAATAGTGAGAATGTCCTTGTCGACCCAATGACCCTTGACATCCTCGTTCAGCTCGCCAAGGAGCTCACAGGCACGTCTCGCCCGTGATGAACCAAGACTGTCAAAGTCGAGGAAGAAGTTGGATCCAATATCGTTTTGGGTGACGGTGCCTTGGTCGACTACGGTAAACTGGCCGATACCTAGAGACTCGTAATGACAATGTTACATGTCGTTAAGAAGACCGAGTAAAAGAGAGTACGGTGCCTTAGGTATCGCTAAAAGATATGACCTGACATTACCAGGAAGAACCAGATTCTTGAGGATCTCACAGCCGGCTGCTGTTGCGTTTATGAGAAGGATATGTGCGGACTCGAGGGCATCCTGACCACTGCTGCCCCACAATCTATACGGATGATATTAGATGACATTGGATAGCATTGGATAGCATTGGATAGAATGCCAGGTTAGAAGTGATCCGCAGTCGATACTTTGTCGCGCCGAGTTGTATTGCGCGCAAAAAAAACGACGCGTATGACATTTCATGCAGCGGTGGGGTCCGTACCTGAGCTGTCGGTCGTATTTCTGAGTTCTTGCGTCCATGTTTGTGATGCAAGTTGCTTGACGATGGAGTGGGTATTGGGGTGCTGATGAAGGAAGGAATGAGCAAGTCCTGCATGGGCGGTGCTTCAAAGGAAGGAAGGAACTCTCCGGTCTCAAGTAAGTTCGTGACTGTACTACTCCCACGGTGGGGGGCCCTTTATTTCCTTTATTGCCGCGCGGATCTTTTTCTTTGTTTCGATCCTTTTCTTTCACCACCACCATCGCCACCACCACCACCACAGCAACAACAACCGCTTTCTTTCTAATCATGTTCGCCCTTCGCACCGCCGTTGCCCGCGCCATGCCCGCCTTGGCCATGCGTGCTGCTGTCATTCCCAAGATCGCTGTCTCGCCCGCTATGATGGCTCGTGTCGGATCCGCCTCGGCCTTCCGCTCATTCTCCAACACTCCCTTGGCCTGGAGCAAGAGTAAGCACACAGGAGAAACTTTTTCACAAGCAATGAGTAGACGTACTTTATCAGTCCGATCGACTAATTTAGGCTCTTGTCTGTCTGATTGATATCTGCTAGCCGACAAGGAGCTGGTGACCGTTCTCGATAACGAGATCAAGCACGAGGAGGAGCAGAGTGAGGAAGTCCCCGACTATATCACCAACTACTTGAAGACCAGCCCCTTCCAGATCACGGATAAGGCCGGCTCGGATGAGGTCGTCTTGACTCGCAAGTTTGGCAACGAAGAGTAAGTAATTGCGCTGGACTTTTTTTTTTTTTACTCTATGTTCTTGCATCTAACATGTAATACTGTACTTATCATCGCGCTATTTTGTATTCTGTAAATGATCATAGCATCAAGATTGTGTTCTCTGTCTCGGATATCAACGCTGCTGATGATGAGGAGGATCTGGAGCTGGAGGAAGAACTCGAGGAGGACGGTCAGCAGCAATCGACCCAGCAGAACCTTTCTGCCTCTGGAGATGATGAGGAGGAGGAGGAAGGTCCCTTTGATTCGTTGACCTTCCCTGTCCGCTGCTTGATCACAATCTCGAAGCCCAATGCTGGAAGCATCTCTGTTGATGCAATTGCTCAGGATGGAGCCTTTATTGTCGAATCAATCTCCAACGTCAAGGACACTGCTCTTGCGACTGCCTCGACTGCGGAGGCCGACTGGGAGAAGCGTGGATTGTACAGCGGACCTCCATTTGGCGAGTTGGACGAGGAGCTCCAGATCACTTTTGAAAAGTTTTTGGAGGAGCGTCAGATCGATGAGGAATTGGCCAACTTTGTGCCAGGCTATGTTTTCCACAAGGACCAGGTCGAGTACACCAACTGGCTCAAGGAGCTGAAGGGATTCGTTGCTGCCAATTAAGCACCATATCAACCAAGCACTCTCACTCTTACCCAATTATTACTACAACTTTCACGCATCCCATTCCCATCGTACATAGTTCTTCAACGCAATAAAAGCGAAGACAAAAAAAAAAAAAAAAAAAAAGCAAAGAAGCTGAAGGAAGGTGATAGACCAGTGGTGATGATCGCGAGTGAAGCAGCCTTGGGACAAGGGTCCATGATAGAGGCATGGCTACACGTGATATCGGATTTATTGGGCGACGGATCGGAAGAGGATTTGATCGCAAAAAAAGAGTCGCACGTCTTACATGAGAGCGCTTCCGCGCTGTTTACGCTCCCTTCACTTCGGATTCCCATTTCTCGATCCGTTCTTCACCCATCACTCCTCCACTCCTTCGCTCCACTCCACTCCTTCCTTCACCTCTCTCCTCTTTCTTTTTTCTTTCTATTCATTTCCTTGAACCGGGCGGTCCCTCTTCTCTTCGTCTCTTCCTCTCGAAAGCACTCTCTCACCATGTTCCGAGTCCAGACTGCCTCCAACATCCTGGTACGTGCTCTCCTTCACGTTCCTCCGATGGCAAAACCTGTCTTCGTGTTGCATCCCTTTCAGTACTTTTTTTTCTTTTTTTGTTTTGATGGAGCTTGGCTGTCTATGCTCTTTCGGCCTCGGCTGCTTCACTTTCACTTCCAGTACAGCTCCGATGGTTGCTTGTCGCGTGTCTTTTGCCCTTTCTTGTGCTCGGTTTTTTCGTGGTTCCTGACCTAAAAAAAAAAAATGCACACGGAGCCGGAATATTCTCGCTTCAAAAGGAAACCCCATCCGCCATCACTAATCGATTTGCGTCCTCCTTTTTTCGCTTCACATCATCGGGCTTTCTTCTTCTCGGTAATGACCCATTACAGCGCCGCACTGGTATGTACCGATGACTTTTTTTTGTCGAATTAGATCCTGCATCGGAAACAACTTGGTTGAATTTTTTTTCCGAAGTGTCTAACATACCCTTTTCTTTATTTTTTATCAATCGTTTAGCTGCCAGCCGTGCCTTCCACACCTCGCGTCCTGCGATGCAGGTCTTTGCGTCCAAGCCCTTGAACGCCAAGGAGACCTCGGTACGGATGAATGAGCTTGTATCCGGTCTTTTGAAATCTCCGAGCTTTTAGTCTGGCATATGAACTAACGATCCCGCTTCTCCCCTCTCCCCACTCGCCTTGGTCTTTCCTTGTTTGGGTCTTCCCCGCAAAAAAAAAAAAAAAAAAAAATGTGTATTCAATTGCACACACAAACAGAGCCCTATTACGTCCAAGTACCCCATCATCGACCACACCTACGATGCCCTTGTCATCGGTGCCGGTGGTGCCGGTCTCCGTGCTGCCTTCGGTCTTGCTGAGGCTGGTCTCAACACTGCCTGTATCTCCAAGCTCTTCCCTACCCGTTCCCACACCGTCGCCGCCCAGGTAAAATAAGCTCAGGGGATCATAAGATCGTTGTATTGCATGAATGGTCGCAAAGCAATTAAATACTAACGCCCAGTTTTGCTTTTTTGTTTCTTCTCATCCATTGCGATTTTCATAGGGTGGTGTCAATGCTGCTCTCGGTAACATGGGCGAGGATGACTGGAGATGGCACATGTACGATACCGTCAAGGGTTCCGACTGGCTCGGTGATCAGGATGCTATCCATTACATGTGTCGCGAGGCTCCCCACAGTGTTATCGAGTTGGAGCATTATGGTGTCCCCTTCTCCAGAACCAAGGAGGGCAAGATTTACCAGCGTGCCTTTGGTGGTCAGAGTTTGAAGTTCGGCGAGGGTAAGTTATGACCATTGCTTTCGCTATTACTCGTGCCGTTGATTAGATTGCACACACAATACTGACCCAGAATTGCTTTTTGAACATGATCGTTGATAGGTGGTCAGGCTTACCGCTGCGCTGCCGTCGCTGATCGTACCGGTCACTCGATCCTTCACACCCTTTATGGCCAGTCCCTCCGCCACAACACCAACTTCTTCATCGAGTATTTCGCCATGGATCTCATCATGGAGAACGGCGAGTGCCGTGGTGTCATTGCCATGAACATGGAGGACGGTACCCTCCACCGCTTCCGCGCCCATAAGACTGTGCTTGCCACCGGAGGATACGGCCGTGCTTACTTCTCCTGCACCTCTGCCCACACTTGCACTGGTGACGGTAACGCCATGGTTGCCCGTGCCGGTCTTCCCCTGCAGGACTTGGAGTTTGTCCAGTTCCATCCCACTGGTATTTACGGTGCCGGATGCCTGATCACTGAGGGTTCTCGCGGTGAGGGTGGATACCTTTTGAACTCGGAGGGTGAGCGTTTCATGGAGCGTTATGCCCCCACTGCCAAGGATCTTGCCTCCCGTGATGTTGTCTCCCGTTCGATGACCATGGAGATCCGCGAGGGTCGCGGCGTGGGCCCCGAGAAGGACCATATCTACCTCCAGCTCTCTCACTTGCCTGCCTCTGTCCTCCACGAGCGTCTCCCCGGTATCTCTGAGACCGCTGCTATTTTCTCCGGAGTCGATGTCACCAAGGAGCCCATCCCCGTCTTGCCCACTGTCCACTACAACATGGGTGGTATCCCCACCAAGTACACTGGTGAAGTCTTGACCGTTGACGAGAACGGAAACGACAAGGTCGTCCCTGGTCTGTACGCCGCCGGTGAGGCTGCCTGTGTGTCAGTCCACGGTGCCAACCGTTTGGGTGCCAACTCGCTCTTGGATATCGTCGTCTTTGGTCGTGCTTGCGCCCACCACATCCGCGACAACTTGGAGCCCAACACTCCCCACCGTCCCTTGGCCGCTGATGCCGGTGCAGAGTCGATCGCCAACTTGGACAAGCTTCGCTATGCCACTGGCCCTATCTCGACTGCCGCTCTCCGCTTGAACATGCAGAAGGTTATGCAGAACGATGCTGCCGTGTTCCGTATGCAGTCGTCTTTGGATGAGGGTGTCGAGAAGATTGACAAGGTGTTCAAGTCGTTCAAGGATGTCGGTGTCACTGACCGCAGCATGATCTGGAACTCTGACCTGGTCGAGACCCTCGAGCTCCAGAACCTGTTGACGTGTGCTGCTCAGACGATGCACTCGGCTAGTGCCCGCAAGGAGTCCCGTGGAGCTCACGCACGTGAGGATTTCCAGGAGCGTGATGATAAGAACTGGATGAAGCACACTTTGTCATGGCAGAACCAGGAGACTGGCGAGGTTAAGCTGAGCTACCGTGCTGTTACTAGCAAGACCTTGGACGAGAACGAGTGCAAGTCTGTTCCTCCCAAGAAACGTGTCTACTAAGTGTATGTGACGGAGAGGTATAGGAGAAAGAAGAGGTAGATTGAACGGGGGAGCATGCTGTTGTTGTTTTTTTAATCGTTTGACCAAATAAAATAAATGAATTCATTCAATAATGAAACGCTCTTTGTTTTATTCGATGGCTGACCGAGATCCAAGGTCAAGGCAGGATTCAAAAATGACGCCACTAACGTTGCTCCTTTCAATTGCTCCTGGTCCTGGGGATTGACACCGACGACTCCCTTCTTTTTTTTTCGGAACAACAACGCGATACAGTGTCGATATCGATATCGATGTCGATGTCAATGTCGATTTCCGAGTCGATGGGGATTGTATAGTGTAGTGTAGTGTATTATGCTCCCTGGGCTTGTTGGATCTGCCTGATCAGTTCCTGGAGGTTGCCCTGGGCCTCTGTCTTGTTGCGTTCCCAATAGACCCGCTTCTTATCCAATGCGGCCATATCCTTCTCCATTTCCGAAGCCCGTTCTGACAGTTCTTTTGTCAGATCCGTCAATGGTTCCTGGATAAACCTATATAAAGTACAAACAAAAAGGGAAATGAAGTTGAATTGTCAATTGGGTGCTCCGTATCCTCTTGTCAATGAGTGCTCCATATCTCCTTCTGACGCGTTCTTTCGCTGTTCAATCGAAAGTGGGGGAGGAAAAAATAAAATAAAAAAGGGCTAGTGAATGCTTACATCTTGCCGACAGACTTGTAGGTGATGGTATCTGGTGCCAATGCGGAGAGTTCCTTATTGGTGAGTTCGGAAAGACGCTTTTCCCTGTCCCTTGTCTGAATCTGTGCCTGGACCGAGGCCACCATACGGGTGGCTTCCTGCAGCTTTGTCTGGAGATCGTGAACGATCTAGTAGGAGATGATGATGGGAGGAGAATGGGATGAGTTGTTTGCAAAAAGCGCGCAACGGAGAAGCTGATCTTTTTCCTTTTCTTTTTTTTTTCCTTTTCCTTGACAGAAAGCCGTGTTCCAGCGGGCGTCGGGGGTCCTGGGGTCCTGGGTCCTGATGGTGTCCGTCTGTCCTGGGTCATTGTTGATGGGGGATTATACCTTTCCGAGGGCCTGTTCGTTGATGGACATTTGTGATCGATCCCTTGTTCTTGGAGGTTAATGGAGAGAAAGAGAGAGAGTTTGCTTCGTGTCCAAGTGGGGGGAAAATAGAAGGCAGTGAGGGGGTTTTTTGATGTTGGTATGCCACACAGACTATCCACGTCACAGTCATAAAAAAGAGTTTCCCCCTACTTGCGTGTTTGTTCGACTCCTTTTCCGCTACACACACGCTCTCTATCTCTTTCATCACCTTCATCCGTATATAAAAAGAAAACTCACCATGCTCATCAAAGTCAAGGTAAGGGCGGGCAAACAGCATATTCTTTTCATCAACCCTGTTTACTATCATCACCCGTCGAGGGGGGTTTTTTTTACAAGCCGCGACATTCCTGGCTCCCGGAGGGAATGTTCTCTTTTTATATTGATTGTGAAAAAAAAAGTCCCAACACCGAGGCACTCACTCTTTATGCGTTTTTTTTTTTTTGGCTGTTATCATACATAGACACTCACCGGCAAGGAGGTACGACCACTTTTTCAGTTGTGAGACCCACCTTCACGGCTCTATCATAGGGATTTGCATACATGCAATACAATACGTGTTTGCTGAATCCGGCTTCGACAAGGTGGTGGCAAAAAAAAAGCCGACAAAAAAAAACTTGGAGTGGGACCTGACTGACACACACACAAAACTGAGCCATGGATGAGAAAGGCGCAGTTCACTGATTCGACAAAGTTGTGTAAAATGAACATTTGGAAAGCGCAGGCGCAGGACCGACAGTTTTTGCTCATCAGGGAAATGCTTCAGCATTGCCACGTCCCTCCCCCATCCTCCCCCGCCACCGCCATCGCCTGCCGCCTCTTCTTCTCTCCCAGCAGCAACAAACCAATTCATATTATGGACTATGGACTGGAGCTCGATAGCAATGTATCTGAACCCCACCCCAAAAAAAAAAATCCGTAAGTCCCTTTCATCATTCACGCTGACGCGACTTTTTTTTTTTTTTTAGATCGAAATCGATATCGAGCCCAATGACAAGGTACGGCACTTGTGTGGTTTTCAATGGTTACTCTGTCCATGGACAAAGACTACTGGAAAAAATGATCCAGGAACACATTAGAATTAACGATATTTTTTTTGTTCATTTGAATATAGATCACCCGTATCAAAGAACGTGTCGAGGAGAAGGAGGGTATCCCCCCAGCACAGCAGCGTTTGATTTTCGGAGGAAAGCAGATGTAAGCCACCTCTTCTCTTTCTCTTCGTTCAAAGAAGGATGGATCGGGATTTTGTTTATTGTGTCTGTTGTTTTCTAAATCTGCCTGCTCTATGGTTTCTTTTTTTCTTTGTTGTTGTGTGTTCTTATCTCTACAGGGCTGATGATCGTTTGGCGTCGGACTACAACATCGAGGGCGGCTCTGTTCTTCATTTGGTGCTTGCTCTTCGCGGAGGTTGCTAAACCAGTCAGCAGCAACAACAACAGCAGTACGACAGACTAACAACACAAGAACAAAAAAGAACATAACAATAACAATAAAAAAAAACCCCCCCCCCCTCCAGGAAAGAACAACACAAAAATTCAACATTAGCAAACAATATCGGACGTCAATGGCAGTTGCCTTGGTTGAGGTGGAACCTTTGCCACTTTTTTTTTTTTTATTTTTATTTTTTTCTATATCGTTCTGCAGGATCTGTGCGCGTTTCAGATGAGAAGGCCGTTTCTAGATTTTATGAGAAATTAAAGAAAAACAGTTATTGTCACGATCAACTGTGCATGGGCACTGGTTTTTGATGAAGCAAAAGCGCACAGACAGACAAGGTGTGATCACGAAGAAGGAAAGGGGGGCTAGGAAGAGAGAGAGAAAAATAAAAAAATAAAAAAGGCAGTGCAGTGCAGTGCAGTGCAATGTTCGATAGTGGGAAAGGCGGTAAATTGTGCGGCTTGAGCCCCCGAAGGCCAAAATGAAAGCACGAGACTGCTCGAACGCGTCGAGATGTGTGCTATTGATAGATTGACGCGTCCGCGTCGCGTGTTTTCTTATTCGACCACGTTGTATAGACTATGTATTTTTGTCTCCACATGAAGGTTTCCTTATGGACGATCATTCTAAAAAAGCACCATAAACAAACAAAAAAAAAAAAAAAGAAAGAGAACGTGTCAGGGATAAAATCAGGTACCCGGTCCCCTCTTGGTCCAACTTTTTTTCTGACGGGTGCATATTTGTCACTTCGTATCCTATTTTTTGTTTTTTTTTATTTTAGAGCTCTCTTTACACCATGAAAGAGAGAAGGGGGAAAGAGGAGAGGGGGAGAGGAGAAAACAATGGGAGCTGTCATATGAAAAAGAAGGATTGGTCGGCATCCCCGCATTCTTCCTCTTTAAGAAGCAACCGTTGAACCATACAAGCTACAAGGAAGCAAAGGAGTCTAGAGGGATCTGCATCTGTGTATGTATGCATGTTTGCTGGTATTTGTAGGACACATACACACACACAACGGCTCAATTACGTAGGAGTTGAGTCAGTCGTGGCCCGGGATGGACCGGTTTCCCACGTGAAGAAAAACGGACGAATGAACCAATAGCATCGTCATCCCTGTATTGAACAAGGTTTGAACGCGAATAATAATAATAATAAAAAGGCTATTTATTTACGTGTGGGTGTCCCCGTGCAGCCGTGTGCGACCCATTGGGTGGTTCTATATCCATCATCATGGGCCCTGGTTTAAGGCTATATGTTTGTTTGGCATGCATGCAGATGTACTTTTTTTTTAAAAAAACACAACACGCGTTCTTGGAGATCATTGGAGCAAAGCCAGATCGGTGGTTTAGTTCAATCCAGTCCCAGGTTCAGTCCAAGCTCCCGTCCTTTCCGTTGCCGGCTCAGTCAGCTCAGTCATTTCGGTCAGCTCAGTCATTTCGGTCAGCTCCGTCAACCAGGCCAGTCCATGACTTTGAAGGCACTGGGGAGATCACTCGTGCTCTGTCAATTGCCCTTGAGAAAAGGCGGAGGTTTGCCTCGCTTCAGATCGGGATCGGCTTGGTCGAACAGGACTCAAGACAAAGACGATCAGCTCAAAGGGAGGAGCGAAAGGAGTAGAGAAAGAAGGGAGGAGGAGGTAGTAGAGGGGCGGCTGTGGGTCACCAAGAGGGATCGTTGCATGAAGTGAAGTCAGACAGCGGAGGAGGGCAGCTGCCTGTTTGCTGTTTCGGGTTCTGACCCCTCCCGACCGCACCTCAGCGGATTCAAACCGATTCATTCGTTCTCTTGCGGTGGGTGGACCATGTGTCCATCTGTTCCATCTGTCCTCATCGCTCCACCGCTCCAATAAATACCGCCCTGTCTCTCTCCCCCCACCCTCTCCTCAGCTCCTTCTCTCTCTCACTCTCTCTCACTCTCACTCTTCTTCTTCTTTTTCTTCTTACTCTCCAACCAACACTCTTCACCCCTTCTCCTCTCCCGCCCACACCAACACCCCACACCCCCCACACATCGATCGAAAAAGATGGCTGCATCAATCCGCTCCGTCGCCATGGGCCTGCCTCGCGTCTCCATGGCCCGCATCCCCCTCGTGGCCTTCGCCAACACCCACGTCGCACCTCTCAGTCACGCCAACAGCGTCCACCCCAGCGCCTTCTCCTCCATGCCGGCCTCACGCAAGGACAAAACTTGGTCCAACTCTGCCAACAAGGTGGCTGATCAGCTCGAGCATACTGCCTCAAAGTTCCCCGAGGACAACGATAGGACGACAAAGGACTATCTTCGTGAGGTAAAGCAATTCGAACACGCAGAGGATGCGCTGTTGAGGGATCTGGGCTTGATAAAGAGTGTTCATCAGGAAGACGACATATACAACCACAGCAAACATCCCAGCAAAAACACACCCAGCAAAAACACGCCCAGCAAAAGCACAGCCAGCAAAAGCAATTCAAGCACAGGAAAGAAACGCGCCGCAAAAAGCGCAGAAGAACCGAAGGATACGTTTGAGGAAACATTTGTGGCCCAGGTGAGGGCGGATGTGTTCTATCCTTCGACAAAGATGAACCATGATGACAGCCAGCATCATCAGCAGGAGATGGTCTCCAGTCTCCTTGAGGAGCTGAAGGTACCTTGCTTGTTTATGTTTCGTAAACGCTGGTTATATCTGTATGCTTCCTACTATCGGATCTGCTCCATCAGATGCCTCGATCGCATGCTCGGCAAGGGAACGAACCGACAAGCGACCACCGGGCCACCAAAACCTGCCCAATCGACCGGCGAAATAAAAAGGACGACTAGCTCAAGGAGCGACAAATCGACCTTCATCCTCGACTCTCTTTCCCCCTATCCTTTCCTTTCCTTTTTTTTTCCTCCGAGAACGAAAAGAGAAACGACCTCGTCATGATACCCTTTTCGATTGTCTTTCATTAGGGCGCATTTTTTTTTTTTTTTTATTTATTTATTTAGAGACTAACGCGATCTATTCCCAATTCTGTTACATTTTTCAATCCATTTTAGAACGACAATCAGACAGCGAACTTGAGCCAACATGCGTCAGATGCGATCCGCATGGTCGAGTCCCACAATGTGCTGAAGCAGGACGAAGCACCTATCCATGACGTCCGCGAAGAGGATCCGACCCAGAAGACTATGCGTACCCACAAGCGCAAATAAGCAACCACAGTAGCGGGGTGTGTTGACCCCCCCTCAAGTTTCTTTGCCTTTTTTGCTTTTTTTGCTTTCATGCCGTTTCTCTTTGTATATAAATCAGCGAATCATTTAACATTTTTACTCCACGGACAATTCTTTTTTTTTTTCTTTCTTTCTTTTATGTACATAACTCTTTTGAATAAAATGCTTGCAAATTATATCCATGAGCGTAATGAAAAGGGATGGGAATGGAGGGGAGAGGAGGAGGAGAGGCGGGGAATGTGCGCGCTACATTGCTTACAGAATCTGGACAAGTGCATTTTCATCAGATATGAGGTAAGGTTGTCGTGGGCGAGTCAGTCACGAGGGCAATGACCCCCAATCCTCAAGCAAGCCCATTTGCTTTCTTCCGCTCTCTTTTTCACTTACCTCACACATTGCTGCAGCACGACGCACCCATTCCTTCATTCTTATCTGCTCATTACAGCTCATTAATTCACATTTTCACGCTTCATACTTCGCCCACTCCTTTGCTCCGCTGTCTCCCACACTTCCCTCCCCCTCCTCGTAACCATCACCACTACCACCATCACTACCATCATCATTACTACTACAGACTCTCTGCCCTCCACCATGTCCTACTACCCACCCGACCAAAAGACCTACCAACCAGCCTACCCTCCTCCCATCCAAGAGGGCCAGGCCTACAATCCGAACATGTACTACGCCCCTCCGCCACCGGCTCCCATGGGCGGCAACCAGACCTCGGGTGCGGTACCAAATTCAGGCGGACAGTACCCTGGAGCGATGTCGGGCGCAGGCGCGGGATACATGGACCCGACAGCGCCGAGGCCGAACGATATCTTGCCGCTCCATCCCGCGATCATTCAACAGAGACAGATTGCGGCATCGTTGCCTCCTTGTCCGAAGGGAGGGTATCATGAGCTGAGGAAGAGATAGTACGTCGTTTGCTCGTTTGTTCGTTCGTTCTTTTTTTTCTATTTTCCGTAGGAGAACGCATGATGAGCACGGGCGCACATATACGATTTTAATCTAACACCTGTGCTTTTGTTTTAGTGCATTGGGCGCGAATGCCGGGACGGTGCTGTCGGTGATCTGTTTCCCGGTGGTTTGTTGCTGTGTCCGGAACGAGACGACCTGTATCAAGTGTGGCGAAAAGTTCAACATTGACCTGCCGTCCATTCAATAGGATTTTGATTCGAAGCACAAAAAAAAAAAAAGCAGGACAAGGAGGGGGGTGCTCTCTCTCTTTTTTTTAAAGAATTCCTCAGAGCTTGGGATCATGGAATGGATCGAAACAAAAGTCTTCGGAGGAGGGGAGAAGTGAGACTCTTCTTGAGGGGTTTCTTTTTTTTTTTTTTTTTTTTTTTTTTTTCGAAGCGGACGTTTTAAAGAAAAATCACAATCATTATAGCTAAAGAAACGGGGGGAATTTTTTTCTCGTTCTTTATTCCGATAATAACTACCATTACAACGGTTCATAATAGCACTTTGTCAATTATAATAATACTTTCGCCATCACTTTTTTCTTAAAAGAATCGCAAAAAATACTTGATCCTGTGTCTCCTAAAAAAAAAACAATTGAAAAAGCTGCAAAACATAAACATTGCGGTTAGTTTTGTTTGCTTTGCAATAAACATACTGTGCCCCTCTGATGCACTGCAGCATTCTTTTTTCTTTTTCTTTTTTCTTTTTTTTTTTTTTTCAATTGAGTAGGAGAGTCAGAAGGTAAAGTTTTCCTCAGCAGTACCGCACAGCGATATCTGTAGGAAGAACGAAAGTTATATATTTTGTTCCTCATCATTTTTTCTTTTGTATCAAGAAAAAAAAAAGAAAAAAAAAGAAAAGAGATAAATGTGTATAGATAGGGTGGTGGGATGCAACCATGGGAGCCCAATGAACCTACCAATTGAACTAAGAGAAACATATGTAGAGGAGTGAGGAATAAATAGACACAGAGCGTTGGCAAAGATAGGGAAGGAGAGAAGAAGAGGAGGGGGGGAAGGAGTGGGTGAGGGTAGGATGCAAAGAAAGAGTGAGAAAGAGTGGAAAATTTTTATAAGCTGTTGTTGAAGCAGATCAAAAAAAAAAAATGAAATTTCGAGGGCTGTTTTCAAGCCACCTTTGGTTGTTATTGTTTCCTTTGCCCACGATCTTTCTTGGAGTGTAGGTCTACCTGACGCGTGTTGGGAAAAAACGCGAAACCTTTTTTTTTCTCAAGGAAATACGTCCGAGGAACGTAAAAGAAGAATGTACATATACAACACTTGAAGCCTTGAAGGTACACGCTTTAGGCCCCTTGCTGCCGTTGAAGGCAGACCGCACAGGTGATCGACACGCACACACAAAGCTGGTATAAGGGATACATGTAACTTATGTAAGGACTTCGAAGCACACTTTATCCGCGCTTTGGGGGGGGGGATTTTTTTTTTCCTTCATCAAAAGAAAAAGAAAAAAAAAGTTCAATGGCCGATTATATTCCTCGAGCCCAGAAAAGAAAAAAAGATCCGACCGCTGTTTGAAACGATTTGATCGACCCGGTCCTTCTCGGGCCTTCTTTGCCTTCAAGAGCGATTTTTTTTTTCTTGGCTCCTTCCAAGGAGAGGGGGTGGGTGTGGACGGACGTGTACACGTCATGAGAAATTCGCAAACTTCGTTTATTTAGCCTGGTAACTAAGCTAGATATGGCCCAAGCTAGATTGCTTACGGTTTCTTGCTTTTATTTCATCCACCGGTCGCCCTGCAGAAACCTGTCGTTGGTGTGTGTGTGTGTGAAATGAACATGAAATGGATCAGACGAGCATACAGAGAAGAGTATGTCCCAGGAAGGACAGCGCGTGCGAAAAAAAAAAAAAATGGACACAAAGCAAAAGAACCCTGACAGAACGAATGGGATAATATTGGTCCCTGAACAAAAGAAAAGAGTTTACGCGTGTTTATCGTATGGTGGGAGAGTTGTTCCCAAGTCGTAAAAAAAAAAAAAAAAACTCAGGGTTTTTCGCTCTCATCATTTCAATCAAACACTAAGCGCGAGAAAAAAAAAAAAAAAAAAAAAAGCGAGGGAAGGAGCGTTTTTACAGAGTATGAAGAAAGTAAGGAACAAGAGCTGCATAGGAAGAGGCTCACTGCATCTTTTTTTTTTTTTTGAGTTGAGCTACAAAAGAAAACACACAGACACAAACCTGAATGCAATGTTTCCTGTAGAAACATTTTAACATTTGTAACTTGTACTCCTTGATAACACACACACACATAGAAGACACGAGAGAGGGAAACCAGCCGCTCGCTGAACGTTTGCGTTTCGGGTTTTTGTTGGTTGGGAAAAAAGAGAAATCACTGCATGCTAAATGTACTCTTTGGCGTGTATGCATATTCCCATCCCTCCCTCCCTCTTCCCCCCTGCCCTACTTCCCAATAATTGAAATTTAGGCATGCGTCCGTCGAGCTGCCGGTCCGATGCCTCGCCTAGACCACAGAGTCTCTCTCTTTTTTTTTTTGTGTGTGTTTTCTAGAAGAACGAGGCATGGCATGGTGGACCTATACCTTCTTAGCGTATTAAGTAAAAAACTATACCTGGGGCTGGCTTACAGCTTTTGCTCACATGCTACAGCTGCTGCTGCATATGTGTATGCATTGCCACGTATGTTCCGAACCTTACTTACCTTACTTACCTTACTTTCAAAATCTCATTCTTATCCCATCCCCCTCCCCCCCCCATCCTCCTCCGCTCATTTCCATTCTCTAACGGCAAATACTAAAAAAAAAAAAAAGAGTCGTTTGGGTTTATTTTCCGCCCAAAAGTTCTCGGGGTTCGGAAATTCGTGAGAGGCTATGGAAATAGAACGTCAAAATAGCGAGACACCATGGAATTTTGGGTAGAAGTGGTACCTTGGATTTTGTAAAAAAGATAAAATAAGATGAGTAAAAAAGTAGTCGTGTAGTCGTGTAGTCGTATGGCATTTATTCGCCGGATTGTTATCACTACGATCCGCCAATTGTCGATGCTTGATATAATATGGGGAAATATGAGGACGGGACGGTCTCAACAACAATGTCCGAGCGATCCTATCATTCCGGTTTTCCGAGCAAAATATAAAAAAAAATCACACCGAGAGACAGAAAGAGATGTCTGCGAGTTTGTGTGTTAGATGAATCCCATCAACGACAACAAAGCAGCAGAGAATTGGACGCCGTGCGGGGGTAGGTGGGTGTGTATCTGCATGTTGAGAGCTATGGATCGCTGCATTTGACTGTGATTTTGCATATGCTGCATGCATCTCTGTAATGGCGAGTAGTGATGTGGTGGTGTGGTGTCGTGCAAAAAAAAAAGTGCGTGCGTACAGAAATACGGATAGTGTGAGAACTAGACTACTTATCGCGAAAGCTCTGATGCAGATGCAGATGCAGATACAGATGCAGGTTGGCGGTGGGCAATCAAAAGAGCAACGAAGAGAGCAGCGAAAAGAGGGGAATGGATTTCAGGTCACACAAAGACAATAAACCCTCCTGCTCTCTCCTTCGTCGTTTCTCTTCGATTCCTACTCTTCTCGCACTCTCGTGCCGATGGATAGGGTGATGAGAGCGCATCTGTCCGTGTTACAAACAAAAGGAAAGGTGGAAGGTCAATTTGTTCGTCCACTCCTTTTTTTGTGCACTCCTGAGGTGGAGGGTGAAGAATTACTTCTGCTCCAATGATTATCGCTAGATACTTTTTCAAAAAAGGATGTGAACCCTGGGAGGGAGTGGATGGCTGACCAACCAATCTTATTCCTTCCAGATTAAAAAAAACTCTCTTTGAAAAAAAAAAGTGAGATGGCGATAGATGTCGTGGAGAATAGCGCTATCATCAAGCAAAGGACGCGCGAGAGAGGGAGGCGAGAGAGGCGAGATCATGCACTCGACTACTTGGAATTGTTTCTATCTTTATGCAAGGTGTTGCAGAAATATGTTATGTCGGGATAACAGCCTGAATGCAATCAAAGCACACGATAGGAATGGTCCGAAAGAGCGGACGGAGTAGTCTACGTTTTCTGCACTTCTGAGACCGATAACGAGTCCTCTCATTCGCTAACTACATGGGCGGATAATGCCTAGGCAGAGATAGCTAGCCAATTGCTGTAACCAAGGTATCATGTCTCACCTAGATGTCATGTACTTTTGCACATCCATGCTGGATACTTGCTCGTACACGTTAACGGGCAGTTGTCTTCCGGGATCAGTATCAGTAACAACAGCAAGTGCAGCTGCAGCTGCAGCTGTTAATTGCGTCCTTTGCTCTTTTCATCACTCCATAATTTTTGTCCGCTGTCTAGTTTCTTGTGTGCCTTACTTTGTGGATGATGGACTATCCACTTTCTGTGTTTCGTACTCCTTCTTAGAGTTTACGGTCTGGAGCTGAGATGGGATGTAAGAACACTAATGACGGTTAGTGTTTGTCAAAGAATATCAAAAAATATAACCCTGATTGCCACGCTACACGCAACACGTCCGAGAATACAAAAAAAATAGAGGGCGAACCCTTCCTCGACCCACTCATGGGGTCGCCACTTCTTCCCCTGAAAGTATAGAAACCTGATTGATCCCACCCGATCATCATCGTACATCCCTGCATGCACACCACGGATATCATTACCGCGTGGTAAGTTTTTCTATCCTCACAAAGAAGAACACCACGTTCTCGTTTTCTATGTTTTTGACCAGCGGACTCTTCTTACGAATGTTAGGGTATTTCACTTTGGGCTATGGCTTGCCATTCCTATGCAGCATGCAGTATGATGACAGTACAGTGAGTGTGTGTACCTTTTGCTTCAGTGTTTTCCATCCCGTTTGACCACGCTAATAAAAACGCTAGTTCTTTTCCCTCGCCTGACGGCGAAGAGGATGATCTTCACGCAGATTTGGTAAATTGAGGATGGAGGTTACGAAGAATGGTTCTAATCACTTTTATCGCAGCATTCATCCAGCCAGAGGCGCCCCTTTGATCAAATCTCGTATCTGAGAGAGTATATAGAGCGAGCCTCAATATAGTTTCCTTTAGCCTTTAGTCCACTGTAGCCTTGTGAAGGTCAGCAAGCAAGGTTTGTTCGGACTTTGGTTTTTTTTTGTATGGCACATCGTAAAGAAAGGGAAAAGGGAGTGCGAGAAGGGCGTGTTGTTTGTGTTTGTGTACGTGTCAATTGAATGGAATCCCCAATTAAATCTATATAGTCATATATTGCAGAAGAGTAAGGTTCCCTTTGTTTCCAGGGGGGAAGGGATCAAAGCCCGCTCTCCTCTCGTCTATCTCGCTCGTCTCTCTCGCGGCAGCCCTCCTCCGTGCTTTTTTTCTTCTTATTTGCACATACGCTTTTTGCAGTGGAATCAGCTTTGCATGCTAACGCCTTCAAAAAGTGGAATGGCAAACCTCTCTTCTTCTCTTCTCCTTCCTTTCCCTCTCTTCTTGTCCACTTCTTGCCTCTCACTCTCTTTCGCTGCTTTTGCTTTACTTTACTCTACCTTACTTTGCCTTTACCTTGCCTTGGTTCCACTTCTCCGCTTCTCCGCTCCTTTTCCCCCGAACTACCAACTCTTTTTCACTCTTCCTGCTGAGACTGCACACACCGCTTCACACCTCCACATACTTCCCGTTCGCCCTCACATACACTCACACATAAAACATGCCCGCTACAGTTCCCAGCATCAACATCATCCCGACCCAGGGCCCCAACGGACAGAACTCGGCCGCATCCTCCTTCGGTGCTTCCTCCCTCCGGAGACAGTCCCTCGCGCACTCCTTCGGATCTTTCCACTCGGCCCAGCTGCGTCGCTCCTCCGTCTTTGCTCCCTTCCCATACTCACAATCTCCCCAATTCACAGAGTAAGCACCACCCTCCACCTAATGCTAGCAGGTTGTCAAGTCGCCAGGTTTCTCCTTGTTCATTGTTACTGACGGTCATTGCGTATTTCTTTTTCGTCTTACAGCAGCCTCGGCCACAACAGTTCGCTGCTCGACACGTACAGTTCCTCCCCAAATTGGGGAGACGTCTATGAGCGCGATCTGGAGACCAATTACTGCAAAAACTTCTCCTGCTGCGGCCTCACCCTCGGTGATCTGCATGCGCTTTTGCAGCACTACGAAGAAGCACACGTACGCTTTGAGGAAGATGAGGACGACGACCTCTTGATCGCCGGCGGTTTCACGGATGACGATGGCTGGTCCACGCACTCTGATTCTGCCCCCAACAGCCCCCAGATGACTTCCTCAAAACATGCTGCAGCGGCAGCGACCGTCGCGGCCTTGACGAAGAATATCTCCTTTGCTGGCGCCAAAAAGAAATCGAACGGAGTCTCATTATCCGATATCTATTCGGAGGACTCGTCTGCTCTCATCCCCGACGAGGCTGTCTCTGCTTTCCCCGATTCAATTTTGAGGACAGCCGCCCAGGCCACCCAGAACCCACTCTGCAAAAAGCGAGATCTCTCCGCCTTCTCGTCCTCGTTCGATCTCCAGAGCCCCCTCTCCAAGAAGGCGACGACTTTGCACTCCAAGGCCTTCTCGACCAACCCAACTGCTGCTGCCGCATTGACCGCTGCCTCTCTCATGGGTGATCTGCAGCCTTCATCCAAGGCTCATTCTACCGAAGCGGGCTCTTTGGTATCCTTGGGTGCACAGGACGAGCTCATGAGCACCGTCACCGGCTACCTTGAGCAGGCAGTCCAGCGTGGGTTGTTGCCCAACTGCGGCGAGGTCGGATCCCCCACCTATCTTCTCGCAGTCGAGGAATTGCTCCGCAAGCGCGACGAGATTGTGAGCATGATGGAGAGCATTGGACGACCAGGAACTGCCGGTGCCGACAAGCCCTATCGATGCACTGTCAGCGGGTGTGACAAGGCCTACAAGAACCCCAATGGCCTCAAGTACCACAACCAGCACGGTCATTGCTCCATGCCTGGATCGGGCGAGGACGACAAGTCCAACGTCAAGCCCTACCGGTGCACCTTCATGGATTGCGGCAAGTGCTACAAGAACCTCAACGGCCTCAAGTACCACATCGAGCATTCTCACCCGAACCTGGCTGCGGCACTCTACGCCAACATCCCCGGATTTGCTAATTTGGAAGGAGGCAATGCCAGCCAGGCGGCCATCACTGCCGCAGCTGCGATTGCTGCGGTCAAAGGCGACAGCATCATGATGAGCGCCATCAATGCAATCATTGCCTCAGCAGCCAATAACAGTGCCCGTCCAGGATCCACTGTTGTAGAAAATACTCCCGATTCAAGTCCTAACGCCAGTCCTGTGCTTGGACCTGTCCGCGTACAGAACCCCTTTTCGGCCGAAGTGACCCCCATGGCGTCACCTTTGCTCGCTCGTGCAGTTCTTCCCAGCCCTGCTCTCTCGATCCAGACGACTATTGACGGCACAAAAAATTCCCCTATCAGATTGGCAGGATTGATGACGCCCTCGTCGCTCTCACCGACCATCGCGAGCTCGCCAAAGTCGCCCAATGGATCGCAGGTTTCGACATTGACGGCTGCACTGGCTGCGGTTGCTGTTGAGCAGCACAAGCCGTAAAGCTGGACCCAGGCGATGGCTCATCCACCAGCCCATTTGGAGATCGGGACCCTGATCCAGCAGTATCTAAAGTAGAGGACGTAGTGAACGGGCCTGCTGGTACAAACCCAACCCAACTTTCAGAGGTCCGGTTCCTCTGTGTATTTTTTTCCCCCCCCCCCCCCATTTCCCCTTCCTTTGCTGTATTTTTTTCTATCTTTCATTCTATTGTATTTGATCCTACCCTCCCCTTCCGACTTGTACTATGTTCACAACCATCTTCATATGTCACATATTGCCTCACATTTCTTCATATCTTGTTATATTCTTTCATACTTCATACTCATTCATACTCATTCATACTCATAGCTTCCTTCTGCTTTCTCTCTCTCTCTCTTTTTGCCTGTGTTCTTGTTGCGTTGCTTATTTGTCCAGCATTCATGTAGATTTGATTTTGTGGAATCAGTTCAGAACAAATAAATGCAAACACTCCACTCTCGAAACTCTACTCTCGAAATGAACAATTTAAAATATCCGTAGAAACTAGGAACGACGTGGTTGCACTTTTTTTACGAGATGGATATGAAGTTAACATGCGGACCAAATTGGCTTTTTTTTTTAATGAACGCTTCTTAAGATTGAAATTATACCCCCAGTCTCCAAAATTTGCTTCAACGACATTATTGGTGGAGCAGAAATTACATGCAACGGCAATGAAAGCTAAAACAAAAACATGATAGTTTGATAGTTTGATAGTTTGATAGTTTGCCCGCCAAGACGTTCCTTCCGAGCCAATGTTACGAATCGTGTCAGTTTTGACGATACTCTCGAGAAGGTGTTGTAGAGAATGAAATTGTAATAATGTAATAAAGCAGTTTTGGCTTTGTGTAGGGCACTGTCATTTTGCACATTAGCTGCCTCTAGGAAAATATCATGGGGCCTAGAGACATCGACATCAAAGTCTTGCTACGTAGGCAGATCCTACAACATTAATCCCCACTACTGTAAGTTCAATTGAGACTGCTCGATGCTCAAGCGTGTGCGCCTTTTGGAGCAGGAAAGCGGTATCTAAGGCTTGTCCACGGATTCACACGCATATTGCTGTCGCATTCAGGTCCTACGGGTTCAGTTTCATTAGCTAGTCTAAAAGCGTTGCTATCCGGTGTTCGACTTATCGCAGATGGATATTACTAAAACTACCCTATGTTGCATTCATGTCATTATTCTGCATGGCATTGCTATGGATCTCATTTCCGGATCAAATTCGCGCTGACTTTTGGGCATCAAGGCCCTCCAGGTACATCGAAGGAGCAAACGGAGACAAGCGACATTCAGAGAGAAAGTTGTACACGTTGTTGGAGGGCAATATCACGTCCAATGTGATCTGGGATACGATGTAAACCCTCTTCTCTTATAGCTTCTACGCTATAGAAGACCTGTAAGAAAGAACGGGACTTGAGAAGCTGTTCCTGAAGCTCTTATACCCTGTACCCCTGTACTTGATGTTGTGTCAAAGAATATCCTAGTCCAGTTCTCTGTAGTTCGTTTACACGGAGAGTTCTGCGCGTGTTTGCTTCATCCCTATTTTCCCCTTGACGCGGCGAAATGGAAAACAAAGGCTTACAGTTCTAGTCTTAATAGCACGAGCTGTTGAATTGTATGCGGCCAAAACTGGTTCCAACATTTTGACTGGGCGAAGCATATCAGTACAACATTGGATGTGGATGTGAGTATGAAAGGCAAGCAGAAATAAGGATGATAGGGTTCGTTGGGTTTTGCGTACGCTCCATTCCATAGTCGGATCATAGGCTCTTCAAATACATGACATTGTATGATCAGAGATGAGTACTGAAAAAAAAGGATACCGATAGCACAGTTGAGAGTGTTTATTTGGGGATCTTCACCGACAGAAGTATCGTGCAATTTGAAGTTATACATACAAGGAGATCCCGCCAGAGCGATACGCGCTTTGGTGTGTTGCGTGGTGTTCAATTGGCAAAGTCCTCGTAAGGTTGGGATCCTTCTTGTCTTTATAAAAGCATCAAGATCGAAAAGCTGAATGACTGGCCTGCCATGATCTATCGCCTTGTTCTGTGCTTGATATCCTGCTAATACTTCGGCCGACAAGAAGCTGCCTAAGCAATCCAGGAACAATCTTGTACTTTCGACTCAACATGAATAATTAGTAACGGCAAAAAATAAGAACCTGCAGCACTCCATAACGGTGTAGAGATACCATATGCTCTTCATATCAGCCAATGTCACGATGAAGTCCGGAGAGACGCAGTTCAATCCAGCGCTTTATCGTCCAAGCTCTCTTCCCAAGGGTCTGAACAAGGGCGTCTGAGTAAGGAGATAATGACCTACGCATCAAGAGCAAGTAGCCAGCTCAGGATGCCAGTCAGGGCTGAAAGGAGCCACTTTATTGGGCTGGCAAACTTTCCGGCACCATATGGCCACGGAAAGGATGCGCCATCAATATACCTGACGGAATGATACCCTCCACTGCGAGACCAGCCGCAGCTTAGGTGAGACGCATCGCATCGAACATTGCTAAGGGACGCCGAAGTCTGGAGAGACGCAGTTCAATCCAGCGCTTTATCGTCCAAGCTCTCTTCCCAAAGGTCTGAACAAGGGCGTCTGAGCAAGGAGATAATGACCTACGCATCAAGAGCAAGTAGCCAGCTCAGGATGCCAGTCAAGGTTGAAAGGAACCACTTTATTGGGCTGGCAAACTTTCCGGCACCATATGGCCATGGGAAGGATGCGCCATCAATATACCTGACGGAATGACACCCTCCACTGCGAGACCAGCCGCAGCTTAGGTGAGACGCGTCGCAGCTGATCCCAAGCTGAATACGTAAGGCGTAGAAAAACATCCGCGACTGACCTTAGAGAGTCTTTAACCGGATGCTTCGTCGAGTAGAGGAGCAAGATTGGAGTGAAAGGAGCCGTTGCGATGGTCGTGATGCGCGTTGTTGATGAATGAAGTTCCATGTGCATCATCACCAAAACTAAAATAAACTTCACAGTCCCACAATTGCACAGCTAAATTACCTTGATTAGCTTTTGCCTCCACTCCACACCCTAGTTATGGTCAGCAAAACGTTCATACCTGCACCCTCAACCACCCCACAACTCGCCGCGTTCTTTGAAGATGTTCCTGTTGAGGAATTCACTGCTCTTCGCTTTTTCAGATTTATGAAGTTCAAGTCCGACGAGCGGCAGCTAGCCTCCCATCGGTACAAAGAACTTTATAAGCACGCTCTATCAACTTGTGAGCCACAGGCGCTTCGTAACATGGTCGCAGATTGGTCCAGTGGGAAAAGGGAAAGAGACAAGTTCTGGAGCGACTTGAAAGCTGCAGAAGACAGAGAAGCGCGCCTGGTATGTCAAAGCACATTGTTTAATGCACCAGGCACCCAGTGTTAAAGTTGCATGGCACTTATCCTACCACTTTTTCCTCTGGTTAGTCCGAGCATATTTCTTCCATTGAGAGCGATGTAATGGAGAGAGGCGAGATTGTCAGTAAGAACCTGACTAAGAAAGTCGCGTCGACGTGCTCGACCGCAAAGGGTATAGTAGCAACTGGGGCTGCATTTGTGCTAGCACAGCCGGTATGAACATGCGACAGAGGAACACCTTATTAATAGACTTGCACGATCTTCTGTTCACAGGCCCTGAGATATCGTCGTCTTCGTCAATCGCGACATCTTCTTTCTCGTCCCCATTCGTCTCTTCTTCTGCTGGTGAGAGATTTGCGAGCATTTGTCTCGGGTCGATTGTTGAAATCGTTCACTTGTTAGACAACCCCCAATACCTGACATATCTTTCATATCTTTTTTTTACTTATTTTTTAGCGGCAGTGCCCAGATTTGTACGCCGTCCCGGTTCGCCAACCCCTGTGCCTCTTGAGCAGGCACACATCGCTGACAGCGTCCATGATAGCCGGTCGAGGGCTGTACTCCCACCGGGACCATCCACGGAAGCCCAAGAAGGTACCCAGCCATCTCTTAGCACCCACTATGCTCTTCTTAACCAGCGAACTCAGTGGGAGGAGCTTGTGCCGCGGTTGAAGGAATTTCGCAAAAGAAGCGGCTTCATGGATCTGTCGAAAGATGGAATCATGGATTTTACGACCGGTTCCAGGTTTCCGAATCCCTTGCACAGGAAGAGTTTGACGTCGCAATGAAAGATTTTCCAGAGATAACTGAGGACTTCCCAGAGCTCCACGAGCTCAAGCAGTTGTTGAAAGACGATTCTGAATATGACTTTGATGACTTCATGAATAAGCTGTGTAACCTCGCGCCGAATACTCCCGTGCGCAGATTCGTGCAAGGTGCTTTGTCCTCTTTGTAAGTGACGAGTTTGTACCATAAAAAAATAGTAGGAAGTCGTTTGGCGTCGTTACTGATATAAGTTTATTTCTTTTAGTGCAAACTACTTCCCTCGCCACGACATAGTGCCTGACATCGAAGAGAAACAAGGCACATTCGATCTTGTCTGTCCCTTCGTCCGTGGCGCACTAAACCCCTTTGTTATCGAGTCCCGAATAAGCGAAATTGCCATCGCAGGCAATGGGGAGCGCAAGAACGGCTCCAAAGATTACTCGGAGAAGATGGAGAAGTGCAGACGTGCGGATTTAACAGCGGAGGACACAGAGGGAAATCAGATTTTCCTTGGAGAATGTTCAGCCCCTTACGAGGACGACAAGAGGAAGCTACATGAAGATAAGTGGAAGCTGGGCCGGAGCCTGAAGGACTCCTGGGAAAGTATCTGCAGGCAGATTGTGGATCGGAAGCAGCGCCCCCATGGAGATTTGTCGCTCTTCGGGGTTCAGTTTTTCGGAGAGACACTCCTGTTTATGAAGTTTGATTTTCGGGGCTCGTTCCGTTTGTGGGAGGTGGAATCTTGCACCATTCCCTGCAGAAAGGATGCGTTCGTAAGAAAATTTGGCTCCTGTTGCAAAAGCTCCCTTCGATTTGTGCACGCGGTGGCGCAAGAGATTGAGCAGCGAAAATCCCTTACTTTCCTCACAGCCAAGGAAAAAATGATCCTCGCCCGCGCTGTCCGGAAGTTCGAGCCAACGACGAACACGCCTCCCTTCAAGAAGACCTACGTTCAGTAGTTCTTAATATTGAACATGCCATTGTATTTTTACTTCTCTTTACCATATCTTTTATATTTTATATGTATTCTCATGCTCTTTCATATTCTCTTTATTGCGTGTTTTATTTTACTTTATTTTTATAGCATGCCTTTCACTCGCTTCATATTTACCCGGATTTTCATAAAATTTGCGTTGATTTTAGACGTTCTCTTGTACTGGTGTGTTAGTGTGCTATGAATCAAGCATCAAATTCTTTATGTCCTGAATGCTGTAAACTTTTCTTCTTCATAATATTGAATTTCTGATCAGTACTTTGACAAATCTGTTTAAGTAGTAGAGAGCAGATGGTTTTCTTTTCAACAAAGATCCTACATCCTTGATAATGCCGGACAATTTGCTGTTGCTGTTTTGTGGATATGTTGCTCAATAAAGTTCCTACGCGTCGACAAAATTTTAACCAAAATAAGCTTACGGTAAATGCGACGCGTACCAATTGGCAGCGAATAGAATTTCGAGTAAAAGTAAGTTGAAGGACTACAGACAAAAATGATAGGAACTCCAAATGCAAAGCACACTTACCTATCGAGACATGCTGATGCGAAATTATTAACAGAATATTTTCCAACTGGCCTGCACCTAACGCGAGGTGATGCAACCTTTACCATCTCCCTGCCGGTTTATTCCAAAGTATGTGTCTCAAGTCGTACCAAGTTGTATTTGCTTTCAGAGGCTCACGTCGCACAGAAGAGGAGAATGTGCACTTGCGGAGGAAATTACTGGAGTGGAGATCAAAGACGTTCCAAAATGACCGTTTGCTGCCTCTCTGTCTGTTTTTGCGGGAAAGTTGTGTGATGGACGGCGCCATGGCTGGCAAACTTTTCGATAAGTTTACTCGCATGGCGACCCCTCAAGGTATTTATATGGTCTTCAAATGGAGTCCTTTGAAGGACGGATACTTCGAGGAGATTGCTGCGATTCTTGGCACGGCCAACATGACCATCGACGGAGCCAGGACTGAACAAGAAACAACTCTGCGTCGTCTAAAGCCACGCCCGTCAAGCATTACAAGACTCCAGTTTGTCGCTACCACAGCTTCGAGTTTTGACAGATACGCGTTCTTATCAACCATGGCTTTTTTTTTTTTTTTTTTTTTTTTTTTTTTTTTTTCGAAACAATTATTCTACAGAGACAGTCCATGCCGTAGATACTAGACTATTGACTTTGCTCACTGGCATGGAGCGTACAGCAGGATACCATTGACTCTAGCCCTTGCTGTCGCTCTTTCTGCGATCATTTTATGTAATTTTTTGCTCTTTACAATCTGCACAATCGTTGACTATGGCTACGATTCCCACTCTTTGTCCTAATCCTGATCTTCATCGACCTGATCCTCTAGCTCGTTCTGAATGGCCTCAATGAAAGCGACTTTGATTCTGTCTTCGTGCTCTGAATCCTCTGGTAACTCGGTCGTAACCTGGGTGCCTTCCTGTGAACCGACAATGCTGGCGCCCACCTACTCCAGCCCGAGTTTCCGCTTCGGAAACTAAAGCACAGGAACAAAAGTAAAATGGTATTAGTTCATGTCGCAAATTTATAGGATGCTGATGATATCTATTATGGACGCCAACGTGCGTTTTACCTGGGAGAAGACGCTCTGAAGGTTCTATAGCTTGTTCCGACCTATACTTCATGAGGCCCTGGTGACACAGGGTTTACGCCGAGGTGTGCAGTAGCCCGTCTTGTTAACGACTCCATACCTCTGAGAGCTGCGGCTATGATGGACATGGCGCGCTCGTTCAGTCGTTGGTCTTCTTGGACACTGGATCCGTCGTAATGTACTACTGACGCCTTTCAAACGCGGATGCATCGATTCCACGTGCTTCTCGATATGTCTCACCCGCTACTCGATATTTCCCATGCGGCTCCCGATGCTCTTCAAGCTCTGCCCTCGATTACACCTAAACGGTTGTCCATGTTCACGAGCAAGTTGTTTATGGAAGTAACGTGCTCTTGAGGAACTGGGACATAAAGCGTCGATTCGGCAGCGGCAAGCGGAGTTACTGGACTTGCGATGGCCTCTGTTGACGCCAAACTCCCCGTGGGGGGTGCCACATATGGTTTAGGCCGTATTTGCTTCTTGTTCTTGATAACCCCAGCAGAGGGGCTGGCACAGGCGACGGCGACAGTGGCAGCGGCGGCCCGTATGCGGGTCCTGAATGTCGAAGAGTCGAAGAGTCAGCTGCAGGTGCGGAGGACAATGTACTCCTGCCTTTGAAGTCGGATTTGGAGTATGTCCTGGGCTTTCGCCTTGGGTGTCACTCGTTGATCTAAGCACATGTATGAAAGTGGGCCTGGGGGTCTGATAGTATAATAGACTTGCGGAGGCAGTCTTGACGGGGACATAGGAGCAACATGTCGCGTCTTAGGTCGCGATCAACCCTTACCATAACAATGTTCTCTTCGTATCTGTTTTCGAAACTGATACTCTTGTGGCCATGGTAACGGGCGTTGTGCCTACTATTGGGATTGACGAGCCCATACTTTTGATAGGTGCACGGCGATATAGGAGGCGTGCTTTTGAGCGGATCTATTGAGGAGAATCAGTGACGTGCAGAAAAGGTAATAGTGCTAATGGCCATTTACACGAATAGCATAAAGGAGCTGAAGTAAAGGAAGGAGCCTAGGATGCTCGGGGAGGCGATAAGAAATGAGAACCAAGTATCGTCTTGATTAGGAAGAAGGTTCAGGACTTTAGGACGCTCGTGCAAAAGTTACTAGGAAAATAAAGGGCCAGTGAGAAGATGGCTAGGATCCGTGTTCGCAAGTTGGAGGTGCGGTGCGCATTATACACACCATCTCCCTGCTATACACACTTTTCAGCGCATTTTGAGCAGACGAGCGCGACATGGATAGTCCAGCTTGAGACAGAGCGTCCATTATTCCGCTTGGACACCCAGCGCTGTACAAGGACAGGCCCATCATGATTTGGAAATGATTTGACTTCTGGCACTTTGAAACTAGTAAAATAACGCACATCATTTTAATCGTGGAAGATGATTCCTTGAAGAGTTGGTGGTTCCGAGCCCGGTCAGGACGCGAAGAATCAGAGGTCCAGATATTTCGAATGAAAGCCTACTTAAAATGTTCGACCTTGTCAATTTGAATGGCATTGACCGGATGTCGCAGCTCTGGATCTTCGATAGCTGTATCAGTTCTGTCCGTCCTTGTTCGATCACTATATCGGCAGCGGCTTCAACGAACCTGCCGAAACACTGTTTGCTGTGGATTTGCTTAGTCCAAATTTGAACTAAGAGCGAGAGTCTGTCGTCCTTGTAGAACCGATTCGCCTTGGCTGTGGTGCTTTTACGGTGGCAGAACGAGTACACACCCTAGTTTTGAGAGGAGCCTTTGATAAGGATCACTGCATCAAGAGCACAGTAAGGCGCGCATTGTGATCAATATACTGGCAAAGCGATCTCACACTGACTGCGAGGATGTTGCCATGTTGCTGGAGACCCGACAGTGAACAGCATCATTTGTATTCATGGCCGTTGCCGTTGCTCTCAGCTTCATCTGGCATCAAGCACGGAAACGAGGGCCATACAGTCGACAGATATGTAATCTGAGTGTGAAATGAATCTGCAGTAAGGCCAAGAACCAAAAAAATTTGTCTGCTCTGATCTCCTCCGCTCCACCTTCACATCTTCCTCATCCCACCTCCGCCTTTTCTACACACACACCCTCTCTCTCTCGTCTGCTTCCGTCGTCTGCCTGCAGACCATTCATTCTGTCACGGCCGCATATCTTTCTCTCATCCAAGGTATCTGATCCATTTTTATCTTTTTTTTTTCATTTTTGCTGTAACCAAGACATCATGCCTCCACAGGAATCATTAGACGCGCAACACAAACCCTTCCTTGACCGGGATCTGATCGATCGAACTTCTACGCGACCCCGTCTACGTATCCTTATACTCTGTTTGTATTAGATTACCATCCACCGATCCTCCACTCGAGTGATTCCATCGATCGACGCGACAGTAACGGGAGCCAGGCACACGCGCACACACACGTCATTCACCACGCTGGTCATCACTTCTCAACCCAGCAAAAGCCTCATCACAACTTGAAGACCAGCAGAGGAACACACTTCTAATCCAGGACCGTCAGCAAACGAGTTACAGCGGCAGAGTGAGAGAATGTTTACTTTCAATGCCTCTGGCTCATCCACTAAAAAAGCCGATTATGTGCCCTCGACCTATATCGCCAAGCAGCTGGCTCTCGAGGAGGAAGCACGGAGAAGCAATGATCTGAGCGGCCTATACGACTCGCCTCACCGGTCATCGCAGACGGATTCGGGTCCTCACTGGTCAAGTCCAAGCGCCGTGCTTGCCCCGGGGTACAGTTCAGGCCCATTAGGATACGACCTGCCAAGGACGACACCACAATCGACAATTCCAGGACACCTATTAAGCCAGTCGACTCGTGTGCAGGAGCCCGTTCCTGATAATGGCGCAGGAGTTGGTCAAAATGAAACGAGCGTGCGGTCGGGTACTTTAGAGTCAACTTTTGCAGTATCGTCACCAGGATCGAGGGGCATCTTGAGGAATGACCGTCCAGAGCTTAGCAAGGATGATCTACAGAAGCGAAATGCGTCGGTCCGCTTTTCGTCTGTGGCTCCAGAATTGAACACACCTCGGCCGACGACGCCTTCGGTCTTTAGTCAGAGCGGTGGGGCGAGTCCCTTTTTCTCAACGGGCCATCTCTCGAATGGCAGCAGTAGTTTGGCGAACTTGCAATCGGCACTCAAGGACGACAAGATCGATATTCTGAGCCATAGAGCTGCAGCAGTGACACCGTCATTGAACGGCAGCTTGGGTCCAGCCTTGGGTTCTGTCTCAGGAACGAATCAGACAACACAGCCATACAACTCTCCAAAAATGCAGAACCAGATGGCGTCATCTTCGATGAGGACGGGTAGCATATCCGGCCCAGGAGCGGCTACTGGGTCCTCGTTTTATTTGAGTCTGGATGGCAGCGGGTTAAGGCAATCGAACAAGATGTCGAACACGCTTGGCAAGACCGCAAGGGACGAGGATGAACAGGACAAGGAGAAGGAACGCTATATGCCGGCCATCCTGCTTAGCACTCCGTCTGCATCAAAGGTAGCTCATCGTAATTTTGATTGTGTTGTGTGATGCATTGGGGAACAACTGCAATATGCTGACATTTCATACGCTCAAATAGAGCGCGAAATTAGAGTCGTTTGTGGAAGGAACCAGTGGAAGATCCGGATGGGATAAGTAAGGAAACAGCCTAGGCGTGTTATGGATGTTACGCTCGGTGCTGAGCCCTATTCTGTAACATTAATCTAATCGATACCAATTTCTCTCTTTTTTTTTTCCTCGTAGTGATCGTTTTCAGCAAACAGAACCAAGCAGTGAGGGACATTCACGTTTGGCACCACATTTGATTGGAGAGGATGCCCCGCCTGCCGATACCCTTTACGACATCGCCAATAAAGAAAAATACTATTCGCGGCCTACATCAATGCTATCATCGTTTTTGGCACCTAATCAGGATACCAGGCAAGTACTGCATACAACCTGTATTTGGCAAAAGCGAGCTGACGCGCATGATGTCGACATTACCCATCTGACATGAAATTCTCATTTGTCCTCTCTCTATTATCTTGCTTTTTATCTCTCGCTATAGATCCAATACAGAGACTGATCACCTTGGGAATTCGTTATCCGGAACCGAGCAAACCTCATCGGCAACTGTCAACAATTACGACTCGATCATCACGTATGGGTTTTCGCCCGAGGCGTCCTCCTATATGCTGAATCAGTTCCGGTCATTTGGCACGGTGGTCCGATTCGAGACTGGATTTTATGGACGCTCTGCGTCAGAGTCGTTCAATTGGCTCAAGATCCAGTACGCAGCGCCCTGGGCAGCGCGAAATGCCACGAGCCGGAATTTGAAGGCCGTGGGCAAGATTATTGTGGGCGTGCACCCATGCAGGTCGTTCTCAACCGCGAGACCCTCGTCATTTTCGTCACCGAGTATGGATATGGACACGAGCACTGATGGAGAACAGGGAGCGTTCAATTGGAAGAGCATCACGAACGACTTGACGGAAACGGAGGCGAGAGAAGTCGAGGCTGGCGTCGACATGCTGCTGATGATGAGAACTCAAGGTGTGGGTCTGGAGACACTGTCGCAGAGCCGGACATCACAGATTGGAGCGACGAAGGCAAGGCATGCTAGTCTGTATGAGTCGTGGAGTCAAGGAGGAGCTTCTGTTGGGTCGTCTACATCATCACCATTATCGTCAACTATGGCCTATTCTGGGACGACGACACTGGGTGACAGCGCTTTTGGTGCCTCGACGAGGAAATCTTCAGCCGACCAGGAGGATGAGGATATGGCATACATTCTGGGCCGCAGTCTAACCTCGGGTGGATCCCTGGTGCGATCGGCACGGGGACGTGGATTCGAGCGCGAGAAAAATGACTTTCTGGGATCGACGTCCAAGGATCAGCAGCATGCACAGGATCAGGATGCGAAGCACAGTATGGTCGATGGTGGTATCCTTTCAGAGCCACAAGCTATCGACACCACATCTGTGGGATTCCGGCCACTTTTCAGCAGTAGTGAATCGAGAGGGTTTTCTGGAAATGCGGGAGTTACTGGGTCAGGATTCGATTCAGGGCTACAACAGCACCATCACCAACCGCAACAGCAAATGCAGGAGACATTGTTTGGACCGCAGCATCATCATCTGTCTCTGAGACGTCCACATCTGGGAGCTTCAAGCGCTTCGGATTCGACATTGTTTGCGTCATCCAGGGGCGTGCTTGTCGATGCGGCGGATGCAAGCAGTGCGGGCCCGGATTCATCATCACCAGTGCATTACCAGAAGCGACAGCGCCTCTCGTCCAGTTTGTTCACACCAAGGTCCTCCACCTCCTCAGCACCTGCATCGACATCCGCAGGCCAGGGAAATAATGTGCCACTCAGCCAGTTTGGCATGGGACGGGATAGGACTTCACTGCTGATCGATGATCCAGCACTGGTGGATTCCTGGGGCGTGCCATTGGCGAGGGCCTCGCAATTAGGATCAACATCTGCTAATGCGGCGGTGAAGACAACTTCACCAGCAACGGGAGCCACAGCAGCATCGGGAGCTGGAGGTGCGAATGGACAACAGACAGGAGGATCTGGGAGCGTGATCTCGGCAGTGTTCAACATGGCCAAGAAGCGGTTGTTCTGGGGATGAAGATGGGCAGGAATTGTTTTCGACGAGAGAGTTGCAGGTGGACGATACATGAACAGCGAATGATCGAGTGCAAAAGTAAAGAAAAGACGAATAAAGACGGCCCTTGGCGCACTTTAATGCCAGGTCCTTGATCCTACAACTATTGTTGTCGCGCTTTACACTTAACAATATCAACGAATTTATTGTGAATGTTCTTTGATAGTAGTGTTGTTGTTCTTGATCTTGAACTTGCTCCCCCTATCGCCCCCGCGCCGATTATAGTGTCAGTGCCGCTTGCTGCCCATGATCTTTTTTTTTTCGAGTGTTTGATACTGCTCTGGATGTCAGTGTCATCATCGTTCGTGGGCCTTGATACTGTTCTCAAAGCTACCGAATGGGGAGGCCGGTGGCCTACGACCCGGTTGCTGGGGCTTTGATGAGCTGCCTAGTGTCTAGCACAAAAGAAAAAAGTCATGTTGGCAAATAGATCGAGACTCGCAGTATCATGAGTGAGTCCATATGCAGAGGAATAGTGCTTACCTTGCTGGCTGTTACGGCTACGGTTCGACCTGAGTGTTGTGGTGCTGACACTCCTCTGCCTTCTCCTTTGCCTCTTTTGTGCTCCTCTCTGGACCTCCACTTTCTTCCTTCCTTCTGTCTTGCTCCTCCTCCTCCTTCTCCTCTTCTTCTTATTTCTTTCGGTTCCCTTTTTTTTGTTCTTTTTTTTTTGTTCTTTTTTTTTTGTTCTTTTCTTTGTTCTTTTTTTTTGTTCTTTTTTTTGTTCTTTTTTTTGTTCTTTTTTTTGTTCTTTTTTTTCTTTTTCTTTTTGCTTTTGTTTTCGTTTTCGTTTTCGTTTTTTTTTTTACTTTTTTTTTTTTCTTTTTTTCTTTTCTTTTCTTTTTCGGTGTTTTTATACAGCTGTCACTGCCTGTCCTTCCTCTCCTTTACTCCTCCTGTACTCTCCCATCGACCCTTCCTTAGCCCCCCATCCATTGCACTCCGCCCGCACTCGTTTTGCTATCCCTCCTCACCATTCTTCCCCATCATCTATGACTTTACCCCATTCGCCCTCTCCCTCTTGTGCCCATACACACTGGTCATCCCCCGCAGAGGACCCAACCTCGCGACCACCAAACCCCGAGGGTTCGGGGCCGTCTCCCCTCAGCTGAGAGAGGGTGGTCTGCTGTGCGGTCACTGACAGCACTGCCCCTGCCTCCTCTCTACCCGCTCCACCTCTACCTTGAACCCATGGCGCACTTACCTCTTTGCATGTGTCCACCCTAGGACTAGGATCCTTGATCGATCGACGCGCTCTCTCCCTCTCGCTGCCCAGTTGGGGAGCATTACTAGGCCTGATCTTGCCGAGACATCGCCGCTACCACGAATGGATCAGTTAAATAGTGTGTCAGTATATCTCTGTTTTTTGCGTGCTGCACTCAGCACACATACATCTCTTTATCCAAGAGGACATGCACAAACGTACCTTCGTCTTCCATGTGTCATAGCGGTTTGCCGACCATGGGTCCGCCAGTGTGCTACCTCAAAGACGAAGCCATCTCTGTCGAAGGTCTGTTCCAGAGTCCCTTACTAGGATCAGGACTGCTGGACATCCCTTGACCATGATGTCTTCGCTCCGAACCTCACAGTCAGCTGGCCTATGTGTCGGCGAGTGTCCCTTCGCACGACCGTGGTCGAGTTCCCCCAGGACGATGAACCTGGATCAAGTCCAGGATCGGGGAAAACGGCGGGGACGCTGTCTCAGCATCAGGCCGTGCATCCAGCCGGGCGAGCAAGAGAGAGCGTGGGCACGGCGACGATCTATAGAATCCCTGGACACAGCAAAAAGTAAGTGCCTTAGTTTGACCCCAGGAACAAGGAGGGTGGACAGGAGAGAGCCGGCTAGGGTGCAGCACTGGGCGACCAGCACAGCAGGCACCCAATCCCAGCTGGGATCAACAGCCCCTCAGCCTCGAGGTCACTGGATCGCGAGAGGGCTCATGCGAGTGGGACCAAGTGCGCAGAGACACTCCAAGGGAGGGGGTATTTTTTAGATGGGGTAAGGGCAATCATTGATGACAGGGAAGGAGGTGGGAGGGTTGAGTGGGGCGGTGGAAGAGGGGAGGGGATGGAGAGTACTTAGCTTTGAATATTTCAATTTGCTTGGTTTGCTTGGTTCACTTGATAGGCTTGACGGGCTTGATGGAATTGCCATGGCCCGGCGAGTCTGGCTCGCCTACCAGGCTGGGCGGAGCGAGCCAGGGCCTCTTCTCAGCCGAGACTGGCAGAGACAGAGGCCAGTGGCTAGAGGAGAAGCAGTTCAGACAGCAGAAGACAAGAGGACAGTCAGTGTGTGAGTGTGTGAGAAAAGGAACACAGGCACCAAAGTTGACTCCCAGTACAGCAACAGCGAACGGTGCATGTCAAACATACCTTTGTGACCATCTGGCTCGCTCTTCTTGACCATGGCGAGTCCCGCTGGACTGGGCCATGTTGTACCTGTGGATGTTGTAACGGACCAGCTGATATGGTCGGCTAGAGGTGCGGACCTTTCTTTGCTAGAAAAGAGGCGTTGACACACAAAAACAAGTGCAGAAAGAGACTACGCCATGAGGATCGAGCCACAAACATAGACACAATCTATGGCACCAGGCACAAGGCACCAAGCACCAGGCACAAACAAAAAAGAAAAGAAAGACGAGCAGTGCCACTTTGCAAGGAAAGAAGACCAGGAACATACCTTTGTGGACTCGACCGGTCATCGCTGTGGTCGTCGCTGCGGTCCTACTGCGCTGCTGTTGAGGATTGCTGCAGTGGAAATGACGGGCGAAGCAGCCTAAAGATGCGAGAAATATACAAAGTGGGCTCAGACACTAGTACAAACACGCACAGCCCCAATAGACTAGAAGAGAACATCCTGCATAAACACAATGAGCAAAAGCACAATGAGCAACCTCATGAGTGTCGTAACATACCTGGACGATGCTGCCTGGCCATAACATCGAGTAACAGAGTGCACTTTGGTACGGGTGCATCGGTGGATGTGTGGTTTGGAAGAGTGGAGGAGAGTGTGGGAAAAAGAAAACGGCTGCCCGCGGGAGAATTTTGAATGGAAGGCCACGCGTCAAAATGTAAACAAACGAAAATCAAAATGAAGGTGGACGCGTCGAGTGACGTTCTTCATCACCCAAGGGGCGTGTCCTCGCAGTGCGCACAAGTAACATGAACCTACAGTCAGAGCGCCGTCTGTACATACTCTATCCTTTAATCCTACAAGACCACTGTTGCTGTGCTTTAAACATAACATCCCTGGGTTTATTATGAATGATAGTCTAACGCAATGCGCTGGTGTTTTTCAAACGGTGGTGTCGTTGCACACTTTTTGAGTGCGGCTAGGGCATGTTGTCTTTCAAATAAGATTGCCTGCCAAAAAAGAAATAAAAAGTACAACAACGCGTCCCCATTTTACTATCCCGCCCCTTATTGATCCTAATCCTGCACAGGCTCCCGAGGTCTAGAGATCTACAGTACACCGACCCCTTGGATCCAATTTGGAGACAAAGCCTTGCCATACTTCTTTGCCATTTTCTCCTGCCATTTAATGGGACCCAAAGTTGCGGTACCTATGCGAGCGATACCTATGCGGGCGAAACTTAAGCGGGCGATCCTCTTAAGACACCAGGTGCGGAGGCTCACGCGGCGGAGGGAGAGCGATTGCAGAGTTGGAGATACACCCAGAGAGATGGAAATGATCCATGCTTTGTATCCAGTATGAAGGCTCTGACATGTCGGCTGTATATGTGAAGCCCTGGATAATTATCTCCATTATAATGGCTAACGAGGATCCTTTCGTAGAGATAAGGTTCCAGACGGCATTCCAGGTATGACTGATATGGGTAGCGGCTGTAAGATCGTGTTGCGATAGGTTACGGGCGATGATGTGCACGAGCTAGGAGATCGAAAAGACCATCTCAACAGGTATTCTGAGCAGCGTACTGCCGATAGTGTTGTTTTCTGTTTCCGCGGACATCTTTGGGAACCGAAAACGGAATAAAAAGAGAGGAGTAACAGTGGGCAGAGGCATTATACAAGTTTAAGCGACCGCAAAAAGGATGGACATTGAAGGCCTGTGCGATGTGCACATTGACCACCGCGAACGAAAGTGATTCATAATTCGTACTCTTGGATTGTGCCAACATCATATCGTCCATGGTTTTAGTGCGCGCTGTATCATGCAAATAGTTTTTTATACACAAATTTGTTTTTTAATCACATAGATCATGCTTAGAACACAAAGTGTCCGTCCTTACTGATATCGGCATCGATATAACAGGCACCTCGCGAGGAAATACAGCTGAACCCACTCGCCACAATCCAATTCGGGAACAATGCCTCGCCGCGCCCCTGGGCCATTTCTCTCGCCTTCTGAATTATGCTATTGCTATAGTCATTTGACTTGACCGGAACACACAGAATAACCTTTCGAAGCTTCGGCGCAAACGAAAAGTCCTCCAAGATTTCATATGTCATCGCATCCCCCCCGAGTTCGAGACCGAGGAGGGAAGTGAATGAGCACAGCCGCTCCCTGATCAATTCCTGCTCCTCAGGCGTGTATGGTTTAAGAGGGGGTAAATCTGCTTGTCTCCAACCTACACCGTACGGCCGGGGTTGATAGTCGAGTGGTTGGATATCCATATGCAGCCTCTCCAGCACCTTGGCACAAGGCCAGGGTTTGCATCCCTTGAAAAGCTCGATTGTACCGGCTTTTGTGCCCAACAGATTCAAGCTGCGCAGGAGAGGACAGTTCTCCAATATCTCGATAGCACTATGGCTGGTGATATGAAGACATCCCTCCACATCGAGTTCAACAAGGCTATGCGAGGTCCCTGCTGAAGTGAGTGTTGGAGGGAGACGTGCCAATTGATGGAGTGCCAAGTCCCCGAATTCCGTGTATTTGACGCTGACCATTTGCAGCCCATGGTTGACCCGCATCACCTCCTCAAACGCCTTGTCTGTTGTAAACGGCGTATGCTTGGCAGTAAACCTCTTGAGGTTCGGGCATGATTTTGACACTGCGTTCAAGAACCCCGAATCGCCGACTAGAGAACCACCTTCGGTTACTGAGACGCGCAAATCAAGCTCGATCTCTTGGATGCTGGCTTGATTCTCGATGCAGGGATGTGACTGTTTCGAGTCGTCCAAGCAGGATTGTCGTGGTCCCAACATCACACTGTTCCAGCTCGACGCTCGGAACGGCATGCTTACCCAACTCAATACTCGGAGCGAGGTGCTTGTCCAGCCGTCATCGTCCACTTTGACCAACTCTGGTACGGCATCGGCTACCAAACTGCTGCTTTTGATGCCGTCAATCTCCTCGACTTTGGCCTCGTCAAGTTCCTCGACTAATAGGTTGATTGTCAAGGCCAGTGACTGGAGTTGAGAACATGATTTAAGCACGAAAAGAATATCGTCGATGCGGACATCTGTCAGGACATTCCAGTAAAAGTCCTCCAGGTGCTTGAATGCAGACACAGGAGTCATCTGGCACTCCAATGGCTTTGGCGGGTATTGCCTCAAGGTGATATGCAGAACTCGAAGCTGTGGTGCTATCTCTGCGAGCTCCTGAAGCTGCAAAGCGCTCAGTTTTGTGTCGCGGAGGAAGAGCGAGTGTAGGTTGATGGTAAAGTTGAGAAGGAAGGCGAGATTATTCCATTCTATGGAGATGATCTCGAGACTCTTGACATGATGGCCGTATGAGTGCATCCTGGAATAGTTGCGAGTCTGTTGGTGCTCGCGGAAGAATAGCTTTTCATAGAGATAGGGAACCCAAATGGTATTCCAGGCACGGCTGACGAGGATGGCAGCCTCTAGATCATTCCGCGTGAGATAGCCGGCGAGGAGGTGTTGAAGTTCAGGGATGGAAAAGAAGGTATCCGGGGGGCCCTTGGTACATCGATGTCGACAACGTAGTTATCGGATGTTCTGAGCCGCAGACTTCGGCGAAGGGTCGTTGGGGCAGGTTTTGATGTGGTTTTGTTGGCTTTGGGCATGGTTGACGGGGAGAGGAGAAGAGAGGCGGGCAAGAAAAATGGCGGCAAAGAAAGGGGCGAAAAGATGGTATAGTGGTGGCAACGGATAGGGATGAGTCGATTAACGTCTGCTGGACTCGCCGCATAAGTCCGACAGATATATAATGGGCCTCAAATGTGTCTCTCTCGTCTTTTATTTCACGTCCCTTCTCATCACTTCCAGCTCTTTTGGTCCACTGAACAACATGCCCAAATTGACGCCGACCGTCCCAGACCGTGCTCAAGCAGCTAATCGGATGATTCTACGTCCTAGGAGGACCAAGGACGATAGCAGCGTTGACACTGCTCCCAAGATGTTCCAAGACACTGTATTCTCGATGCCGGAGCTTGTTCACTTAATCACCGACCACCTGGCAAGGCGCGATCTCACGGCCCTCATCCGTGTCAACCGTACCTGGATTAACATTTAGGTTCCTTATCTCTACGAAAATCTATACTTTTCCCTGTACCAACGAACCGACGCCTATTCAATGGTCTGCAAATATGGAGACCACGTCAAGACCCTCTGTCTCTGGCACATAGAATGAGCTAGAGCCCGCCACCTCCTCGACTTTACCGCCAACCTGCAATCGCTCAGGTTCCGATTCAGGGCCTTGTACACTCCATCTCTCACGCAGATCGCGGAGATGGTGTCACAGCTTCGTGCCTTGCATATCACCCTAAAACAATTCTTATCACAGCCGTCGAATTGTCAGATGACTCCTGTAGCGGCCCTCAAGAACCTGGAGGACTTTTACTGGTGCGTCAATGCCGACGTCCACATCGACGCTATTCTTTTGGTGCTCAGAGATTGCCGTCAACTCAGGTCATTGATTCTGGAAAGACTCGTCATAGTAGAGGATTTTAAGGACGCCCGCAACGAGCAGGAGCCCGAGAAGGAGATGGAAGAGCGCACTGGGTTGATCAGGGTGGATGACGAAGGTTGGATGAACACATCGCTTCGGTCGTTGACCTTGAACACTGTGACATGGGGCTCTAAGGATTCGAACACTACGCATCCTCACTTTCTTCGTCTTTTTCAGCACCTTCCCAATCTCGAATGCCTTAAGCTCAAACAGAGGAGCAATGTCACCGCTCAGGACTGGAGTGATATCTTCGAAGATCGAGCCACCCTGCAGAGAACCATGCCAGAGTCCCATGCTACGGCTATCAATCTCGACCATTGCACTGGAAGCAGCGTCAGGGATGACACCTCAGCTATGGGTGTGGCGGTGGCGGTGGTGCATGAAGACCAGGCTCTCACACAATTGACATGTATGCCTCGATCAGTACATGTATCGCCAGGAATATCACACAGTCTGGTTACCTTTGACATTGAAGGATGTTTGGAATTTAACAGCACCAGTGCTTCTATACTTCTGGAGAACTGCACGATCTTGCGCAAATTGAACCTGTTGGGCACGATGGCGGGGACAATCGAGCTCTTAAAGGGGAGTAAACCATGGCCATGCGCCAACGTGCTCGAGAACCTGTGTATGGATATCCAGCCACTCGAATATCAACCTCTGCCGTATGGAGGGCCCCGGCATCCGCTCAGGCTGTACACGTTCGGGGAAATGCAGTCAATTCGAGGACGGCTGTGTTTTTCCACATCCCTAGTTCGTCTAAAACTCCGGGACGAAGCATTAACGCTTGATATGATCCAGGATTTTTCGTTTGCGCCAAACCTTTGGGTAATGCACCTAGGGTTCCCAATGAGCGTGAACAACATCGATACACTTCAAGAGGTGGCTCTCAAGTACGGCCAAGTCCTGTTCCCGAACTGGATTGTGTCGTCTGATATCACTTACTCCTCCTGGCGTCCAGCCGTCGCGGTTACAGCTTATCTCGATGAAGAGAGTTTTATGTTCCGATGGCCATGATGAGCCCTAGATTGGGAAGCTGTGATACATCCATGTAAACGGACCATCGAACTGAGAAGTCCAACTAGCCGAGCTTAATAAGTCGAAGACTCGATAGGATATTTAATCTAGCTTAGAACAAGAACCAGACTTGTTCTCTTTAGCTCAAACAAGAAGTGTACATGTACATATGGCATTCAGTGATCAATTTTGCTTCATGTAACAAAAAGGAGGTGCTGTGCTGACAGTCTACGAGTCGCGGTACTTTGCCTACGCTCGATCAAAATAGCAGCTCCACAAAGAGACTCCTACACGTGATATCTTGAGCTGGGCTGCACTGTTCCTCCACCCTTTTGTCCTTTCCTCGGCCTTAATGGCGACAGACGACCAACTTTTTCCTTTTCATTCATACGCTTTATAGTCAATAATGTCTTCACGGGCGGGTGATGAGCAGGTCACACTCCAGAATGCAATGCGGCAAACGATGCTGAATGACAAGGACCACGCAACCGGTAACGCCAAGACCACAGCCGAGGAAGGCACTAGGACTAGGATCCTTGATCGATCGACGCGCTCTCTCCCTCTCGCTGCCCAGCTGGGGAGCACTATTAGGCCCGATCTTGCTGAGACATCGCCGCTACCACGAATGGATCAGTTAAATAGTGTGTCAGTATATCGCTGTTTTCTGCGTGCCGCACTCAGCACACATACATCTCTTTATCCAAGAGGACATGCACAAACGTACCTTCGTCTTCCATGTGTCATAGCGGTTTGCCGACCATGGGTCCGCCAGTGTGCTACCTCAAAGACGAAGCCATCTCTGTCGAAGGTCTGTTCCAGAGTCCCTTACTAGGATCAGGACTGCTGGACATCCCTTGACCATGATGTCTTCGCTCCGAGCCTCACAGTCAGCTGGCCTATGTGTCGGCGAGTGTCCCTTCGCACGACCATGGTCGAGTCCCCCCAGGACGATGAACCTGGATCAAGTCCAGGATCGGGGAAAACGGCTGGGACGCTGTCTCAGCATCAGGCCGTGCATCCAACCAGGCGAGCAAGAGAAAGCGTGGGCATGTCGACGATCTATAGAATCTCTGGACACAACAAAGGGTGAGTGTCTTAGTTTGACCCTAAGAACAAGGAGGGTGGACAGGAAAGAGCCGGCTAGGGTGCAGCACTGGGTGCCTGCTGTCAGGCACTCAATCCCAGCTGGGATCGACAGTCCCTCAGCCTCGAGGCCGCTGGACCGCGAGAGGGCTCATGCGAGTGATGACCAAGTGCGTAAAGGCACTCCAAGGGGAGGGTATTTTGGATGTGGTAATGGCAATCATTGACGACGGGGGAGGCGGTGGGGGGGTTGTGTGGGGACAGTTCGGACAGCAGAAGGCAAAAGGACAGCCAGTGTGTGAGTGTGTGAGAAAAGGAACACAGGCGCCAAAGTTGGCTCCCAGTACAGCAACAGCGAACGGCTCATGTCAAACATACCTTTGTGGCCATCTGACTCGCTCTTCTTGACCATGGCGAGTCCCGCTGGACTGGGCCATGTAGTACCTGTGGTTATTGTAACGGACCAGCTGATATGGTCGGCTAGAAGAGCGGATCTTTCTTTGCTAAAAAAGAGGCATTGACACACAAAAACAAGTGCAGAAAGAGACTACGCCATGAGGATCGAGCCACAAACATAGACACAATCTATGGCACCAGGCACAAGGCACCAAGCACCAGGCACAAACAAAAAAGAAAAGAAAGACGAGCAGTGCCACTTTGCAAGGAAAGAAGACCAGGAACATACCTTTGTGGACTCGACCGGTCATCGCTGTGGTCGTCGCTGCGGTCCTACTGCGCTGCTGTTGAGGATTGCTGCAGTGGAAATGACGGGCGAAGCAGCCTTAAGATGCGAGAAATATACAAAGTGGGCTCAGACACTAGTACAGACACGCACAGCCCCAGTAGGCTAGAAGAGAACATCCTGCCACCACAGGCATAAACACAATGAGCAAAAGCACATATGAGCAACTTCATGAGCGTTGTAGCATACCTTGGAGATGCTGCCTGGCTATAGCATCGAGTAACGGAGTGCACTTTGCCACGAGTACATCGGTGGGTGTTTGGTTTGGAAGGGCGGAGGAGAGTGTGGAAAGAAAGAGAATAACCGCCAGGGGATAAATGTGAATGGAAGACAACGCGTCAAAATATAATAAAATGAACGCGCCGAATGATGTTCTTCATCATCCAAGGGCGTGCTCTCACAGTGCGCACAAATAACATGAATTCACAGCCAGAGAACCGTCTAAGCAAGCGTCAATATGGTTGCGACAAGATAAAGGGTTGTATTATTCGCGAGGAAAATGAAGGACTATGTGCAGGGAATCTGTGAAGCCGGCGTAACCAGGCCGCGCCGCTATGCTGAGGATGTCATCGTGGCACTCGAGGCTGGAAGCTCGGGTTGATAATGAGTAGGAGTCGTAGGAGCAATGCCTGTTGGGGTGGCAGGCGTGGAAGATGTGGCAACGTTGCCATTTTCCAGACTCACGACCTTTCTAAGCTGGCCTCCTGCTCCGCCACCGAATCCTATTTGGCTCCCAATACTCGATCCAAACAGACTCCCTCCTCCTCCACTGCTGCCGTTATTAGCAGCATCTCCAGATTTTGACCGCGAGCGCGAGCGAGGCAGGGAGCTGTGGAAGTTGATTTTCAGACGAGCAGTCCTACCCATCGATTGCTTCTTCCCAGCATTAATGTTGAACGCCGTGTTCGTATCCGTGGCATCACCATTTTCGGGATCACTTTCGTGTCCGTCCTGTTGGACATGGTTGTGCTGGCCTTGCTGCTGCTCTGCATTTTGTTCCGCGATGGCTTCCTCTTGTGCCTCGATCTGTACGCGGTCGCATTCGACTTGGAGGGCGTCGAGCCACTGGAGAAGAGTATCTTCGTCGGGCGCGCAGCAGACAAAAGCACGTTTTGCGGTGACGATGCGGAGGCAATATTGCTTGGATTTCGAAACCGGGTCTGTTTGGAGGCAGTCGATAATCGTCGAAAGGGGGATGATTCCATGGGGTTGGTATTCCTAGAGGAAAGAAGAGAGAGAGCGAGAGAGAGAGAGAGAGAGAAAGAGAGAGAGAGAGGGAGAGAAAATGCTAAGTAGATGTTCTGCGTAGGCTTAATAGAAAGACAAAGGCAGTCAAGATGAAGAGAGCGGTACCTTCATATTCTTGTAGTATGTCAGTTTATCCCCTCGTAGGACAAACCACTTCTTCCGCCATGTCTAGGCACAATAAAGAGGGAGAAGAGTATCATGAAGTCAGATCCTCGAATCTTTAGCCAACGCTCAAGCCGTCGCTGTACCTCTGTGAGAAGAGTTCGCTGCCAGCTCACCTTATACGTGTTACCCAGCTTCAACAGGTACCCTTGTCTGATGACCTTGCTCTCAACTTGTTCTGCCGTGACAATCCCGGACCCTGGAGCATTCGCCGCTGAGGCCACACGTCCAGCCTCAACCATCATGCATGGATCGTTATCGTCATCGTCAATCGCCGCATCCTCGTCTCCTGAAGAAAAATAGTTGGTGTTGCCACCAAAGAACGCCTCGCCCCCAGAATAGTATCCACCCGGCGATGTCGGTGTACCTGGGAGGGTTTCTAGTCTAGGAGGATGATCGGTAAAAGATTGCTCCGAGGAAAAAGAACCGACAGTAAGATCGTACGCTGCTGAATGAACCTGTTCCATCCGTGGAGAGGATGGTGCCGCAATATTGATCGCCTGCGTCCCTGTCCCCGCCCCTGACCCTGTCCCTGCTGGTGGTGTACTGTTATGAGTATAGTTGGTGGTGATCAATGAAAGACCCTCTACACGACGTGGGGACGCGGGTGGTGTACAAACTATCGGTTGATCCAGTATACTCGTCCTCCTAGTAATCATATTCGTATTCGCATTCGTATTACTGAAATCGTGGTTGTAATTAGGAGATGCACAGCTCAGTGGAGACGGCTGCGGCACATCCTTGCTTTTCTGACGTGACTTTTCTCGCTTGTCCAGGAGCTCCGGATCCGAGAGCGATAATGGCGTGTGCTGTTGCCGCCTTGGCAAGATAATCCCGGACACCTTTGCTGTCGGTGTCATTGGTGTCATCGGCATCGTCGGTGTAGCCGGCTGTGTTGGAGCCGTCCCCGACGCCTGACCCAAATGCACCGTCGATCCTGCGGACGACTCAAGGTCTGAACTCGACACTGTGAACTCGAACTGGATCTTGGCTTCGCTGACAGCCTGAATCCATTCACACATTTCCGTGTGAGTCTGAGCCTGAACCGTGAAGGTCCTACGCGGGGTGAGGATGACAAAGACGTTGGGCCTGTGTTTCTGTGGGACCTCGGCCGCGCGGTGGACGTCGCGGATGTCGACGATGCGGAGTAGTTCGTACTCCTACGTGAACGAGATTGAATGCAAAATGGCGATGTTGATAAAGAGACCCACTTCAGGGCTTTTGTTCTGTCCATGTGGTGTAGAAGGTACCTTGCTGTCTTTGTAGTAGGCGAGCTTGGAAGTTCGGAGGACGAACCATTTCCGCTTCCAGATCTAGTACAGGAGAAAATGCATTAAAAAACATCGCTTGGAAATAAGCTAAATGGTGCTCACATGGATCGTTTTTATCTTCTCAATGGTGTCCATGCTCTTGCTCGCTGCCAAATCAATCCGCACACGTTGCTGTTCAAAGACAAGCCCGTGGCGATATACCAGCACCGACCCTTCCCAGGTATCCTTCCCCCCCCCCCCCCCCCCCCCCCCAGCCCTACTATCTCTTAAAAAAACATGTCCAATTGGACGACTCACAGTTTTTGTATGTGTATGTTGTTCATGAAAGGATGTGCCCCAACCCTCTTGAATTAGCTTCTACTCGTGGCGTATAAACAGCAGTAATAATAAAAAACATTAAGGGAGCACCAAGTTGAAGTAGGACAACGTTGATAATCAGAAATAGCCCACATTATCATCATTGTTGTGTATTGTACTTGTGCAGAAACTAAAAAATACAAGAAATTCATTGTTCTGTCTTGTGCACCCCTTCTGTACCATCGATGGAATTCTCGAAGAAAAAAAAAAAAAGAAACAACAAAAAAACCGCTTTGCCTTGCCTAGCTTTGACCCAAACCTAACCGGACATTCATTGTTGTGTTGTTTGTCTCCCTTTACCTTGAGTCGTTCGCCCTTCTTCATCAGATATCCTGCCTTCAAAACTTGGCCCTCCTGGATCGGCTCGCGCGTGACCCCATTCCATCCGATGGGAGTCTCTGTGTCCGAGTCGTCCACGGGTTCCTCAACGACTGCGAAGGCGGTTGTCTGCTGTGGTTGTGGTGGTGTTGATATGGAGGGTGATCCGGGAGGTATCTGAAAAGTAACCCGGTTATCTTGCTGCTGCTGTAGTTGCTGTAGGTGTGGTTCGGCGATAATCTCGCCATTGACTCGGGGTAGGACCTGCATAGTGTTGATCTATATTTTTTTTTTATTGTTGTTGTTATTGTTGTTGTTTTTATTAGTTTCAAGGTATGTGTTCACGCGTGCTTGCTTGGATTATGCATGGTCGCATCATGCAAGTGAGAAAAAAAAAAAAAAAAAAAAAAAAAAGGGAGGGCGAAGGTCAAGAATGGATGAGAGGGTCTCGGCAGCAGATTATTCGGGAAAGACGCGTCCGTTCAGTCGCCCTCGCGTTTGGCTCACACTGGCTTCACGCTCTCGGATTTCAGTTACTCTTTTTCTTGCATCGGTAGTCCCATCGGGTATTGTGGTTGTGGAAGAAGAGGAAAGCAAGATGATCCTTGGACAACAAGCTCCATCCAGAACTACCTTTCACAAGAAAGCAAGGAAATGTAACAAGAGAAGAAGAAAAAGATGTAGAGGAAAGCCTATTTGACCGTATTGCTGCATTCGTTGCCTCTCAATCGATCAGCACAAGTGTCTGACTAGAATATCGTTATCCTCTGTCAATTTTTATGTCCACTGTGTCCACTGTGTCCACTGTGTCCGTTATTGACACATGTAACAGCCCCAGTGCATGCTTGGTGTGAGAGATAAAGAAAAAAATAACTATAGGAACGGTGGGCCTTATTTTTTCAAATCACGGTTGAGTGTCTGTCTGAGACAGGCAGGGGTCTCCTCTTCCCCTTCCTTGCGGCTATAGTGTGCATGTGTGCAGATGCCAGATGTTGAAGAGTATAATTACCAGTGGTGTAGTCGCGGCCATAGCACCTGTTAGTCCTCAGCCGTGCTTGTGCTTTTGATTGCAGCTGCGGGTAGAACAATTGCGATTGTGCGTAGGGTGGCTATCGATAGCAAGAGAACGAACGTCGCTTTTGGTTTTTTTCTCAATTGTTATAGGTAAGGAATAATGTCAAGTGTGCGGTATAGTGGAGATCGTTGAGAGAGACAGTGGATAGGACAGGATAGGGTGGGATGACTGAAAGGGTATCCGTCGATAGCCGTTACTGGCTCTGTGTGCGTGTAATTGTGGTTGCTGCTTTTGCGGTGGGATGTATGGTATCGCGCCTTGCAAAATGTCAAAGCCCAATCAGGTGGTAAGTATGGGGATATTGAGAGGTATGTGGTATATGTCGAAAAGGGGACTGAACGGAGGACTAAGGAACGATGAGAGAATGTGAATGAAAGGAAAATGAATGCGGATTTCAACCGAACAAAGGAAGCGAAGGAGTGGAGGAGCGAGGGCTCATTTTGCCCAGAGACAACTTTTCCATGGCCATATCACACACATGCTCAGGCACCATGCCCACGCCAAAACATCAAATAGACCTAGCAGTTTTTTTAGGGTATGTCACCGTGCAGATGAATGCATGTAAACCCTCCGCGCCCCTCTCGTGTCTTCTCAGGAAAACAGAACGTGGCTAATCCACATCTCCACACATGCTACTGTCAGCACCGGTATATCCTTTATTCGTCCGATAAAGCGATGCTTGTCGTTCCTTCAGAAACTGGGGCAGGAATGTGTCAACCGCGTCATTTTTTTTCTCTGCTACAGACGTACTCCGATGTGCTCGCCCATGCGCACAAGCGTCTCGAGCCCCTTCTGAGAATTCTCCAACAAGTCCTTGTCGAATCCCACAGCTCCAGCCTTGAACAGCAGGATGCAGGTCGAACCGCCATACGCAAAATACCCCAGTTCATCGCCCTTCTGCACCCTTGTGCCCGGTTCCTTGGCACCCGTCAACTGGATAGATCCGACTGTCATGCAAACCCAAAACCAATAAATGCGTTAGAAAGAATTGTTGCATCAATTACAAACAGCAGAATCAAAGCTATAGCATAGGAGACTACTTACCGAGCAAGGCCCCAATCGAGACAAAGACACACTTGTCAAAGTTGTCGTTTCTGACTTCTTCGCCCTGAATCTGCTGTTCTAGATCAATCACTGTTATCCTGCGTACGTTCTCCGTAAAGACATCCAACTTCTCGTTGACCGCCATTGGGTTTACTGTGAAATATGTGCCGTCAATCTTGACAGGTTCCTTCGCAACCGTGCCAGTGACTGGGGAATGAAACCGGTGGTAGTCCTGTGGTGCCAAGCGGAACAATGCAATCGAGCCGCCTTCGAATTCGGCAGCCAGGGCATCGTCCCTGAGAAGCTGCTGAACTGAGAAGGATTTGCCCTTGATCCAGATTTGAGTTGCAGCCTGGATTGAGTCAAAGACGCAGAGACGACAGTCTGTGCTGGACACGATGACATTCTAGTAAACGGAGAATACATCAAGAAATGCATTATGAATAAAATGCCCATTCGGAATAGCATCGCTGTGCTTGATCGCTCTAGTCCTTACCGGATTCTCTGGCTCCTTAATCGGTCGAGCATCTAGCCTTAGTTTACGGTAAAAGAACTCGTTAAAGGAGCTGTATTTCATGGGATCTGGTTGGAGCAATTCGGACAGATCCAGTTTGTAGGTCTTGATAAAATGGCCGATCTGGGCAACGGACTCGGGCGCATCAAAATGCTTGCCCTGATTGACGGACTCGACCAAGAACAGGTGGTGGATCCTGTGGGTTTCAAGCACTAGTTATAAGATGAAACAAAGGCACATTAAAGAACAATCCAGTTGAAAATCGTAGACGGATCATGAGGACGCGTGGAAGTAGTAGGCGGCATACATTCGTGATCAAACATGCATGCAAACAGGATATGCATGCCAATGCGTGCATAAATGGGCATATCCTCCCAAATCTTTGTCCCAGTCTAAATTATGTTCGAAAGCATAACATGGTTAGGCATTGAAAGTGGCATAAAGTATGAAGAGCTATGCGAGAAGCACGTCGAATCGCGGTTCTGTACCTCGCGATTCGAGATAACATAATTTCCAAAGTGGTGTTCGCTCGAGATCTTTTGGGTCCAATTGATGGGGAGTGCCGCATGGTACCACTTTTTCTGGTTGGCGCTTGTCAAGATGCCGCCCTCAACTAGACATTGTGTTGTAAACAAATGGCCAATCGCCCATTAGACATAGGCTCTTCCTTCTCTTAATTGTGTAGTAAATAGCACCCTCCGACTTACAAATACTTCCAGGCTCTTCGGCAGCTGAGGACTTCTCGACGGATGCTGAGAGTGCGTGCCTAAGGCCATGGACGTTATGATCCTTCGTCTGCTCCTTGACAAATTTGGCGTCAATCGTCAGTGGGTACTGGTCCGACAGCGCAGCTGGCATTGGTTCCACAGCCGGCGTACTGTAAGAAACGGCTGGAGTCGACTCTACCGAATCGACTGTAATCTCGCCATGAGGCTGCTCCTGAATGGTCGCAGTCGTCGTGTTCGGATTTAGGACGGTCTGGTCGGTGTTGTTCATAGGCGCTTTTGTGAAGCTGTCAGTGGTGGTGGTGCTAATGGTCGTCCTCTGAGGGTCATCCGCATCAATAGGGGTTGCTGTCGTAGCCTCGACATTACCCTGCCCTGCTTCGTCCTTCTCGGAGTGCGACAGCTTTTCTGAAGGAGTAAATATCTGTTAGTTTGGATATACATTGAGGCAGAGGGCAGACTGCATTATGCTCCCGGCAAAATTTCCGCTGGCGTACCTTTGAGTGACTTGAACATAGTCCAGGTGCTTTAACGGCTGATGAGTGGAATTGCAAGAAAACAAAAAGAGGCGAATGGGGTGAATGGGGCGAATGAAGGATGGAGCAGGTTGCCCATGGACTCGATAGCGCCCCTTATAGCCCCTCAGCCCTTCCAAAAAAGGTACTCCCTCATGGGGACGGATCATCGTCCGCGCGGTTGATCATAAAAGAGCGCAATGGCAGGCAGTAATGAACACACATCAGGGCGCTCGCTAAACTCTCTGGGCTTTGTTGTTTTCGACTCCCCATCGTCCTTGGCGACATGGCGACATGCTAGGCACTCGTCAGGCCCATAGCTTAGCCCAGCCTTTTCAAGAACAAGCGCCATTTTGGAGAGGTTGACAGTTTCCATCTTTGGCAAACTATGTCAGGCATGCCGTACGATTCCCATTTATGGCAATTTCCGGTTAAACCTGACATGGTGTCCGTGAGAACTCCTCGATACATAGAAATACCATGCGACGACGCACTACACCCATGTCAATAGCTACTCATCGCCATTCAAACTCGCAATACTCTATCGTCTCTTTTCCCTATGTGAATCTCTTTTCCTCTTACATACGCTGAATTGCCTTAGGGTATTATCTGTGAGTGGAGGAAGGATGTAATTATTTTAAGCAGTTTTGGCTGAAAAAAAAATAAAAAAATAAAAAATAGAGAGATCTCAAGCAACAACATAGTGCACCATTCCAGCATTACAATCTAATCATCCTTTATTCATGCCGCCACGGAACAAATTTCCTCCCCAAGCCCCTCCAGAATGACGAGCTACCCAAAACTTTTATTTGAAAACCCCTGTTGGAGGTGTGTCTCTTGTCGCCAATCTATTGATGAAACATAAGTTATACATAGAGCACATGTGCGATTGTCTCTGCCAGAAGGCAACGGCGTTATCCCATCCAAGAAAGTCCGTGTAGATGCGGACAAAACGACTTAATTCTCGGCTATCTAGAGTCCAAACCGAATTTCAAGACTTTGATCACCAGCGATGAGAAGCCACTGGTGGGGGCTAAACATCTCATGTCGAAAGCTTGGGTTGAGCGCACCTAGTTGGTTCAACCAGAAAACTAGATTCTCTCTCTCAGGCAGAATTATGCAGTGGCGATTCAACACGTACAGGCAAAAATTCCAGAGAGCCTGTGCATTCAGCAATAAAATTAGAGAAAGCCCGACCTAGGAAGACGTCGACCGGGGGATCGCGACATTGGGTGAGAAGAGAGGAGAGGTACGACTCAAAAGCGATACCGAAGAATTTGAATTGAAGGGGGATGACTACACAGTGGTAAAGGACGATTGGCGTGGAATCGGAAACCTATGATGGAGACGCGACTAATACAGATTATGAGGATGAGGAGGACGATAGGGACATCGAGGGCTTTGACGCAATGTTAGACAGTATTGAAGGGGCGGTGCACGACTTTGTCCACAAGGCCCCGGGCTCGGAGAAAGGGAAGGGACGCCAGTGGACCGTCGGGAGGCCTAAAGGAAAAGAGGCTGCTCAACAGCCCTCCAAGGTGGACGATACACCCACAATGCCATCACCCACATCATCAACTCCTTCAACCCTCAAAAGGCGCTCTCCAGACTGTTTGTCCTCATCCAAGAGCTCGAAGACACTTTTTTTTAATACTATTAACCAATGCCTTGCGATTGTCCCTTAATCGAAAAGAAGCTTAAGGTAAACATAGAGTTTCAACGTGGGATGGCCCTATTCCAGCTTTTAACCGCCATGGTGCAGCAGAATTTCACATTGAAGGATAGGGAGAAAATCTCCGCATTGGCGAGACTTTTGAAGGACTGGAATGCGTTTAATATTGTTTCAATGCATCCTTCGCGGCTTCGTCTTTGTCGTCGTCGTCTGGGCTGCCCTCGATAGCTGAGCCACCAGATCCATCAAGCGTTTTCTTTCAGACATCGCTAATCGAGGCTAGCATATTGTGAAGTACGCAGGACGCCATCGTCCATTCAGCTAATGGTTCCATATATGCTTCGTTCCAAATCTGCTGCCTCCTCTTTCTGAGTGAACTCCATCAAGATTTCAATACGCTGATATCATGTTCACTGTGGAGACGGGATTTAACTAAACGATAGCAAAATACGGTATTGTCGGGTTGATTTGCTGCAGGAGCCTTATATGCAGAGATGTAGTACCTTGGATATCCTTGGGGCAGAATCAGCAAGGAGGTATTCGTCAGGCGAGAAGTCTAACCCTGGTGGTCGTCGGTCATTGATGAATCAAGAGTCCGCAACCATGGCATAAAGAAGGGTTGCATCTTCTCCTAGTGTTCGGTGCCTGCAAGGACGATCGGCATCTCCAGGTCGGCGATGAGCTGCTGACGTTTGGACACGCGGGGCGCGTTCGTATGTTGTGAGGTCATGAGAAAGTAAAAGAGAGGTTTTTGTTTTTTATTTTTGCATCTCAAGAAGTAAGCTGTGTGGTGCCTGAAATGGAACGGAGTGAATTACGTATTTGAAAATATATCATAAGGTTTGAAAAATACGAGACTTCGCCTGCTGTGCCGTTCCTTATGACCTTAATAAATCCCATGACTTTGAGGGTTCTCGTTAAAAAAAAAAAAAAAAAAAAGTGCCGTTCCTTACGACCTTAGATCAGTCCCGCGACCTCGAATCTCTTTCACCTCCTTCAAACCCCTCAGAGGCAGCACAGCCATCTGTCAGTAGTCCCAAGCAACCCGCTAGGGGAGGTGTGCCATTTGTCACGACGGCCGATGTGGTGAGACGGTGAAATGCGGGTTCATTGGGAGAGAATTGTAAGAGGGAGGGGGTATGGTCAAGGATCAATCTCGCTCCGATGGAGAAGTGGAGAAGGTGGGGAAAGAGGGTCTGGCGGATCCGGAGTGGGGGGCTGAGGAGAGCTGTCTATTTGGCGAGGAGGACCATGAGCTGGCGGAAAAGCAGGAACAGCTGACAAGTGCATCTCTGTGGCTGAACAGCACTGACAAGAAGGATGGCGAAGCGAAGAGTCGGACGTCAGACAAAGAGGCTCTAAAAAAATGGAGTTTTGACGCGCGGGCTATGTATAATTTGCTAGTCTAGTGCAAGGAGATTTAGTGTATCAGAGGAGCCTATCCTTCGCCATTGCCGGTAGTAATTATCGCACACTTCACACTCTCGCGTAATCACTCTCTTTCTTTCTTCGTCCTTCTTTCGTCCTTCCCTCCTTTCTTTCGTTTTACGCCCATTCGACTCCAGCGATCCTCCCGATCTTGTTTATATTAGTCATTGCTCTCGTGCATCCTTGTATTCTTCGCCTCACACTTTACTTCGCCTTTTTCATGCGCTCCTTTCTTATGAGAGGTCACAGGTCTTGACTGTGGTCATAGACATTGGAACAAGAATAGTATATAAGGGTAGAAGTGAGGATCCCTCAAGTAGTAGCACTTCCCTAGAAGCCTGAGAATATCCTCAACTCTACTTCCTTAGCCGATAAACCTTCCAGAGAAAGCCGTAAGAATATTCTATCGCCTGTTCCTGGTTCCTTCACCTCCCTATCTCTGTCTGTTCACCATTCATCTCTCACTCTCTCATAAGATTACTCACTCGCTTTCTCTTTCTATCTCCCTGTAGTCGACAAATCCAGTTACGCCTATCTTACAGCATACTCCGACCAGATCATGAACTATTTCGCTGCCTTTCCGGATTTCTCACTTAGACAGGGCGAACACTTGAGGAACGCATTCAAGCGCCTAGCTAGGGAGAAAGGCTGGTCTGATGGGATGAGGGCTAGTGAGAAAACCAAATTCTACCGATGTGTCACGCAACATCTGAATGATCGCTTCAACAAGCTGGAGCATTTCCAAGATCTGTGCCAGAAGCTGTTCGACAGCACACCAAGCTCAATCACGAAATGCAAAGCGCTTCTGATAACAAAGTATGTCAACATCTGGGACATTGTCGAGGGCCAATACAAATACTTTGAGCATTATGCCGACTTTCGCAAATACACTAGCAAGGGACGAACATTCGACAGGCGAGAGGCGAAAGGCTTGCTACTTAACGTATTTTTACGGCATTTAAAGTAGTGCGTATTTGGCATCGACTTCACCGTTGACATCCTAAGCGTCCAGTTGCCACTCTAAATTCATATCACAATAAAGAGAAGATATTGTTGCATTGAGCTTAACAGTGGGTGGTACGGGCTACGTTGTTGCTCGAGGAGATAATTCTGCTACAGTTGTATGGAGTAAGGAAACTCTCAATCTGAATGCCCGAATAATCTGTGTTCCACACTGAACACATAGGTCTAACGCACAAACTACGCACACTGTAGTGAGTGATCAGCACAACGATCTTCTTGTTCAACTGGAACCATAATTCATTGCTGATATATCTAAGCAAAAGGGTACCTATAGCGAGTGATTAGCACAACGGTCTTCTTGTTCAACTGGAACAAGGAACAAAAGACCGCTGGCTTCGACCCTCCTTTATACAGGCACAACCTCAAAATCTTATATCGAATCCTGCGTACTCGCGGTGGCTGCTGGTAACAACGTCGTACTTCCCTACTCTTTTGACGCGACACGACCAGACCAGCCACAATCGAAATCTCATGTGAGAAATTGAGAGCACCGCGACTCCAGTCGCGTCAAGACGCGGACGGTAAGGTACTGTGTGCCAAGAAGGGCGCGCTTTATTTTTTTAATAGGAAATTATTGACTAATTAGACTGTCTTCCGCGCATAACTTATGCGAGTACCCAGCCAGGCACTCGCACATTGTCTGGAACCATTCAACTCTTGGCAAACGATAGGGGCGCTCAATTCAGGATTGATACAAACCTCTTGCAAGTTTAATGTCTTTGACTTTTTTTCCCCCACCATGTCCTCCTTTCTATAATGAAAATCACAATTTGCTCTGTCCTTATTCTCTATCTCTCTTCTTCAAAGACTAAAGCCGCCCTGTTTTGCAATCTTGCGGTGTATTCACCATACTGTCTTGCTTATTAAAAGTGGCCCATTTCTCTGAATCTGCCACCACTCGGTGCTGATTCTTTATTAAGAGCATAGTGCCTCTGGGACTAACTCCTATATTTTCCTATATCTAGTCTCCTATGCTAGATACATTCATAGAGATTCCCTGGTATATAAGGCACGACTTGCCCATTATTAAAAGAGCATCTCGTTTTTCACAGATACCGTTCCCACATACTTCTATTTCCTGTCCACCAAACACATTTCCTTTCTTGCCCACAAGTCGAGTACCCAAACGCGCGATGCAAGTCTTCTTCCGAACTCCCAATGGGCGCCTTGTTGCTAGACAGCTCCTCGACACGCTTACACTAGACGATTTCATCAAGACCGCGGGCGATGTGCTGGGGACCACCATTCGTGACGAGATTCTAAGCTGGCGATACACAGTCGGCAGCAAACCTCTCGATGTGAAAAATGCAAAGGAGTTTGATAAGTGCAAGCAGCATATCATTAAAGAGTGCAACATCTTTGTGCTGGGTCGTCTTCTGGGGGGATCTACTTTTCCGGACACGCTTCAGACCATTGTTGAGCAGCAGCTCGAGGACGAGCTAGACAAAGTGGCTACGCACTCTTCCGAGTGTTCGATATGCCTCGACACTGACACGGACTGTCTTAAAGCGTGCTGCGTGTGGATGTGCAGTGAGGATTTCAAGAGCTGGATACTGGACAAGCAGTTCAAGACGTCTTGCATACTGTGCTCCAAAGTAATTATGCTCAAAGACATCTTCAAGTCACCAGAATACATCGCAACTGTACAGGCTCTCGAGGATGAAAAGCAGCTTCTGCAGAACATGGATTGCCAGCGCTGCCTCAACTGCAATGTACTTATGCACAACGAAACCATGTCGTCGTGTCAGACTTGCGTCAAGTGTCATCGCTTGTTCTGTTTCTTCTGCAACCGCAACTGGAATGCCGCGACAATGCTCAACCGCCAGAATTCATGTGGCAAGGAATGTGTCTACGAGACTATGCTCTCATTCCAACTTGTACGCTTCCACTACAAGAGAGACATGAAGATCCCGAGTCGACGTACATGTCCCCGGTGTTTTAACTTCGGTGCATATGATGGCAAATGCAAGTACCACTCCTGCACAGTATGCAAATTCACCTTTTGTTTTCTGTGCCTCGAAGAGGAGAACGAGTGCAAGAGAATACACAAGTCCCAGTACGACCATGCCTGCGTCCGCACGCCTGTCTCTCAGACCTACAGCATGTTTCCACGGCTGGTTTCGCTGTGACACGATCCCCCCGATGTCTACGTATGCTGGCTTATAACCTGCACTATTTTCAGCAGAGTGTTTCTTCAGTCTTTACTGCCTCACTTGGCCAAAATATATTTATAAATTTATAGCAATTATCATTATATTAAATTATCAGGTTCCTTTTTATTTGGTTTATTTGGATATAAAGATAAAGATATCGAAAGCGCGCAAAATGGATGCGTCCTGTCGAGTCACTGTCCTGATGTTAGAGTTCCTGAAAACCACGCTTGACAGTAGCCGGGAAGACGCTGGTTGGTTGCCGGGAAGTGTAACCTACACCGACATTTCTAGAGGCTTCAAGGCGAAAAAATAATAATAATACTAATCTTACCGCGCTCTAGCTCTGCCTCCCTGGACTGACTGAAGACCCGATCTTCTACGGTTACCGCACGTCAGACTGCTCTCCAAAGATGATTGCCTACGGCCAGCTTGTCAGAAATCTGGATATCAGTACGGTTGCTGTGCATTTGCCCACCTTGCACCAATTCTCGATATCCAATATCCATTGTCGTTTACCGCAAATGGGACATCCAAAATTCTTTTGACTTCATCCGAAAATAGAACTTTAGTGTGCTGCAAAACACTAGAATGAATAAAGCTTCCAGGAGTACCATCTCATCTCCCATCCTTCTTTTGCTCGCTTTTCTCATTCAACCCGACCTATACCAGCAGCACACGGCTCTTTCTATTCTCAACCGTCGCATACTGAACGTGTCAACGCACCATGGCTGACGCGCCATTCGACTTTCTGGGCGAAGCCGGCATCCCCGCCAGCATCAACAGCCCCGCCGCAGAGGCAGGAGGAGCACTCAAGGAAGAAGAGGATGCATTCTCGGCTGCAGTCTCTGTCTGGAGAAGTATGACGACCTTTCCAAAGGCAGTATGGCATTCCAATTCGATGACTTGGCCATTTACGTTGGTACTGACCGGATTGGACCAATATCTGCCCGTTTTATTTCTTTTTTTCGGCAGGCATCCAGCTCCCTGTTATCCAACAAGAGATGGACAATCAATCGGTGGAACTCTTGGAACAGCAACAACAAAGTTTGGCAGGACGAAAGAGACTAGCCGAACTGACTCGAGGTGAGTGGATCGGGTTTGTGTTTTTAGACAAACGCGAGTATGGGCTGATCTGCCATGTTATTGACCTTTTCACATTTGTATCGTATGTTTACGTTGTAAGAATTCAAAAGGATTAATGATCAGGAAAAGCTGCAGCAATTCAAGTTGCTGCTAAAGGCATACCAACAGGAGATCGACGCGATTACAAAGAGAGAAAAGGCTACCGCACAGGCATTTCTGAGCGTGTACAATGTTCTCGGTCAAGCACCGGATCCTGCGAAGTTACTACAGGTTGCAGCTGTAAGTGGAGCTAGGATTAGCTGAAAAGAAATCTGGACTACAATTTGCATGATTTCTTTTTTTTTTTCTTTTTTTTTTTGCCTTGAGTGCTTCTCGCTAACATGGATGGGGAAGGGATCTGTTTTTTAGGATCAAACGATCAAACTGGAGGAGATTGGGCTCTTGCAGGCCGAGAACATTCGACTCAAGGAAGAGAATGCCAGTCTGAATAGACAAACCACGAACCTGCGATCCATGTCGAGCAACGCCACCAAACTACAGCAGCGGCTGACTCGATTAGAAACGAAGCAAGAAGAGACCATTCAGGAGAAGGTCAGAGAGAAGGAACAGGCGTTCAGAGAAGAGTGGGAGGAAAGGATTCGGAGCGCCAAGGAGAGGTATGTCTGCTTCGCTCTTTCTTTCAATTGTGTCCGTATATGAATATATATTGCGCCGCGCGCGTTTCGTTTCCATTGCGAACTTGAGACAACATATCAATCATATACATTTGATGACGACGAATTAATAGGGAACACGACTTGCAGAGACAACTGAACCAGGCAAAGGATCAACTCAGGACACTTAAACATACCAATGACTCGACACAGGCAACTCTGGTCGATCACTCGCAAAAGTACGAGGAGGAAGTTGTCGCCAAGCTGGCGGAGCTGGACATCGTGCTTCTAGACTATGAGCGAGCCAATACCAGGATATCGGAACTCGAGGGCCAGAACGAGTTGTTGCGGGACCAAGTGGACAACACACAAGGACGGGGCATTGACCAAGAGAGGTAACACACATTTCATCAGGCGCAATGTTCACAAGAGAGGAAAAGAAAAAAAAGAAAACAAATGGCGTCTGAAAGAAGCCGGATATTAACCAGATTCGCGGTTTTATTGTAGGGCTGCAACATTGGAACAGACCATTGAGAACCAGGATGTTGAGCTGCAAGGATTGACAACCGTCTTGGAGAACCTCAAGTCGTCGAGCAAGGTAACACAAAAACTTTTTGTCTTCTCTTTTCTTGAATGAACAGACTGGCCTTGGGTCATTCGCGGCAATAGTGCTAAACAGTATCCTCAAATTTGCTTACCACAGAAACAAATAACGACATTGGAGCGCAAGACAGTCAACCTGCAGCGGGAACTTCAGGAAAGGACAGATGAAGTCGAGTCAATAAAGCGCAAATTGGACCAGTACAAGGACTACGAATCTGTCAAGAGTGAGCTTGAAGTTCTCAAGGTACACGACAAAACAGACCGTCCAGGGGATTCCCCTGTCGATTCAAGTTAATGTGGTCAACAGTAGGATAGCTCTAACCGATTTCTGTTCTGCCGAAACCCATCTTGTTAGTATATCGAGTTCTCTGGCTCGAGAGGAGTGGATGTTGATGACGACTGGGACGAGCGCGTGCTGACCCTGGCAAGCAAGAACCTCGAGAAACCGCTTGAGGTCCTGTTGATGGAAAAGAATCGCAAGCTGGAGAACGAGCTCACGGAACTCAAGGTCCTCCATGAATCTATCACACAGGAACTGGAGGACGTGCGAACTCGCCATGAGGTGGCCACCCGCCAGCTCGGTTCACAGACCGAACTCATTCAACGACTGGAAGAGGACATCACACGATTGAACCAGTCGACGGGCGCAGGTGGGTCGGTGGCAGGGAACGGCGGCTTCAATGGATATTTTATTGGACCAGCAGGTAGTACTCCAGGCGGATTCCAAAACCCGACTTCACCACCCTATGGAAAACACTCGTTCTCGGGAGATGTCATTGGAGGCGTGGCCTTGGGGTCAGTGCTCCCTACAACCCCGCGGACACCAGGATTTCCTTCTACCCCATCACTCAACCCGGACTCTATGGGATCTGGCGGACCTGGTGCTGGCCCACTCTCAGCTCCAGCTCCGGCAGACCATGGCATTCTGGCGATCGTAACAAGTCAGCGCGATCGCTTCCGTCAGAGGAACAGTGAGCTGGAGGAGCAGCTTCGCCAGCAGTCGGAGCAAATTTCCAACCTCAGGAACGAGACCAGCCAGCTGCAGAGGGACAATCTGAAGCTGTATGAGAAGATCAAGTTCATGCAGTCATACCGGGACGAATCCTCTGGTTCGGGTGTCGGGGGCGGCTACTCTGCAGCGGGATCTGCAGCGCCTAGTGCTATGGTCGATTACACCTCACCGTTCAGGAACACTGGCGTGGTCGGTCGTGCAACAGGCGGTGGAGTGGGTGGCCACTACAAAAAGGACGACGGAGACGAGGTGCAGATGCAGTCTCTGGATCCAACGGATCGGTACCGTAACATATATGAGGAGAGTATGAACCCATTCGAGGCGTTCCACAAGAAGGAGGAGAGCCGCCGGTTCAACAGCATGACACCCGCAGACAAGGCTATGCTGACGATGAGCAGGCTGGTCTTAACCAACAAGTGGACAAGGACTATGCTGGTCGCGTACACGATGGGGCTGCATTTCTTAATGGTCGTGATGCTCTACAAGATGGGCACCTTGGAAGAGTGTCGACATGACCATGAAACACCCAACGGCGCGAACCCTATGTTGCCTTCGGACGACTGAGGACGCAATGCGTAGAATCAAATAAAATATAATAAAAAAAAAAGTGCAGAAGAAGCAGCGCCTGATGTGCAGATCGAGTAATAATGCAGACTAATAGATTTTATTGGGTTTCTAGTGTAACAATGATAGGGATGGTGCAAATGAATATGGTAAAGTGAATGGAATGAAAGAAAACCAATGAAGAGAGAAGACAGCAGAGCAAGGCCAGGCCACCTTTAGTTGCGTTTGCCCTTCTGCTTCTTCAGCTTCTTCATCCTGGCCTCGGCGTTCTTCTCGCCCTGATCTGCCTCGAGTCCGCTCATGATGCCCTTGATCTTTGCGTTGTACTCCACATCCTTCTCGCGCTGGACACGGAGCTTCTCGCGGGCGACGAATTGGGCATCCTTCCTCAACTCGCGGATGGCACCCTTCTTCTCCTTCTTGTACTGGACCTGCAGCTTGTGAGCCTGAGCACGCTCCACATCCGGGTCGTAATGCTTGTCCAGAGAGTAGCCCTCCTCGAACTTGGGCACATAGGAGGCAATGGGCACGGGCTTGTGGGCCTGCATCTGCAAGGGAGCACGGGTGTCTGCTGAGAACGAATCGAGCTTCTGGATGCGATCCAGTGCCTTCTCGAGCTGGGCCTTAAGCGATAACGAAAAGTGTGATACTGAGGAGAGAGTCTTAAGCAGGCCGGTGGGGCCCTCGAACAGCTCCTTGAAGGCGCCTGTTGATGCGTAGAGGAGAGCGTATTTCGTAAGAAGGTCTGCCGTCGCTGACATGGCGGATACCCTAGAAGTGACAGGAGTCAAAAGGAAAAAAAAAAGAAAAAAAAATATGAGTACCATTGCTTTGGGTAATGATCGATGTAGTGAAGTTATACAATAAATCTACTCGGGTAATACCTATAGTTGTTCTTCTCAAGAGCGGCGTCCTTCATTTTGAACATCTCCATCGAGAGGCGTCCAGTTTCTACAGATTGCAGGCCCTTGGTCGTCATCTGCAGGGCGCTCCTGTCGATATCGAAGATGGGGAACGAGCCTGGCAGGCTATCGATATCCTTGAATGTGCCCTTGGGTGCCAAGTAGACAAGCGACGAACTCAAAAAGTTGATCGCCTCAGGAACAGCACGCTTAGACAAAGACTGGTAGTCCAGGAAAAGATTACACAGCATCAATCCCGAGGTAAGGTCTTTGACTGATGCAACCTGGCACTGGCCCAAGTATTGACTCATCAAAAACTGGGCAGGCGTAATGACTTGGTGCTGGAAATCAGATGTTGAATAGATCTGACCAAGGATACGGAGGAATGTCAGCTTGCCGCTCTTGGGAAAGCCCGACGTCGTTCCTGATGTAAGATCCTTGAGCAGCTCTGCTTCGAACGCCTCCAAAAATCCGAGGATGCATTCCGTTGCATAATCGCCCAGTTGCGAGGTCATGGCGTAGATGTGGCGAACAAGAGTGTTGAGGGCTGTGGTGGGGTACTTCTGCTCCGAGGCCGAGATCTGGAAGACATAGTCAAGCAAGACTGGGTAGAAAATCTGCATCTTTTCCTTGTTCTGTGGCGAGAGTTTTGGATGATAAAGAGCGCGGATGCGGTGCACAACAGTCGGAACATCCTTGATGTCGATATTCTCGATAATGGACAGGAAGTGGGTGAGCGATGTTGGGCATGGGAAGGTGTAGGGTAGCTCGGCAGCGGCAGCGGACGCATCTGCGCTGGGAGTCTTGGGCTTCTTCTCCGCCTTGGCTGCCTTGGACTTTGTAGCGCTCATATCGTTCATGTCATCCTCATCATCGTCGGCGGTGCCAGCCTTGCCGGTGGGTCGCTCCATCTCCATGTCCAGGTCTGAAAAGTCGTCTTCCGAGTCACCCTCCTCTTCTTCATCGTCCTCGTCTTCTTCATCATCATCATCCGCGTCCTCGTCTTCATCTCCTTCCTCTTCCTCATCGTCTTCTTCTTCCTCATCGTCTTCTTCTTCCTCAGCGTCGGATTCGCTTTCATCGACCTTGACTGTCCTGCGCTTCTTGCTAGGCATCCTGCCGGGCTTAATTCCCCTGAAAACCTCCTCTTCAGCATCCATGCCGGCTCCAAGACCAAACTCATCAGCGTCCTCCGGTGCAAAGTCATCATCCAGATCATCTGCAGCCGGCACAGCCTTCCTCCGCTTCTTATATCCCCCCTGTTCGTTCTCATTCTCCTCGGCAGCAAGACCCTCCATACGACGCTTACGGGCACGCTCTGCCTTCTCCAGTTTCTCGGCCTCCTCCTGAGCAATCTCTTCCTCGGTCTTCATGCGATCCTGGGGCTTGGCACGTCTGTCAAAGGCAAGCTCCCTGATGTGCTTGTCGTAGTCATCGTTGAAATCCCTGTCAAGATCACCACTCTCCCGGTCTGCCTTCATTCGCTCCTTCTCCTCGTCAGCAATTCGATCCAAGGCACGAGTAGCAGTGCTCCTCTGCGAAGGAAGAGGGGCACGCTTAGGACGACGATCCTCTGCAGCCGGGTCCGAGAATCCCAAGAGTCCACGAATGCCCTCGAGTTCGTCGTCCAGCTCCTTAGTGATATCGTCTACTTCCTCCTTCTCCTTCTGGCGCTCGTGCTTATGGAACTTTGATTTGGCGATAACCTCCTTCATGATCTCGGCCTTAGACCTTGGCCGACCATTCTCATCTCTCTCCTCGGGCGCCTCGTCGAATCCTCCGAAATGGCTGTGACTGACAATGTCGCCACTGATACCTCCCCGGTTATCGTCGTCATCATCACTGTATCCGAGCTCTGTCTCGTCAAAATCGTCCAGTCCAGCAAGGGACTGACCATAGTGGGTCAGGTCGGCGTCCTCCTCGAGATTGAAAATGGCGCCGCCCTTCGTTCTGCTTTGCTTTTCCCTTGTGAAACGCTCCAACATCTTGTCCTCTGGTGTCATGTTGGGATCGTCCTCTCCGAAACGCTTATCGATTACTCCTCCGGCCTTGTTCTTCTTCTGGAGCTCCTGAAGCAGAGTTTTGCGGCGCTGAACAATTGATATCGAATGGTCATCCAGGGCAAATAAAAGGTGATGGTTAGCCAGGAATCAAAGATACTTGCGTCTCTCCATGGAAGGATGAAAAAAAAAAAAAAAAAAAAAAAAAGCATAGGGCACACATACGTTCTCCTCGCCGACTTGCTTCGACAACGTGGGCTTTCCTTCAACACCTTTCGTCTTTCGTCCAAGAATGTCGTACTTCTGGTGAGTGACCTTCATCTCAAAGGGGTTCATGGCATCCTTGATGTGGGCAAGCTTCTTGTTGAGATCATTCTTGGCGCTGGCGGCGGTTGGGCGACCCTTTTTCCTGTCCTTTTTGCTGAGCGATGCACGCGAGTTGGGACCAATGGCGCCAGCCTCCTTGAGGGAGGACTTGAGGCGGTATAGAGCAGACTTTGCCATGCTGTCCTCCGAGAAGCGGGTAGTGAAGTAGGCGTGAAAGGGGAGTGGGTAAGGTACAAACTCTGATGCTATTTTGCCATGGCAACAAAAAAAAAAAAGAAAGTGCCAAAATGTAAACAGCTTATCACGTGTAAGACTGCTAACTATCTATCCATTGATCTGGACGTTCCAAGGTGCAAATTGCCTCAAACAATTAACATCCAACTTATGGATACGGGCTATGACGCCTAGTGCACCGCAACCAGCGCATTCACAATGGAAGCACTGTCATCTGCGATGTCTTTTGGTGTCATCTTGGGCTGAATATCCTTCTCAATTGCTCCTCAGATATGTATATATTTCTGCTTGAATAATGGTTCTACAAAATAGTGTCCAATGTCCTCAATTGAGAGATAAACAAAGTGCCTCAGTATGGATATGGACGGCGAAAACAAACGAGCATGCCGCACTATGGGCCGTGTGTGTGTTTACAGCGGCGGATAGGACGCTTTCCCATGGTTCAAGTTGCAAGAAGCATGTCATATCGAAATGTCATATCGCCAGATGCCTCCCCTTCTCCCCAACCTGAAGTGCTCCTATCCAATCAGAAAGCGCGCTCGATCTTATTTGAAGAGTGTGGGGTGCGACCTTTGCCTATGATGCTCCTTCCTTGTGCTGCCGTCCATCCATCACTTACCCTCCGCTGAAAATTCCACTCCATTTCCATTAAAAACCATACCTGTGGCCTTTTGCGTTATTGGAAGATAACCGTCGTCGGATCTGCAGGGTAGAGTTACTTTGCTGCAATTCGGATGTGTTTCCTGCCATGCCGATCCTTCTTTTAGCCATGCGGATCCCACACGCTGTCTACAAGTATCCCCTCTGCCTGCGATCTGACCGTCTGTTTATCTTTTTTTTTTTTCTTTTTTCTTTTTTTTAATACGGTAGGAGTCCCATCGTTACTACGCAGGATCACAAGGATCAGTGTCGGACTCATCAACATCATTTTCAACTTTTGATAAAATTGTCATCGGAATCTCTGAGCACTCTGTTGCAGGACACAGAGCATAGAGTCAGGGCAATTGGGAAAACCTCATTGTATCATCATTGAAGAACAGAGACTAGGCAGAAGGAGACGTCAATGACTTCATCGTCAACAGCAACAACAACGACCGCCACTATCACTACTACCACCTCGACCGCCAATACCACAGAAAAGGCTACAGCTCCGACCATGATACCAGACAACAATCATCCTGTCAATACGGCGACTGCAGCCAACGCCGCTAATGAGTCATCCAAGGACAATGCTCCTTTGACAAACACCGATACTAAAGAGAGAACTGCCAATAATGTCAATGAGGGGACCTCTCAATGGGCTGGCGATGGACAGGATGCTACTTCGACTCTGAAGTATGCACGACCCAACTCCGACTACTCTCCCCCTGCAGCCAGCCTGAGTCCAGGATTACAAGGTAGCAAAAGATCGCCAGGACGTAGACCATCAGAATCTGAGTCCCACCATGGATTGATTCGAGGAGACAACCGCCCTGATAATCGACGTTCAAGGGAGCATTCTAACACAAGAGGAGACACTAAGAGACCTAGGAACGATAACTCTTCAGCAGCAGCATCAAAGCATGAGGATCGCACTGCCAATGGTCATCGGAACGATCGAGGGCGATCTCAGCACTTTAGCAACAGCAAGGATTACAAAGATAAATCCGACACCATTGAGTCTAATAAGCGACAACCCGATGGTTCAGATCGGTCAGCGAGAGGGCGAGACGGTGGTCGAGAGAGTGCAAAGGACAAGGACGGTCGCGGTCGCGCTCAGGATCAAAGATATAAGGATGATCGCCAGCAGCCTCAGGTGTCTCGATATAACCAAGGTCGGGAACATCAACCCAAGGATCGTGATAATAAGGAAAGAGAGAGCAAGCAGCAGAAGGACGGTCAGGCTAAAGGTGCTGAGGGCGAAAGACCGGATCCACTGAACTTGCTATCGATCACAGGGCGTATGGGATCGTTGACACCTCACAAACCATTCTTCGGCAATTCGCGTATTGTGGATGACTTTGAGAAACTTAACAAAGTGGGCGAAGGCACATATGGCGTTGTCTAGTAAGTGTGGGATTCAGTTTTGTCCTCGCTCTTGACTAGCCTTAATTCTCAGTTTGGATCGCGTGTTAATCAACTTGATGCGCTTTTAATCTTTTAGTCGTGCGCGGGACAAAAAGACGGAAGAGGTTGTGGCGCTCAAGAGGATCAGGATGGAACGTGAAAACGATGGATTGCCAATATCGTCCTTACGGGAAATCAAGCTGCTCAAGACTTTGCGACACGACAACATTGTCCTGGTGAAGGATGTAGTTGTTGGGAGCGATTTGGACCAGATCTTTCTCGTCATGGAGTACTGCGAACAGGTATGGAGACTTGCTCAGGACTCTTGCTTCTGCATTCATGGATTAGATTTATACAGCTTTCTGGCCTGACCTGGCCTGACCTGACCTGACTTGACTTGACTTGACTTGACTTGACTTGACACCCTCTACCAGGACATGGCGGCGCTCATGGATAATTTCAAGAAGCCCTACACTCCAGCGGAAGGTATGACACGTTCTGGTGAAATGTCAAGATCTACGATTTAAACTTCTGTTCGTTCAGTTGCTGACGCGGCCACTTTCAACCATCAGTCAAGTGCCTGATGTACCAGCTTTTGAAGGGCATGGAGTATTGCCACGATCATTACGTTGTTCACCGGGACCTGAAGCTATCGAACTTGCTGCTGAACGCGAATGGGATTCTCAAAATCGGTATGTGGAAAATACTCATCTTGTTTCTTGTATATTCATACTGAACTCGTATTTTGACCCTGGAGCTGACATCATCGTACTCAACCTCATTCGAATGGTAGCTGACTTTGGACTTGCACGCTCGTTTGGACTACCATCGCGACCCATGACACCGAAAGTCGTGACACTATGGTACAGGGCGCCCGAGCTGCTTTTTGGAGATTTAAATTATACGACGGCGGTGGATATGTGGTCTGCAGGATGTATATTCGGTGAACTATTACAGCACGCGCCATTATTGCCAGGAAAAGTGGAGAAACAGCAGGTGGATCTTATTATTGAACTGCTCGGGACACCGCACGAAAAGATTTGGCAGGGATTTAACAGGTTGCCAATGTCCAGCATCAAACTGCCAGAGCAAAGGTGAGCCGAGCTCCAGATACCACTTTTCTGCTTGCTTGGATATTACGTTGGGGTTTTTGACCAACTTTTTCGTTTTTGTTCTTTCTCATCAACCGAATTAGATTTAACAACCTGAGGAACAAGTTCCCGAACATCACGGATGCGGCAAGGTCTCTTCTCAGCGGATTGCTGACATACGACCCTAAGAAGCGCCTTTCAGTGAAGCAAGCATTAGCACACCCTTATTTTATTGAGTCCCCGCCAGCCAAGCACCCATCATTGCTGCCGACACATCCAGAGATTAGGAATATCTCAGTCACAAGGTAAGGCACCCTACTGCTTATTTTTTATCCTCCTATGCCAATCCACACAGACTTTTTGGAGCGACCGGCACTCGTTGACTCCCACGCTTTTTTATTTGACGCTAGAAATGAAGAGAATGCGAAACTGAAACGACAGGCACCAGGAGGAGACGAAACGGAGAGCATATCAAGCAATAGAAAGCGAATGAGGTGATCTAGATCTAGGCCTTGTTCCCATTCATAATAAAGAGCCTGTAGAATAATAAGCAATAAGCGCTCATCGTTATGGTATCCATGCTGGCTTATATCGCTGCCACTCTGGGATCAAGTTCAATGCTGCGACAAGAGGTGACAATTGTCTGCCCACGTTTACTTTTCCGCACTATTATAATTTTTTTTCGACGTTAAGTTGCTTGCCCACTTGCTCTCTCGTAAACACATTGACTGGAGGAGAGATGCGCCGCGTCTGTTTGTGAGGCGCTCGGAATGCCTTCCGTTGGGAGGGAAGGAGGGATATTTACTATAACTATAAACCTTCGCGACGTTCTCTGCTCTTTTCTTTTCTTCGATAAAAAAATCATTCGACCACTTCTGTTCTCCTCTTTTCTTTTCTTTTCATTTTATTTTTCCTTTTCTCACCCATCCCTTTCTTTCGACCAAAAGAACAGACCACATGAAGGCGGGTACCTTCCTGGCGGGCTTGCTGTCGACGGCTATCGTCTCCCATGCAGAGCTGAAGCGGTATAGAGTTTTGAATGGAATGCAGTTCCTGGCATGCTGAAGACTGTATACAATTTTTTTTCTTAACAAAAAAAAAATGGTTCCTGGGAAAAAAATCTCTCTAGACTTCCCTTGAAACGAACAACTCTTGATTCAGAGGCAGCAGTAACCCTGGACGCATCGATTACGGCTCAAACGTATTTCGGCAAGACGTCTCCTCGTCGTCCAAAAGAAATAGCATCGCAAAGCTTGGTAGAGTAACTCGACCCGCCCCCTCTCAATGTTTGTCCCCTCGAAAGTACATCTAGTCTTTTTTTCAATCATCCTGACCCTTGGGGTTTTCCCCCACTCGTTTTGCATTTTCTTTTTTCTTTTTTTTTTTTGCTTGTTCGTTCGTTCGTTCGTTCGTTCGTTCCCTGCGTATATAGTATACCACAGAGATCAGTCTAGGGACACCTCCCCAATCCTTTACTGTTCAGGTCTCGACTGGAAGTTCCAACCTCTGGGTCCCATCCTCTCAATGCACCTCCACGACCTGTCTGCGTCACCCTCGCTTCGACACATCCGCGTCCTCCACATTCCTAGCCAACCGTACACACCCCAACTTCCGGATCCCGTCCTTCCAACGTCAATACAACCCCAAGGACGACGAAAAGGATCCTGTGGACCTATCAGGAACCCTTGGAAGCGATGACTTGACGGTCGGTGGCGGCTTGTTTCTCCTCAGCCCCGATCAATCGTTCGGACAAGTTGTGGAAGAACGAGGCGGGGAGTTGAAATCCGCGCTACAGGGTGATCGGTTCGACGGCGTCTTGGGACTCGGGTACGACGCCCATGCAGTCACGGGACACCCGTTTTTTTTGAATCTTATCGACCAAGGAATCCTGGAAGAACCCGTCTTTGGCGTTTACATGTCCCGGGACGAGGACCGCGTAGAGAGTCAGTTGACGCTGGGAGGACTAGATCCAGACCACCGTGTGGGCGAGATCCAATGGCATGAGGTGACGAGGCAGGCCCAGGGACAATGGGCCATCGAGCTGACGGCGTTTGCGCTCCGACGCGAGGCCTTCGAGATCGATGGCAACGCTGTTATCGATACCGGGTTCCCGTACATTGCGCTGACAAGGTTCCAGGCGGCGATGATCAATGCTCAGATCGGTGGTGTGGAGACGGAACCCGGAAGTGGAATCTATGAATTGCCGTGCAGGAGCATCCCGACGCTGTTTGAGTTTATCATCTTGTTTGGATTGGAGGAGTACCAATTGCAGGGACATGAATATGTGCTCCGAGGGCGTGGACAGGGCGGCGGACGCCATGCGAGCGGGAATAAGAAGGGGCTGTGCCTGAGCGCTATTGTCGGCATGGACTTTTCAAAAGAATCAGGGGTGGTTGCGGTCTTTGGAGAGGTCTTCTTGCGAAAGTATTACAGCGCGTATGATCTCGAGAACCATCGCCTGGGTTTTGCACTAGCAAGTTAGTCTACAACACGAAGGGCGTTTTTTTTTTATTTTTTTTTATTGGTCAATTAAATAAATAATAAGATGGTAGTCAGTAAAATAAAACCTCCCCGCCGCCGATATATTAAGGATAGATATCTTATGACGACTCTTCGTGGCGATCAGATCCAGCGCTAATGCTGGTCCGGTGATGGCTCTTCCGACGCTGCCGTCCATGCTCAATGCCCGATGCCGTCGAGGCCTGGTCCGCCGGTGCTTCTGCGAACCCGTCTGGCATCATCTTTTCCTTCTCTATTTCACCGCCCTCAGCAGCCTTGGCTGACGAAGCAGCCTTCTCAGGGTTGGGCAACGTCTCTTGCGAAGCTCCGGCGCCGACACCGTGCTCAGCGTGCTCCAAAGGGTCCTGGCCCTTGATTTTCCTGATCAGGCGCACGAGCCATGGAGGAAGAACGCCCTCGCCTTGAGGACCCATTCGGAAAGACATGATAGGGTCGCGCTCGCCCTTGTTAGGTGGCACCCATTTTCCTCGCGAGATCTTTTCGATAATATAGACGACCCCGTTGATGACGATAGCCGCCAAGAGACCGCCCAAGAGGCCATACGCAATGTTGTAGGTCAGTGGCATCATGACCAGTGTCAAGAAAGCCGGGATCGAGTCGCCGATGTAATTGAAGTTGATGTCCGTCACGGATTTGGTCATCAAGGATCCGACAAAGATCAAGGCTGGTCCTGTGGCCCACGGTGGGATTGCCGAGAAGATAGGCGAGAAGAACAGGGAGACAAAGAAACAGAATCCTGTCATGACAGCCGTCAATCCTGTACGACCTCCCTCTGTAATACCCGCTCCAGATTCGACAAAGGCCGTAACATCCGATGTACCAAAGACTGCGCCCAGGGAGACACAGAGCGCATCTGTGATGAAGGCTGGAGTCGATCCCTCGAAATCGCCTGTCTTGGGATCCATAAATCCTGCAAATTGTGCCATAGAGAACATAGTGCCAGTGGTATCCAGAATGTCGACGTAGAGGAACGTAATCAGCGCCAGCCAGAACTCTCCCGTGTTCAGCTCAAATTTCATGACCGCCCATGTCTTTTGGATAGTGTGGAAGGTAACGACCTGCTTGAAGTAGCTGAAGCGGCTGTCGCCAGCGGCGTCATGGGGGAAATAGGTCACGCCCGAGTTTCTGAACCATGAGACGATGGCGACAAAGAGAATGCCGATCAAGATCGAGCCCTTGACTCTGTACATACCGAGGATCGAGATGATGAACAGACCAAGGACGCCCATCCATGTTCGAGGCGACTCCATGCGATGAGAGAGGCAGGCACCGGAGGCATCCAGGTACTCGGAGTTGCAGCCGCCAAGGCCGACCAGCGTAGCAGGATCCGCACGGATGAGACCGATGCCGGCGGAGGACTGCATGCCAATGAAGGTCAAGTAGATACCGATGCCAACTCCCGTGGCGACCTTGATGTTGCGGGGGATGCAGCGAGCGAGCCATTGACGAAGACCGAGAATTGAGAGGACTAAGAAGATAAGGCCCTCAATAAAGACCGCCGCCAAAGCAACCTCGTAGCTGACCTTGCCGCTCCCAAACTTTCCCACAACCGTATAGGTGAAGTAAGCGTTGATGCCCATTCTAACCATGTAAAGAAAAATGAAAATGGTGTTTTTTTTGGCAAAGCACGTCGTCAATTATCGAACCCTGACCTCATGGCAACATTTCGTCATGTAAACCATTCATGTAACTTTCTTTTTTTTTTTTTGTGTCCTAGCTATTCTTTCTTGCTTACCCTGGAGCCATGCCCAAGGGCAAATTCGAAAACAATCCGATGGCGGTCGAAGCGATACATGCCATAGCAGCCGTGGCAACGATCAGATCCTTCCTGATGACATCCACACAGGCCATGTACTCAGTATTGGCACTGCAGTATGCGATCCTGTCCGAGGGACTACCTCCTGTGGCAGCTGGATCGAAATCGCAGACGCAGGTTCCGCCGGTGTCGGAGATGATGAGCGAGTTGACAGAGATGATGTAGGCCATGGTGACAAAGGTCGCAAATCCGGCGCGAATCTCGGTCGAGAAGCGGGTATTAACGCGTGCGCGAGGGTGGGACGAACCCTCGAGCATGAACCATCGACCGACGGGCGACTTTGCGACGGTTGTGTTGAGTCGGGCGACGAAGCCAGTCATTGTTGAAGAGCTTTCCTGCTGTGAAGTAGCTCCTGCGTGGATTCTGCTTACCCTGCTTCTTTCACAAGATTAGGGTAGAGATAATTGTAGATAGTAAAGAGTGCGATGATGGATCCTCTTTCCGGGAGAGGGAGAGGGAGAGGAGGGAGTATAAGCAGGTGTGTTACAAGAAATAGAAATAGAAATAGAAAAAAAAAAATTGCTTTGCAGTGTTTATTTCTTTCTGACTCGACATGCAAGTCACCATCGTTTGGTTCGCTGGGTTTTAGGCGCACCCTGTTGTCTCGCCTGGCAACCCAGGAGCGGGGAACCATAATCTTATCCGGGATTGTGGATGTTGCCGGGAGGGGTATGGGATGGCATGAAGAGAGTCTGGGACGCAACCTAATAATGTATGGTCCACGGGCGAGAGCAGCAGGAAGGGGTGGGGATCGACATGTGAGGAGCGGCAGGGCGAGGAATGCCTTGTCGCGTTGCCCCCCAATACTGCTTTGTGCGGCCTACGCGTTTCCCCCTGCGCTCCCGCGAAGGAGAGACAGAGGGAGACGCGTCTGTGTCTAGTTGGTGGCAAACCCAAGACAAGAAGACGCGCCCTCCCCCCCTTCGCCACTGCAAAGCGTGTGTGCTACACGTCCATCCCCCGATGGTCGTCACCTGCCTGCTCCTCCCCCGCGGATTTTCCCACCAATACACCGCGGAGACAACGCTTCGCAATCGCATCCCATCTCTCCACATCCCACCACCCCCGCAGATCCCTACAAAGCAACCCAACTCATCCTTCAACATAAACTAATCCATCATGATCGCACTTCCCATCAACTTTGGCAAATGGATCGAGGAGCACGCCGACAAGCTGCAGCCGCCCGTCAACAACTATCTTGTCCAGCGTGGTGACTTCATCATCATGGCCGTCGGTGGACCCAACGCCCGGACAGACTACCATCTTAACGAGACCGAGGTAAGCTACAACGAGAACAACCGCAGATCGCTCTAGACGCAATTGGATCTGATTAATTGTTCACACTGTAACACCCCACCTTCATCCCGGATACAATAACGATAGGAATGGTTCTACCAATACAAGGGTGACATGCTACTCAAGGTTGTCGACAATGGCGAATTCAAGGATATCCCCATCAAGGAGGGAGAGATGTTCCTCCTGCCAGGTAACAAACCTTTCACGAGATAATCCTTTGGAACTGGCTCGCCCTCATTTCAGTGTCTTAATCAAACCCGACCCTTCCTTTTTCCCCACATCTCAATGATGTTTAGCAAACACGCCTCACAACCCTGTTCGGTTTGCAGACACAGTCGGCATTGTGATTGAGCGTCAAAGACCCGCTGAAGCCCTTGGTAAGCCAGACAATCACACTTTTTCTTTCTCCCCACTCTTTTTCCATCTGCGCAGACCATGTGGCTTGAATGGGACATTCATTTCACCAAAACCAACTGACAAATTGAACACTTTTGCGCGCGCGCGCGCGTGTCTGTATGTGTCTATCCTTGATAGATCGCCTCAGATGGTACTGTAAAGAATGCAAGGAGATTGTCTACGAGGAATCATTCCACTGCGTGGATCTCGGAAAGCAGCTTGCGCCTGTCATCAAGCGATTTGCTGCGGATGAATCTCTCCGAAAGTGCAAGTCTTGCGGTCATGTCAATATCGCCAAGTAAAAAAAAAAAAAAAAAAAAAAAAAAAAAAAAAAGACGAGCTGGGAGTCAAAGACAGAGACAGGAGCAGAGATAGAGACAGAAGGAGAGAAGCAGGAGGAGGAAAGGAACAAAGACAGGATATGAAATATCATTTACGATTGCTTGTTCAGCATTCGACTAGAGCAGACTTTACGAAATGCGAAATAAATAAAAAAAATGCACTCTTGAATGTTCTGTCAGCGTGGGAAACGAAAGACGAAAATAGAAAGAAAAAAAAACTAGGGCTTGCTTTTTACTGCCTAGTGGTTGATTCAACACCGCGATCTGATTCAACGCAACCCCCCACTCAGGCGCGCTCTCTCGCATCTCGCGTTGTTCTGTGTCTCATCAAAGAAATGGAGGATGAAAAAAAAAATGCCCTCAAAGCTGGGACAAACCTCACTACGGGATCAAGCACGCAGGATATCTTGGCGGGTATATCTGGGGCCAACTTTGAACGCATTTTCTGTGTTCCATACCCATATCGATCCCTTTCCCGCGCATATTTTCCGACATCCAATTCGTTGATCGAGCTGTAGAGGTATCAGCTTGGCCATCTGGGAAGGAGAACGTTGTTTTCCTAAGATGACGAGAGCCATGGAAGGCGATTGCATTTTTCTTTTATGACGGGACGAGGGGGGTGGGGACAAGTAAGTACATACAGCAGGTGGGTGAGTAGAACAGTAAGTAGTAGGTAAGCTGGAAAGTGCTGGAGGGAAAAAAATCCAGACACGGAAATTGAACTGAGACACGCTGAAAAAAAAAAAAAAAAAAAAAAAAGACATAGAACATAGAACACAGGAAAAAGAAAAGGCAAGGAAGGCGCGTTTCCTAGAACTACTACGACGCACACACATCTGGACGAGGAAAAAGATCGCAGTCGGCAGTTGGTGTCCACTTGTGGGGTTAGGCGTCCGAAGGAAAGCGCCCGTTAAAACCTCCATGCCACGCGACAACAAGCATGCAAGTATGCATCGTTCTAGCCATGCGACAACAGCAAGATCATTGTTTTCTGTTCAACCTCCGCATCCATCTCAAAGTCTTCTCATCGTACTTGGAGAAGTACTTTGAGTTAGTTGTGAGGTGGGGATATCAAAGTGGTGGTCCAGGACGATATGACTCAAAAGAAGGATAAAGGCGCAGATGTCATTGTGCAGAAAATACCACATTGGAAAACTTTCATTCTGTTATTTTTCGTTCGATGGCTGACAAGGCATACATGTCTGCATTGCGTTATGTAAGGGGTTTGCATGGACTTGATGCAAGTCCTTGGCCAAGTGGTTAGAAAAACTAGACAGAAGAAAAAAATGGGGGCGTTTGTTGTCCATTTTTTTCAAAGCCCGTCTTTTTTTTCTTACTCGGATCTGAGGTCCTCCACATGGTGCATGGTACTGCATGCAGGAGCTTTTTGGGGCGCCTATACCCAGACAGGCACACACTTTTTCTTTTTTTTTTTTTTGAACTTCTTTTCCTTCGGAAAAATTGTCCATGAGCAATTGCGGGGCTTTAAAAACAAAAGAGGAACTGGCTGCAAAGCCAGAGCCGCGACAGAGTGACAGATTCTTGAGAGGAATGAGGAAAGAGGGTCAGCTTTTTTTTTTTTTTCCAAGAGAACGGGTGCCCCTGCACCATGACATGAACCTTTGCTTGCATGTGGAAAATTGACCTCCTTTCCCTAGACTATACATATATATATTTTTACAGTTTGAACAAATAAGAGGAAACAGCGGACGAGAGTTCTCACATAGTCTATGGTTTCTACGTACAATTCTTGCGGACGAAATAAAAAAAGAAAAAGAACATCGCAAAGGTGGAATGGTAGCTATGGATCTTGACTGGACGTTATTTTTTTTTTTTCTCTCGCTATTCAGGGCCCAAGTCTGGGTCTAGTCTAGCCCAAAATAACAATTCCGAGACCATCCCAACTACAACGAAGCAGCAGCCATTGGACACGACAGAAAAAATATATATATTCTTTTATTACACGGTAGATTTACAAGATAAAGAAAAAGACAAGACGGGGTCGCTATATACAAAAAATAAAGGAAAACTGGTAACGAACAGCTATGCTAAATTGACTGTGCAAAAGAGAGAAAGGGGGGGGGTTTGGGGCAGAGGATCAAACTTACGAAATGAAACGCTTTCGCTTCGAAGTTTGGCATAGAAATACAAGATAGGAACGTAATAGTACAGTGTCAAAGAAACCAATAGGAAAAGAAGGAACAGGCGTGTGAGAAAGAGTCCTGAGTTCGCGGCATAGGAGGAAGTGGCAAAGTCCACTGAGTGAGGGAGGGAGATATCGGTTTTCCTTCCTTGACACATGACCCGACTGGGAAAGAAAGAAGATAAAAAAAAAGTGCATAAGCGCCCAGGCTGCACGCGTGCGCATGGGCTTGAAGTTGCCCTCAATTGGGATCTTGAGGCTGATATCACTATTTTTTTTTTTTTTCACAGAGATCTTGGGGCTAAGCGGAGGAAACGGGAAATGGGAGCACAAGAACTCCCTAAATCTCGCACAGTTCACAGGCGTCGGGCACGTCGGCCATCGGCAACGATGCCAGAGGAACGCGTCTCGGCATAGTGGCGGGTCCATTGGCCAGACTGGGAGGAACACCAATTGTCCTGACGAGGGTCACAGCGCGCGATGCGCATCAGAGACTGCTTGGCTGTCATCGATGCGGATGTGGTCGAGGGCATAGGTGAGGACTCGAGGGCTGCATCGACTGCATCGTCGGCGTCATCCTCAATCATATGCAAGGATGCCGTAGTTTCGGAGATACTTGGTAGGATATGTTGACCGTTGTGGATGTGGTTACTGCTCTTTAACGAAAATGCAGCTGCAGCTGCATCTGCAGGTAAAGAAGGAGATCCCCTTTTGGTCTCCGACGCTCGGAAAGTGGATGAGATGTGACTTTGCGGGCGCTGCTGTTGCGGCTCGGATTGGTGGCGATCAAACGACGAACTGAAGGGGGAGTACGAGGGCGAGCCATTGGGATGGACGCGGCTCATCGACGCAGACGCGCCAGATCCGTAATAGACTTGCTGGTTATCGTAGCCGATCAAAAGATCGTCATCCATGCAATCGAGATGTTGCTGCTGGTTGGCATAATGCTGCTGGCACTGTCGCCGGGTCTGCTGGCGACTGTAGCTGAAGCTGCGGTGATGGCGTTGCCGCTGCTTCTGCTGCTGCTGCAATTGCTGTTGCTGGAAGCATTGCCGTGCAGACCTTGGATGGGTATATTGATAATATGCCTTCTGTCCCGCTGCAGACATTGAGTGGGAAGCGGAAGAGGCCGTGGATGATGGAGACGAATTTGTGGGTGAGGATGAGAGCGAGGGTGGAGTGGAGTAGGAGGGGAAGGTAGAGTGGAGATTGTGCTGGTAGTGGGGGTTGAACGAGTGTCGTTCCTCGCAAGGGAACATCCGCTGGATCGCCTCCTTTGGCGAGTATGTCGAGGTGGACTCGCTGTAGCTGCGACGGTGCAGCCTGTTGCGGTTGTAGTCGGTATTGGTGGGGTGGTAGCTCTCCTTGCTGCAGTCGCTGTCGTCGCTGTTGGTCCGGAGGAGGACACGATTGCTGATGAATGCGTACAGGTTGTTGAAGCTGCCCATGGTGAGTGTATCGGTGTTCTGCAACGCGCGATGCTTCGGTGACAGGGAGGAGGGTTGAGGAGTGGAGAGGTGTGTGGAAGATGCGCGGGTGTGGTGTGAAAGAGGGAGTAGCGATTGTCGATTGCTGGCTGAGTAAGGAGAGAGAGGGGAGAGGGGAGAGAGAGGGGGGAGAGGAGAGAGGGCAGTAGCTGCAGTAAAGAAGCAAAGCGAGGACAAAGACGATGAAGAAGAAGTGAGAAAGAGGAAAGAAAAGGTGGTAGAAAAGAGACAGAAGAGACACAAGAAAAAAAAAAAAGGGCCATTGGATTCAGAAAGAATACGACTGAATTGAATCGAATCGGATTAGGGTTTTCTACTATGTGCCATTCAATGGCCTTATTCAGTCCTATTCATATAGAGATAAAGAAGAAAATATTTTTCAATTGGTCTGTCTGTTGTTCTATAGTCTGCCCATCCTCGTAAGACATTCCCGCTCTCGATGTGTGGCCTACTACAGGCCCACCCAAACCACCAAAACGGCACTCGTCTTTTGCCTGTACTCCACCCTTGTATAGACATACCTACCACCTGCCCCCACGCTAGGCCTGAGGCCATTTTGTCACCTAGTCCAGTCGCGTACACCACCACCACCTCTCATTGCCGTTCCTACTCTCGCTGTTGCTGCCGTTGCTTGCTGTTACGGCTTTGGCCAATGCATGTTACTAGGCAGATGACTTAACATTTCGCCCTGGCAGTTGCTGCTCGGACCGTTAGAAACCTGACGACGACGCCACCCTGACCAATTATGCCTTCTTTGCTGCTCTTAGGTTGCCGATGCTTCCTCCCATTCATTTCTCGTTTTTCTGTTTCTCCTTGCCTGTTCTAAACAGACAAGCGATAGGGGGGTCGGGTCCAGAGAGATGAACTGGCCAACTTCTTTAGCTCTCTTGGTCTTGCTTAATGTGTACGCAATGGCCCCTGTTTCTCTTTCTTCATCTGTTTACTCAATGGGTCTGGTCTGGCGAAGTCAAGCAGTTACCTTCGACTGCAAGGTCAGATCGAGCACCATTGCGCCCTTGACAACAGGACGCCGTACATCTGTGTATGAGGTGCCCGATCCAGGAGAAAGACTATGAGCCGGTCCATGCGGGGGTAGCAGGATCCTATCTCGAGAACACGAAAAAAGAATGGTGCCCTGGACAAAATTATATCGCGAGTTCTCGCGATCCGCCCGCCGAGGACAGGAAGGAAGAGCATCGAATGGGGCAACTACGGATCCACTCTCAGGCTAATGATTATGGCCATCCGTCGTCATAGATGAATGGATGCGTTATCCTATCCTTATCCCTCCCTGACTGCACTTGCTGCTCACATAAATTCTCTGTCCAAAGATAATAAAGTGGTCCACGAGACGATACGCATAACAAACAAACCCGTCAGATTTATTTTCTTCTTTTCCGGCTCCATCCCGATGCGGCATAGGATTGGCCGCCCGTTGCTGCTCTGGATTGATGTCGTTTGATGCTGACAGGCTGAGAGTAACAGAGAGTACCAAAGAGATGCCGTTTCCGTAGCCAATATGGAGAGCACATGCTTTTAGGCCATGCTTTCTTTTGGTCACCCATCTCGTGAGATATTGTGGCCGATCCATATTTACGGAAAACCGTTTTGTCCTCGCAGCAACGTTCATTCTGTAGCGTGGAGGGAGAGAGAGAGATTTCGGGTGTTCAAGAGCTGCATGCATGCAATACTGAGCAGCCCAAGGAGATGGATGTGTTTGCATGCTTTTCTTTGCAGCAAGCACAATTACGACAAATATCATCCCATGAAATAAAAAAAACGTGCCAGACGAGCAGTGAGCCATGAAGCCCATCATCATCATCATCTGCTCAAACACTATCATTCTCTACACCTTCTCGATAGTTTGTATCTCTGTACATACATTACACACGACACATGCCTCGCATCCTATGAGTACAGTACATTTGCCGAAAATACAATTCCCTTGATCTGCTGGCAGTGGTAGTTCTCTCTCTTTTCCTGTAGACTTGTCACAAATTTCTATACGCGGCGCCTAGACTTGTAGGGATATCTGTCCCCTGACATATCGGCGAAGCGGAAATGGTGTATGGCCTCAGGTACACTGGCGATGCAAGGATAGATAATGGATCCATGGAACCAATCATCTTGCGCTCTTTACTCCCTTCCGGTTTCACTGGGCGATTATTTTTATCTAGGCTTTCAGGGACCACCAATCAGGGCCCAGTAGATTCTCTCACCCACATGATCTGCACCAGAGTCGGGGGGATCTTCCAAAATCAAAAACGCCGCTAGTCCAGGGGCCGGTCACCACTTGAAATCGCGAACGAGGAAAGAACTATCAGCTAGCATGATAGAGTTCACAATTGCAACGGCCCTTTTGTCAGCCATCCATCGAGGATCAATCAAAAATCGGAGAAGCAGGGACATGGTAAAATGGATAGAGTCAATTTCTAAGCCTATATAATCATACCGCTCCAAGACCAATGGTGGCCGCCGCTGCCCTGCGAACGGTCATCATTTGACCCCCAATAAACGGTTTCATGCACAAGATGCATTGATTGCTTATTTCAGCCAACAATCGACCACTCGACCCATTGTCTTATTCTATTTCTCACGTGTGGCCTACTTCCTTTCTCCGGGATAAGTACAGCACAAAGAAATAGACGACCATGGTCGTGTACGTGAGATATCTATGTATTCAATGCGTGATAACGGGTCAAATGTCTGGCCGTGTTCATTCTACTGGCCTAGACGATACTGGGACCAGACGGTACACCTTCAGCCCTCATCTGAAGAATGGGGACAGGTCTCCTAGGATGAAAATAGAATCGTCGGTCAAAATGAAGCACCGGAAATAATACCTTATGGGCCCCGTGCTGTCCATGGTGATCAAGGTCATGTGGACAACAGTCTCAAGTTTTCCCTGCCATTCTAAAGTGACCAGGCAGTACTGCTGTTACTACCAGCCGCTGATCACATGTGGTGTGTAATTGAGCAGCTCTCTTTCCAGCTGCCAGAGTGGCAGAAACATCATCTTCGCCATCTCATGCATTCTGAGGCTCAGAGCAGGAAACAATTGCTGAAAGATCACTTTCAGGACGCGATGCGCTTATTTTACCGCCTCCTATTTATTTATTTTGCAGGATTTTGCAGGACGAAAGAAACTAGCCTTCAGTAGCCAGTGGAGAGGTGTTTGATCCTTATCTCTTCCTCTCTCTCATCAAATGGGTCCATCGCCCCTTGTGGCACAAACACAAACACAAGTTTGTATAGAAGCCGTTTTCTATCTCTCTAGCGATGTTGTTATGCTCATGTGCCCATACCGTAGCAAAAAAAAGATATGCTCTGTCCTAGCTAGACCACACCCATATGTTTGTTCCGAGATGCTACGGCAGGACGTGGCTGGTCCTCCCTTCCCTATGCGGTGCATACTTAAGCACAAAGGCACACACGCGACCTTGGTGATCCATGTGTTTGCAATAGTAAGAGCTTCCTCGCTCGGGTTTTTCTGCCGAGGATCTCTATCTCCAATTTCCTTATCTCTTTTTTTTCCCTACTCTCCCACCTCCACTCTTTCTCTTTCCTTTCTCATCACTTCTCTTACCCATTCCATCCTCAACTGTAGCGCGTTATCGTTCAAGTCCTCCTCCTAGTCCCGTTATCTCGTAGTTTCTCACATAGCAAACACACGGTTCTTATCTTCTAGACAATTGCCGAAACCATAGCGCATTGCGAACATGTCATCGATCCTCAACGTTCTCCGCTCGGCCCCTACTCCCACCCGTCACTTCACGTCCCTGCAGATTGCCTCTACGGTCAAGTCCCAAACCACAGCCTTCAACCCGGAGCATCACCCGATTGTGCTGCAGCAATTGGTCGAGTCTCTCTCTCCAAGCTCGTTCGTCTCTACCGAGGCCACGTCTGCAGCTACCGCTACTACGGTCAAGAACTCGCTCTCGGGCACCAGTCTGGGATCCCAAGGCCGACTTGCTAGCCAAGTTGGACACTGAAGTGCGTAATCACATTTGAGATTATACTTGAGATCTGTCAAGTAGTATGAATGGCACAGTCCTGCTTTCTGTCTCTTCGAACACCCTCTTCATGTTCTCCGGGGTCAGTCCGTGACCGCGTCGAATATTGTAACATAGCCTGCTCCCATGCCAATCTGTATTGTATAAAACTCCAAAAAAAACACCCCTTCCCCTCCCCCCCCTTCCTCACACATTGCCTATGTAGTATTATTTATAGTGCAAAAATAAAAAATACGACTTCAATTGACGCTAGTTACATGAAAGAGGAATAGATCCTCTAGAAAGGACCACTTCTGCCTGTAGTAGACAGCTTGCGAAAGTTTTTCAAGTTCGCGAAAGGGTTGCCCAAGTTCAGCACGTACACGGAAGTAAAAAAAAAAATACCTACACCAGGTGGAAAGCATGCCGCATGGTAGGGGCATCTCATTTTCCTATTTCGCCACTACTGTCGCCAACTCAACCGTTCCTTTCTCTTAAAAAAAAAACATGTCACTCCGTATACCCCGCAGCGACAACGACAGCGACGGCGACATCTCCAGCAACCACACTACTTAGCGACAGCGACGACGTTGACAGTGATGTCAGCTTGCCGAAGTGTAGGATATCTGCGTGGAGCTCATGGGTGAAGCATGGACGGGAGAGGCGGGTAAATGGTAGAGAGACGAAGAAAGCAAAAACGCAAATACCAGTTTACGAGTGCATTTTTTTTGACAGAAAGAGACAGAAACATGCTACGCTGGTCGTCGTTTGTTGCCACCAAAAAAAAAAAAAAGAGCTTTTATTTAGAAGTCCTCCTTTGTCTCCAACGTATTTCTGCACGTGGTGTTTTCTGCCGTGGCTGTTGCTGGATTGGATTTATTCTTTTTTGTGGATGCTGCTGCTGCTGATCCTGCTGGTCCTGTTGGTCCGGCTGCTGTACTTGCGACTGCAACTGTTGTCGCAGTGGTGGAGGTGATGGCGATGGCAGTGAAGGTGCTGGCAATGATGTTAATTGTTTTTGTTCTGTTACCCGTGCTGCAGCAAATGGTGGGGGCAAAGGCATTACACTGGTGAGGTTTAAGAGTGCCGGTATGTCCGAATATGCAGGCTGGAGAATATTGGCAATGTCCTTTAGATATCGTTCATGCAGAGGGAGCCACTGCACCAGTGGTCAGAATAGATTCGGGTGTTGTTATCTTCGCACTCTTATCGACAAGCTTGCCCATCATTCTATCCGTCATCACACACTCTTCAGTGAAAAGCTCATTGCGAGGTATATAGTCGCTCTTGAATGTCTCGGTCCTCCAAGCTGTTAAATCCTTTCTTACTCGCTCCTTCTCGATTGCCGTGCGTGGTCGCGTTATTCGCCTCATCTCTGTACCACAGTCCTCGTCCATTGCCATGAATGCTGATACATCATGTACTAGCTCGACGGGTAGAGCGAGATCGGGATGACAAATGTCGCAGCAGTCTGCTATATCTTGATGCACATTATCGAAATAAGTGTTGAGGAATCTGTGGCGGCATTCGGTGGTAGCAGCATAATCTTTGAGTTCCTGATCAACGTTCGAGCCCGGTTTTGGTGGAACGAGAAGAAGTCCGATTCCAGAAAGCTAAGGATTGTGTGCTGCCCAACCAAGTCGTTGAATTAGCGTCGAGATGTTGTTCGGATACCTATATTGAACTATGCGCACAACATCGCTTATCTCGCAGCCCATCCCCGCAGCTTCTGTTGACATTAGAATATGCTTCTCGTTACTCCTGAACTCGTCCATGCGTGCCATCTTGTACTGCTCCGACTTCATTGAATGGTAAGCGGCAACTTGGTCCGTGCCAACTAGTCCTCCCACATATTTCGGGCTGCCTCGACTTCCTTGCGGCTATCAAAATACACGATCGTCTTTACCATGTCCTGCAGGAAGGCGAGGTCATGAAACGAGCTTGCTGCCTCCTTCATCCGCACAACCTTGTACTTTATGTTGACCCTGTCGTTGCCAACATTAATTATTCTAGCGTCCCTGAAGTGCAGATGATGGATGACCTCCGTAAGAACTGGTCGGGGCAAGGTTGCAGAAAGGGCGACGAAGGAGGTTCTTGTGGATACTTTGACGCGGAGCTGTCCAATGCAACCGTAGGCTGTCCTGAATTTGTGGCCCCATGTGCTGATACAATGCGCTTCATCCACGACTATCGCGCGGAGTTGGTCTCTCCAGCGTATATCATCTCAGAGTTGGAGGTAGCGTTCGCTGTTGAAAATGATCTCGGGTGACATAAACACGGCACGGTACTGCGGTGTATGGGGTCTACTAACGGGTTCTGTAACTTCTACCATTAGTTCTATTTACAATAGGAGTCATCACGCGAATAGGACTTCGGCGAGGGTATGCTTCGGGCACTTATTGGTTCGTAGTGCAGGGTCCTCCTTTAGATCGGAATGTATGAACACAAAGGTAAATAGACTAGACGTAAATGGAAGGAAACAAATATGGGGATCTGTTTAGCTAAATGGTACGAGCTAGGATTATATTCCTTTGGGAATGACTGGGGTAGTTGCAAGGAGTTCGCGTATGTGATATCCGATGAGGCGAGGAGTCGTGACAATGAAGTCCACCCCTCTGGAGTCGTTGTATGCCGCTGATCAAGCCTCCGTTGTACCCTTATAATTGTAAACCGAATGCGCAGTCACGTGCAGCCATTATCGCGACAGTAGTCTACGCGCTGAGTACTTCGACGCGTCCTGACCGCGATGTACGTTTCCTGTACATTAGGTTTAGATCGGATGTGCTCCGCGTAATGTACTAAGTACCAGGCTGACCCTGTTACCGGGTACATTGCAATGAGGCATTTCCGATGCCTCTATATTTTATTACTTATTCTCTACGTAGCTTCTTCAGTATAAAACGGAGTGGTTCTTTATTCAATAAATCCACTCTTCCAAAAGCATATCTACTTCCACTTCAAAGCATCCACTCACCTCTCACGACCTGTAAGCCTAGTCAACTTACTCTTGATCTTGATTCGTGGCCATTTGACTTCCTGTTCTTTCTCCTGACACTCTTCCTCGCCCGACTTTGTTACAGGCATCGTCTATATGATTGCCCGTAGTCAACGCACTGTCGTGAAAAATAAAAAATGGATCTATCCCTCAGTTTTAACTGGTCAAGGCAAAGATGTAGTTCTGCAAATCACTATAGGCTTTACGCATCCTGACCGTGCAATCCTAGTCAATGGCACCTTCGTCAGTGCGCGCAGGTCTTTTTACCTATCCAGCGTGGACTAAACGCACCTTTGATTCAGAAATAAGGACTCGGCAAAAATTTGTTCGCCACACTGGCTTAACAATGCCATCCGCTATCAACATAGGTACAGTTCGCCGTTAACGACTATCTCCCTCTCATTAACTTTTGACTGCTCAGGAATGTAACATCATCAGGCGTGAAATTCTGGCAAAGATTTTTTTATATTTTTGTATAAACAATACCGAGTGTCAGGGAAACAGCTACGGTCCGATGTACCCTGGCGGTTCGAGCAATAAGAAAAAGAGAATAACGTGAATGAATGCATTGGATGCCTAGCAGGCAGACTCGTAAAGAGGATGCCATTCAGTCAATGGAGAAATTGACAGGCCTACTCCTTCATCTTCCATCCTGCATCCCTCACTCTCCCTCCTTCTTGCTATTTAGTGCCAGCACTTCAACTGATGCTTGGACTCGGGGGCGTCCCTGCAAAGAGCCGTGAAGGTATAGTAGACCACCGGGTAATCGAGTCCACACGAGCCGCCGTCCCAGTTACCGCCGGCCTTGGAGGACGAGCAGAAGTCTTGGGTCAACTGCGCATTGTCGCAAATGCACCACTGAGGGAGTACAAGAGCTTTGGCTTGGTTTTCGTGGGAGCTCATAGTGACGAGGAGGGTGGCCGTGGCGAGGGCGAGGAAGTGGGTGATCTTGAAGGTCATCTTTTTCGGTGGAGTTGTCTATGTGAACATGATGAAAAGAATAAAAGTTAGGTGAAGGCTAACATAGACGTGATCGCGTAGATGCTTGTATGGAGGCGTTGGGAAAGAGGATAGTAAATGAGTTACTTTGCTGGATATACCTTGAGTTGGTTGGGTTAATTTGGTCTTGTTGGCGTTGAAGATGATGAGAGAAAAAAACGAGTGAGCATACACCCTTTTATACTTCTGACAGAACTAGACTTGAGCATACTAAAAACGCACGAAGCTCTTTGAAGCATACGTTCTTTCGACTTCGTGACGGCTTCATCAACGCCACTCCTCTCTCCCTGTCGATCTATGCCGCCGCTGCGTTTGGGCTGAGGTGGTTTTCATGTCCATACTCGGTCTGGTTACGCGCGACTACGAAGGAGGGCTTAGTGGCGCAAACTTGACAGAGGGAACAGTCTGTGACGAGATCTTGGGCACGCTCAGCCCTGCCAAGGGTAAATCAAATTTTTGGACTGACTAAAAAGGTAAATTTTTATCCGCTTTTGCAGAAATTGTACATTACCACACTGGATGCATTTTGCCCATTGGGATAAACGGCATCGTTTTACCTAAGAGGAGGAGGCACAACGGTTAGTGTTCTTGCCATGTACTGCCTTGCTTTGTAGCTGTGTAGTTGGTGAGAGAGGAGGCTGGCAAGAGAGACGCGGGGCGTAATTCTTACCCTGGTGATAAGATGGGCTCAATTAAGCTCGATCAGATCTAGCTATTTCCAAGAGAACTACCTCTCATTCTCTGCCGTCGTTGCTCTACTGGGCTGGGGCAATTTTCGTGTCCACAATCGATCTGATTGCCGAAAGCAGGCTCAGCCCCTCCACTCTTCAGGTGTCGAATGCTAGTCAACAAGGAATATTTTTTTGTTCGCTCTTTCTTACCCAATCATCTGGCCTTGGCGCATTGCTTCTCAAGGGATGATGAAGCATAACATTACAGTTGAACCTCTATAAGCTGATACAGCTGGGACCGAGGGTGTTGCATCGAGTTAGAGAGTGGTATTGACTTGTACATTCGAACCTTAATAGCAGTACATATACGTATGTGTACGTGTAGCCGGAGTAAGTGTGAACTTGGATGGGCATTGAACGAACGGTCTAATAAATGCGCGGTTCAGGTTGAAATGAACCTACAGTACTCCGGTCGCACACCAATTCGGACCATGCTTAAATACTATATACCGGTGTCGAATAGATAGGCATCTCACCTCATTATCACCTACTAGACCTCCTCCACAACCTCGCACTTGCCTCAGATGTCACCGCGTCAATCCAGCTCGCGCAAACAAAGTGCTGACAGCTCAAGCACTGGTCGTCCCAGAAAACTTGTAACACTTACGAACTCTCAACGTACGATTCTGTACGAGCATTCTGATCGGAACCCATTTCTCACGCACGAGGACCTGGCCAAAGTTCGACAATTGAAGGACACCGTTCATGCGCTTCGCTCTCGATCATTGAAGCAGAAGCCAATTGCCTCGTTCTTTACTCGCACCAGTTCCTCCTCTAAATCAACCACCTATTCATCACGCGGTTCTTCCTCCACTTCGTCCTCCTCGCGCAGCTCAACTGCAAGCACTTCTTATTCACCTGGTCCACTGCAACAGGTACAACTGTTTATTCGAGAATGATGTCATGGTCATAACCATGCTGCGCCTAGTTTCTAGAGCATTCCAACACAACTGTGTCTAGTATATAAGAGCCCTTCAAACGTAGGATTAGACAGCAATGAATCATCGAATAAACCTCTGATTCCACCCTGGAACCCCTCCGACTCCTGACTATTTGCATCCACCCACTCCTGTTACTTCTTCTGCTTCCACTTCTCGCGGCAGATGTACATCGACTGCAGGGCTTTACGCCCGTAAAAGAAGACTAATAGTTTCTGAGGATGAGGATGAGTTAGATTAAGCGGATAGTATTGTTACTCAATAAACGATTGAATTGAACTTTAAGTCGGGACCGGGGGTTTGTATCAAGTTACGACTTAGAGGAGTTTTATCAAGTTATCATAGGTCCCAACGTTGGGGCCGGCCGCCATTATCAGCTTGGAGAGGTTATTGACTAAAAAAGGATCGATTAATAGAGGTCCGACTGTAGTTATGGTGACTGATCACCGAAGTTCTAGTGCCGATTTCGCCTGCTTGACCTCCGCCTGTATTTTGTCCGCCTACTGCCCCGCCATTGCCGCCTGCATGCTTGGGGGGGAATCTGGATCATAAAAAAGAATTTTTCCCCCTGATTTCTAGTTTATCGAGATTAGTATCAGGAGCTCAGCTAAGACATTAGGATACATATGTAGAGTCGTAAACTCCCATCAGATTACTGCCTCCTCGGCTCCTGCGCCCCGGATAATATCTGCTTCCTTGGACACCATCATCTAAGTCTGACGTGTACATGTACTGCGCGAAGTAAAACGTCGGGTATGTGCATGAAATCTCATACATACTCAGCTTCATATTAATGCACCTTTTTTTATCTCAGCTCAAAGTTCAATTAGCCTGCGTCCAAACCAACTGTTCGATTTAGAGAAATGATTAGTTCCCTTTTGGGGAGAAGTTCGACCTACCTATTTGTAAAACGAAAACCTTCCTGTCAAGGCAAACGCACAACGCACACTTTCCATGTAAGGCAAAAAAGGCAAAACGAACCGCACGCGTTCAAACCTGAAAACGAACAGTTCGTTTCGACCGTGCAGAATCTTCATGGGCTAATTGCTTGGCTTACAGACTTGCGAGAGCGATGAGAGTGGTAGCGTTAGATAGAGCTTGGTCAAGGCTTTCCTTCTGTAGGATCAGATGGCGCCAGACCAATGTAGTACATTCGAGCAGAGAAGAGTACCCTTCACATGGCGCGGACGGGAACCGCTTTATAAGGCATTGTCTGCTCTGAAAATAAAGATCCCTCTCTTGCCTTGTTGACTTCCTTGTCTGTAAGTGAAAACAAGGGTCAAATATTGCACTGCGTCCGGTGATACGGCTGTTCGTTTTTTTATTCCTTACGACTGGGCAGCCAACATCCAACTTGGCGCCATCTGATCCTACAGAAGGAAAGCCTTGACCAAGCTCTATCTAACGCTACCACTCTCATCGCTCTCGCAAGTCTGTAAGCCAAGCAATTAGCCCATGAAGATTCTGCACGGTCGAAACGAACTGTTCGTTTTCAGGTTTGAACGCGTGCGGTTCGTTTTGCCTTTTTTGCCTTACATGGAAAGTGTGCGTTGTGCGTTTGCCTTGACAGGAAGGTTTTCGTTTTACAAATAGGTAGGTCGAACTTCTCCCCAAAAGGGAACTAATCATTTCTCTAAATCGAAAGTCTGGTCGGACGCAGGTTAATGCTCAGTGGAGTCTCTCTGTTTACTGCATATTTCCGCCGTCTTCTCTTGATCTACCATGGACTCCATCAGTTTGCATCGCTCATTCATCATCTCCCATAGTATCTTCGTTATTTAGCAGGAGTGCGCCAGACACTGGAGGCGCACAATATTCACTTCTATATCGGTTACCATGGACAATAATAGCCTCGCCATCCGCAATATACCCGCCTATGGACCCCGGACTTGTCGCAGGGAAGAGTCCGTTCAAGGTCATGAGCTCGAAGCTAGTGAACCCTTCAATTGGTTAGTCTCGCAATCTCCCTCAGACATCGCCTACCCACAAGATAGCGTCCACAATGTCGACAAGAAGAGAACAGCAGCATCGTACAAGGACATATTGAATAATGTTCTAAACCCTTTGAGGTAGAGATGTGCTGCTCTCATCAATTATGTAGCAATTATCTCCTCGTTTTTTTTCTTTTCTTCATTCTTGCCTCCTAATTCTTGACTGACACCTGCCCCCTTTTCAAACTAGTCCTCCAAGCAGTTCAGACATGGTAGAGCACATCGAATTAGAGCATTTGCAGGAAGGTCGTCAATCTGACCAGAAGTACCAGCAACAAGGCTTTAGCCATGGTCATCACTCAGACAGTGTAGGAAGCACATATTCCTCTGAGAAGGCTGTGGAGGACCTTTCTCTTTCCAGGTGGACTACGACACAAAGTCCGGCAACCCATTCAGGAGCATCCTCGACAGACAAACGAACATTGCACACCGCACAGGAAATGATACGACTTGAGCGGATACGGGCGTCAGTACATGCCTTTTTGAACCAACGATTCTCAGTGCACGAATACACTGTTCCTCGACTCTTTATTGTCTTGCCTGACGACGAGATTGATGTCGACACCTCAGGCGAGTATGCGGAAACAGCACCGACGGCGGTAACAGCAGATGGGACAACGGCTGATGCAGATGGAACAGCAGCAGGAGCCAGCAGTTTCCCTACATCTTCTCGACATCGACTTTACTTTTTGTGCGAGTGCAGCCCCAGTTTCACATTACCCCTTGGCAGCGGATTAAACCATCTGCATATTGCCAAGCATGCGGGATACCCAATCGACCCGGCGCGGCAGGATGAGTTCTTTCAGTGGTACGGCGACATGATTCTTACACTGCTCTACTTTCTCAAGTATGGCGATGATCTCACTGAAAATCCCTCTGCCGCCTCTCCACCAGTATCTACACAGAACCGGCGACAACAACCAGGACAGGTACAACAACAACCGAACACATTGTACTCAAAGGATGCAGGCTTAAGGAGTGTGACACGGATATCGAATCTGCGAAGGTCCGACTTGCCAGACTCGATCGCTCAAGGGATCGAGAATAAATTCGATAGGATGATTGAGTATCTTGAGCGACTGCGGACAGCTTCTACAGAAACAATCGACAGGGCTGAAGAGGCTGATGATGGGCGTGGCTCCGCAGAAGAAGAGAAGGCATTCCAGGGACTCGTCAGCCTGTCTGATTTGCACCGACTCTATTCTTTTCTGGGGATTGCGGACATTCACAAGCGGGCACAATCTGGACAGCTGGGGAACTTGTACCGAATCAGCAACGTGGAGAGCCAGGTCAGTTGGGTGTGTGTGTATCATTACCGGTGGACATTTCTCGAGAAGAACATCGACGAGTTTGAACGCTGGGTCGTCACCCGCCGAGGCCTCTTCGACAAGCAGTCTGGATCTGTCTCCATTACACTCTTCTCTGGAGCGCACATGCGGACCTTCTGCTCCTGGATTACCAACAAAGTTGCACCGTCACTTGTGGAGGCCCATATCAAACTGGGCTGGCATTTCGGCAAGAAGGATCTCTGGAAACTTGCCAAGACTCTAGCCAGTTCAACAGTAACGGTGCTTTCGTTGGATGGGGGCTTGTACGCCGAACACTCAAAGTACAGGGTCTTGCACAAGAAGTACGATCCGATCCTGCATCTGCTCACCTATGGACAGCTGCATTCGCTGGAAATTTCACGCTTCCCATCATTGTTTTCAAGGCTATCAGCAAGGACTACTAAGGCGCTGTCGATTAGGCGACTGGAGTTTGGACCCGGAATGGAAGTGAACCCGAAGGATCGCAGGGTGTTCAGTAATTTCATCGCCTCGTGCACGTCGTTACAGGAGCTGATTCTGCCAGAACTAAATATTTCGGACCCACAGATGCAAGCAATCGTGAGCGGTATCCGAACAGTCACCTCGCTGTCGATGCTGGATCTGTCGAAGAGCCGTCTCAATGACGGTGCAGCCATTATTCTCGCTCAAGGATTATTCAAGACCAACATCTGTAACCTGGATCTCTCGGGGAACGAGCGCTTGACGGATGCGGGTGTCGCTAGGGTCATTCGAGCCATTGGGCCGCGATTGACAAGTCTGAAGATGGCGCAGACGGGCTTTGGAGACGTGGCAGCAGCAGCCTTGGCAAAAAGTATGGATGGTATTTCAATCACCAGCACATTGCAGGACCAGTTGAATCTTCAGCAACGGCTTGATATCGCAGCCATATCTGCTGGACACCGACCAGGGCTCCGTCTAGCGGTCGACAACCCGCTTTTCGCTATGACTCCCAGACCGCGGCCGGAGGTGCGTGAGAAGACGCATTCGAAGGGACACCTAGTCTATTTGGACATCGAGGACAATCAATGCACAGTGCAGGGATTCAGGTCGTTGGCGAGTATTAAGTCGAGACTTTATTTCGTATATCTGAATCTCTCTGGTAGCAAGGAGCTGCAGGATATGGAGTGTGCACAGATTCTGGAAAGGGTCGCAAGTTCCGCAATGGTCACCTTGCGACTTGCGGGCACAGGATTCAGCGACCAATCGGCAGAGGCCCTTTCGAAGGCACTTCTTTCACGCTTTCCGAACAATCATGAGGGGCATTCGCGGATACCAGTATCATGTCAACTTGAGGAGATAGATTTGCGGGCTTGTCCGATCAGCTCAGAGGGACTCTTGGCGTTGTGTAGGGCGCTCGCTCAGACACGGACGTCCTCGTGCTTGAGGACCATGGACATTGGGCATTGCAGGCAGGTACACGACCATGCCATGCAGCAACTCCTCAGGGCTCTCGTTATACCAAACGGGTCGACTTGGGCTCCTACGATACCAGGAAGAAGGAGACCCAGTCGAGTGGACTTGGGATCACAATCTTTGACAGCAATAGGATCCGCTAGGGGGAACATGAACTCGTCTTGGGGACCACAGGATTTTCAGGATGATCGGGGCGATAGTGGGGGCCGAGATGGAAGCAGGGCAGGGATATTTGGAAGACAAGGATCTAGATGCCAACTAGTTCGATCGGACTCTGACCCAACGCCGCACTCTACTATATTTACTGGCGGTGACACTACAGTCTATATCGATTCTGCAGGTCAATTCAGCTTAATGCCTCCTAGGATGCCCTTGCAGCCGCCGATGGGGTTCTTTACGAATCTGCGACAGCTGGATCTCAACAGTACTCGAGTTGGAGACGGCACCGCCTGGCTCTTGGCCCAGGCGCTCCTGCAGTCATGGACCATGATCAGATCACTCACAATCTTGGATGCGGCGGATATGACTGTTCAGGGGATGTGTTTGATCATCGACGCACTCTGCGGGAACTCCACTGTGCATGATTTTGGCATCGGCAAGAGTGGTGCGATCCTGCAGTCGGATTTGGACCTCTTTGGAGCCGGACTCGTCAACCTAATGGAGATGAACAAGCGGATCCGGTCACTGACTACGCTCGGTGCTCCTCTGGGCTCGCTTGCCAAGGGGTTGTTGCTGAATCAGTCCCTCCATTCCGTCTATCTTATCCGGTCCAGGGGTCAGTTTGAGGATCTGCAGCTGATGGGCCAGGCGTTGTCGCTCACGCGATCGTTGTTGGTCTTCTGGATGGGAGGATCGGACGAGTCGCTTCTGGGTCCTCTCAATCAAGGATCTGACGAGCAGCAGCAGCCGATACAGGGCATTAGTGACTCACCTTCGACTTCGGCTCCTTCATCACAGCGGGCACAGTTTCAGCAACACCAGCAGCAACAGGAGGAGCAACAGCATGAGAACATGTACAGGAACTTTCATCTGTTGCACAACCAAAATGACGATCAACAACACCATCCGGAGCGTTATCACCACCACCTACATGGAGCCCAGCATTCTCAATCTTTGTCCAAGAGTATCGAGTCCGTGCTGAAGAAGACGTTTGGGTTCCAGCCAAAGCAGAGCAAAGGGAAGCAGCAGGCATCCGCAGAGGGAGACCATACAGCAGAATCCTCTACGCCTCTTTCCCCTCCTCCTCATAATCTGCGTCCCCTGCCAAACGCTAACCCAACATCCGGGGCCAACATCGCCAGCACAGGAAGAGCGGCTATCACTGGAGGCAATGCAGCGACAGCCTCAGGTCCATGGACGCGGCATCCGATTATCGAGGGCATTCGTCGGAACTACAGCTTGATCAAGGTTGTTCTCGACACCTCGACCCTATCTCCTGCAGCAGCAGCAGCAGCGGCAGCGGCCGCCACCGGGGCGAATCCCACATGGCACAATTCGCAGGCTGGCAACGCACAGGGGGTCACTCAGCAGCAGGAGCTGGTGCAACAATATCAGTTGCAGCAGCAACAACAGCTTCAGAAGAAGATCATGGTGAATCGGAAACTTCTGAGGGAGCGTGGGCGAGTTGGATGGGAGGAACTGAAGCTTTTAGGGGTCGATGACGATGTCATACGCGAAGTCTGCCAAGATACCCGGCAGCTATAGTCATCTAAACTACTTTCATAATATCAATTCTTTCAATGCGTGCAGAGAGATATGCATGTAACCTGGCCATCGCTGATAGAGAATTGATTGAAAGAAACTGCGACGAATGGCAACTTTGGAGAATGAACCGTACCATGACAAGCAGACTGTGTGCATTCTTCCATTCCGGTTACTCTGTTGGCGTTCATCCTACCAATAAATGTGTTTTTTTCTTTGTGCAGGTCTGCTTCTATACCTGCTGAATCATTTTTGTTTATTTATTCATGAATGGATGATAGATAAAAAAATCCTCGCGAACGAAACGTCGGGGGAGAGGGGAGAGGGGAAATGTACATATATAAGAGAGATACACACAAGAATAAAAACACTCCTGTTCCTTTAGTGGTGGAAGAGACGGAGGGTGGTGTGGGCCAAGACCATGTTGTGCGAGTCCGCTGCAGCAATGACAAGGTCATCCTGAATAGATCCGTTGGGCGCAGCAATGTACTTGACACCGGATTGGTGGGCCCTCTGGATGTTGTCTGTGAAGGGGAAGAAGGCGTCGGACGAGACGACGACATCCGTCAACTCCTTCATGTGGGCCTCGCGCTCCTCAGCAGTCAAGGGCTGGGGCACAGTCTCGAACTGGGCCTCCCATGCGGCGCGCTCCTCGCCCTTGCCAATCTTGTCCAGGACATACAGATCAATGGCGTTCGACTTGTCGGCACGCTTGGTCTCCTTCTTGAAGCCAAAGTCAAGGATCTTAGGGTGGTGGCGCAACCACCAGTTATCGGCCTTGTCACCGGCAAGACGCGTGCAGTGGATACGAGACTGCTGGCCCGCACCGAGACCGACGACCATGCCGTTCTTGGCGTAGCAGACCGAGTTGGACTGGGTATACTTGAGAGCGATCGTAGCGACAATCAAATCGCGGATAGCACCCTCGGGCAACTAATTGTATGGACAGAAAATGAGGCTAGAGTGTGAGCAAAATGGATCGAGCATCCAAGGAAGATACGTCCTTGCATTCAAGGCAATCTGACAAATCCTCTTACGTCCTTGTTCTTGGTGACGAGGTTCTTGAAGAGGCTGGCGTCGATCTTGGCGTCGTTGCGCTTCTGCTGCAAGGTGAGGCCATAAACCTGGCGGGACTCGAGTTCCTGGGGCTCGTAGCTGGGGTCCATCTGGAGGACAGTGTACTTACCGCCCTTCTTCTTCTTCAAGAGCTCGAGGGCATCGTTATCGTAGGCAGGGGCAATGATACCATCCGAAACCTCACGCGAGATGATCTTGGCGGTGACCAAGTCGACGGTGCCGGAGATGGCGATCCAATCACCAAAGGAGCTCATACGGTCAGCACCACGGGCACGGGCATAAGCAGTGGCGACGGGGCTGAGGGGCAGCTTGAGGTCATCAACATGGTAGACCTTCTTTTCGACATCGGACAGAGGAACAGCGACAGCAGCGCCGGCGGGAGAGACGTGCTTAAAGGAAGCGGCGGCAGGGAGGCCGAGAGCCTGAGTGAGCTCCTTCACAAGGGGCCATGCGTTCAAGGCATCAAGCAAGTTGATATAGCCGGGAGATCCAGACAAGACTTTTGGGTTGGCGTCATATTTTGGTGGGAACAAGTAGGGAGGGCACGCCAGTTGGAGAGGCGCATGAAAAAGAGAAAACGAAAAATAGTCATCAGTGTTTTCGTCTTAAAAAGGAAAACAGCGGGGTAAAATCATAACAATGAAAGAGAGCATTTTTCAAAGCCCGTTCGCCCGTGTCTGGTCAACAAAATAGTACCTTTGATGGGGAGGTCGCCGTTCTTGATAAAGACCTGGGCAGGCTTCTGGTGGGGGTTGGCTCCGTAGCGGAGCGTGAGCTGCTGGGTACCGGCGGCATACTGCTGGCGCAAGTAGTTGGAAATAGCCTCGTCGTACTCGCTGGTCTGGTTGAATGCCTTGAGCGCGAGCTTCTGGCGGGTCTCGTCCGAGACCTTGTTGTGCTCCTTGAGCTGAGCAATGACGGTGGCGTAGTCCTTGGGGTCAGATAAGATGCTAACGCGAATGTGGTTCTTGGCAGCAGCACGGAGAAGAGTGACACCACCTAAAAACATCAATTGGAGTCAGTGGGTTAACAACAGCGCAAAGTCGATTTTTTTTTATGCAATTGCATGTTTAGATCAAGTGATAGCCTTACCAATGTCGATCTCCTCAACGGCCTCAGGGATGGTGACTCCCTCCTTGGCAACAGTCTCCTTGAAGGGGTACAGGTTGCAAGCAACAATGTCGACCTTCTCGATAGCCTGAGCAGCCAGATCAGCCTCGTCCGAGGGGATGTCGCGGGCCAGAATACCTCCGTGGACAGCAGGGTGGAGGGTCTTGACGCGACCGCCCAAGATTTCCGGAGCCTTGGTGATGGCAGAGACATCCCTACGTTGCCCCAACCAGATGCAGTAGATCCATTAGGGCACATACTGTGATCAATTGCTCCAGAGGAACACCGATTCTCTTTCCTCTGCATGTGCTGCTTCAAACAACGAGCCTTACTCGACGGGCAATCCAGCAGCGGCAATGGCCTTGGAGGTGCCGCCTGAAGCAAGAATGCGGATGTTCAAGGCGACGAGCTCCTTGGCAAAGTCGATGAGACCAGTCTTGTCATAGACGGAAAGGATAGCTGATATAGCCATCAGCGTCAACAAAAAAAAAAAAAAAAAAGCGGGCAACACGAGAAATAGTTAGGGATCGCTCAGGTTGATTCGATTGCATCTTGGTCTGCCTTGAGAAATAAACATGAACTGTCGCTTTGTCTTTACCGATCTTCTGGGTCATGGCGAAAGGTCTGCAGGCGTTGAATCGGCGAGGTGAGGGAGGTTCGAGTGAAGAGGAAGACGTCGAGAAAAACACAAACACATAACGAATAACGAACGCTTCCTCCCATCGTTCATCAGCAGTCACCAGGGACCTTATCACTCCTTCCCGCACCTCAATTGAAGGACTCTGGTTCTGACAATTGAGCCAAAGCTATACCCATTCGAGACCTGGTACCTTGCCTCTGATGATTCGCCCGAAAAATGCGGAGTAACCCCGCTGAACGGACACTCAATTATCGTTTAGCACTACTGGTCGTGCGGGGAACATCTGACGTAGGCTAGTGGTGCTAGTGAGTCATATAGTCTTCCTACGGGGCCACTTGGGACTCAAGGAGGATCACACGCGAAGCACCTTCGTAGGACCAAGTATACAAAGGAACCTCCGAGCATGGTTTGATACATAGCTGTGTACCAGGATAGAACTCTTGAAACGCTGTCGATACATCCGTCAGTTTATATTGCTTCAAATGCACGTGTACTATCGTCAATGCAGTCGTGCCAATGCCTTTTTGAATTTCTTTCTACTCTCTCATCCTCGAGCGAGCCGAATCAATGCCGCGTTTACGAAGAGAAAATAGATATGAAATAGATATGTTTTATTACTATTTCTTGGTATCATTGTACTGGACTTGATCGATAATGTTCCAATAGTTCTGCATGTAAAAGTCGTGTGTTGAAATGGTCATTTGGAACTCTGACTCGAGCGCTTTATCCTTGACATTTTTGAGCATATAGCGCTGTAAGTTCAAGAATAGGTGAGATAGATGAAAAGTTAGCGAGGGAACTATCATAATTCCATACATAGCATGTCAAAACAAAAGGCTATATCATGACTTACTAATGGATAAAATAAAACACCCACAAATGACATACAGCAAAAGATCTTAGTCCAACTGCTTCTCATAAAGTTGGCGATCGGTGAGGCGGAATGGACGACGACACGGTTGTTGGTGATGGGATACGAAATCTCGATCGTGTAGTGGTAACCAACAGACCTTATCGCGTGCGTAATACCTCTAGTCAGAACCTCATAGTCCCAAATGACTTTCTATTAATACCAATAGTAAAAGAAGAAAAAAAAACGCGTATGAATGAGTAGCATGACAGTGCGATATAGGTTGATTTAGTGCTATATCTTTACCTTGTTCATGAGCAATTCCTTGAACGGATTCTCATCCTCGACATGTCCCTCGATCACCTGGCGCAATGTTGGTTGGCTGCCAGTCTTGGGATCCGGTAAAGCTGTGATTGTGCCCGAGGAAGAGATATAAGGAGTGAGATCAAGGTCGATCTTGAAATCGTTCACCTTAGCCTTTTGCTTCACAGTCCTGCGTGTCCCGTCCGCATTTATTTCCTCCGAAGTTCGTTGTTCGACATGAGACCCTATTTTGGCACGCGAAGAAGCAGCAAGTTCAGTGTTCCGAAAAAAAAAAAAAAAAAAAAAAAAAAAAAAAAAAAAAAAGAGAAAAAGAAGGATAGTGTCGCACGCTTACCAGAGATCAAAACGTGCATCAAGGGCCGGTCATTGTGCGCAACAAAAAATCGGTACAGCTGGTATGGGCCATCCAGTAATGGATCTCGCGTCTCGACTCCGCGTTGAGATCTTTCGAAAGATGCCTTAGAAACATCTTGACTACTCAGGAGGTCCGGTGCGTTTGGAATGCCTACCGGAGGGGCACTGGGAGGCAGCGGTGCAAAAGCTAGGGGGTTCACATCTACTCCTGGCACTGCAGATGATGATGGTACCGCAGATGGTGAGGACAAATCGGTAGCCCTGGACGTTGATTCTGGTAAAGATGAAAATGGTTCTGGCGGAGCTGATGGCGGGGCAGAAGGATTAAATACTGGAGGGGGTGGAATAAATGGCTGTGCTCGACTCCTTCCCGACCCCGAGCTGAACTGCTTCTCGGATATAGAGAGGACTGAAGATTCAGGGGTATCTTCACTTGTAGTTCGTACGCCGGGTATGGGCGGTGGCGCTGGTACTGATGGCGCTGACGGTACTGTTGGAGAACGGGGTATCGGTGGCGGCGCCTGGAATGATAACGTCGGGCCTGGAGGTCGAAATGAATGTGGAAACCCAAGGAACCCTTGAAATCCTCCTAGGGGGCCGAACCCACCTGGAGGACCAAATCCAGCAGATGGACCGAATCCGCCTGGAGGGGGACCAAATCTGGCAGATGTACCGAACCCACCTGGAGGGGGACCAAATCCTCCAGGGCTACCGAACCCAACTGGAGGGGGACCAAATCCTCCAGGGCTACCGAACGTTGCAAATCCTCCTGGTACGCCCGGGGGCGGAAATGATGGAATCTGGCCATGTAAAGGTCCTAGAGGAAATGGGACTCCTGGTGGGAAAGGTGACGGACCTAATGGAGAGGTGCCCGAGCCCATTGATGACTGCGCCAAAGAAGGTGCCGAGGCTGTCGACGCAGCTGATCGTGCTGTTGCGGCAGAGGTCTCTCCTGCAGATCGATCGAACGACGCCTGCGCATGGCCGTGCCGATGTGGGTGTGCATTGTGGGAATGGTGGTGTCGATGATGTCTGTGCCCGTGAAACGAATCGTGATGTTGGCCTACAAAATGACTGCGATGGCTGCTGGAGCTGCTGCTGTCGCCTACAACACTAGCGACTGCGTGGACTCTTGGCACTCGAACAGGTCTGAGGGGTGAAGACTCGTCGTGTCCGTTAGCGTTGTCCTCATCGCTGTCGCTGTCGCTGTCGCTGTCGCTGTCGCTATCGCTGTTCTGGATCGCATCATTGAAGTTGAAACGACGGTCTGCTGCAGTGTTGCCGGACTGACTGTACTGCAGTTGTTGGTGCTGCTGACTGGCAGTCGCTGCAATTGAGTCGTCTTCGATATGAGCGATGGCTTCCTCGTACGACGGTGGTAGCGAATCCTCGAGGTCGTGGTTGTCTGGCTGCAGTCTGCTCTGGTCCTGGCTCATATGGGTGTTGTCTTGAATCGAATCAGATGAAGATGCAAAAGTGAGGTGGTCGAAGACAATGATTGGAGGAGACGTTGCTGCTCCCTGTTTGCCAAGCATTTTCTTTTCTGTTCTGGGCACACTCTCTCTCCAACACTAACTGCCGCTAAAACCTTAAATCAGGCATGGTCTGCACATACTGCTGTCGTAGGATGCCATAATGCCAGTGGCACTGCTCAATGGCTTGACGATACAACTGCATGCATTTGACACTCGCACACCGCCATGCTGGGTCACATCCGATCATCCTTGGTCCTTGGTATCAATGCGCACAATAGGTACCTGCCTACGAGGATCATACCCGGATGCCGCTCAGCCCAGCATCACCTGCTTCGCCTTCTTTCTACGCGTGTGATGTCATTGGCTGCCCGAACAACAGGTCGGGTGTCTCGCACAAGCGCCCCCAACGAAAAACCAACCGCCACCAACGATCTTCCATCGTCGGTTCCCTTTGTAGTCTTTCAAAAACACCACCATCCTTCAAAAATGTCTTGAGGAAGATTGGGGGCTCCTTGCTTCCTTTTCTTTCTTTCTTTCTTTCTTTCTTTCTTCCGTTAGACAACCCATCTAAATAACATAGACACATAACAGCCGCCAGATCAAGAATTCAATCAATACACCCACAATGCAACTGTACCAACTTGGAATCGTAGGTGTCGTTCTGCTGGGATTTCTGGCGTCCAGCCTTTTCACGATCTCCAAGAAACTATCCTCTCTACGAGAACCGCTTGCGGTATGGAACACGGTGCACAGCCTAGATGTATTGCCGCTCCGAATGCGTAGCTGGATATATTCTCTTCTAGTCGGGATTGCGAATCCGTATTCACGATCAATCAACGTTCGAATCACAGAGGTTCAAAAAGGAATAGTTTGTGGTATCATGAAGGTAGATAGTTAACAAGAAAATAATGGGCAGCAGCGAGCTTGGCACACGCGTGAGATCTAGGATCGCGTCGGCCCTACTAATGCTATGCCCTTGTCTTTCTTTCTTGTCATAGGAAACAAGAAGTACGTCGAATCGATTCAAGTGCGTCCATGCTGGAGCGCTAGTCACTTTCGGAGAAACTATCGGCGGCCTTGCACTATTCACCCATCTCGGAAAGAAAGATCGAGCCATTTTGACAAACATCAATGTCGAGGTATGTCCAAGCAAAAAAAAAAAAAAAAAAAAAAAAACACCATCTCTATTGCTATGATAAACATCGGTTTGTATCATTTACTGCAAGTGGGCGCTTTAACCAAAGCCATCGCTGCTATGGTTCTTAGTATATAAAAGCTGTAAGAGGACTTTTAACAGCGAGTTCAGTTGTACCAGCTTTCACAGACACCACGACCGATAAAATCATTACTGAAGTCATCATCAAAAACGCGGCATTCGACACAGTGGCAAAACTCACGTTGACATGGAAAACAGATCTCAAGGGCGAATAATAGCAAGAGCAATGACCCGGATATATGCTGCCTTCTTCTCACAACGCAACAGAGTTCTTATGTCCTTATTGTTGTATATGATGCTTGCTTTTATTTTGTGATGGTTTCCCAATGCTTAATACCTTCTATACTTTGCTCGAGATCCAGATCGCTGCCTTGCATCCCTGCTTGATAGCGTTGCTGAGGAGTTCGTGTTGTGGTGCCTACATTTTAAATAGTAAATCAGCAAAAATGAAGTCTTTCCATCATTATTCTCTTGGCGGGCGTCCAAGATATTAGGGTGGCCATCTGGTTCACATACCTTTTGAGCGTCATGCTCCAGGGCCGTCTCCAAATGCTCCAGCTCATCATCGCGGAATTGCTGTACCACCTACGATCGAAAATAAAATGTAAAGGCCGGTAATCAATACACGAACTGAAAGAAAGCTGTCCAAGACAAAGGTACAGTTGAATTCCTCGTCCACATACCTTGCGTAATTCTGCAATATCTGGGTGATCAATCTTGAGCAGCTCCCTCAGTTGACTATCCATTAAAAATAACAATATGAGACATTAGGTTACAAAGCGTCCTGAGATTGTACAGCATATCCACCATGACCTCATTTGAACAGCAGGGCGTTCACGTACTCGTTGTAATGTCCACCGATCACGGTCTCAACTGCTTCGGTGCAGGCCATGGCTGCCTCCTTGCCCATTAATGCGGTGCCTGCGCCGAGTGCGAACCCAGCCAACTCCCAGATGGGTCTCAAGGCTGTAGGTCGCACGCGATATTGACTGACGATACCATCGAACACCCTCAGATGGTGCTTCTCCTGGTCCCACATATGCTATTTAAAAGAGAAAAAATAAAATAAAATGGCGGCGATAAGAGTTCTGAGCTCAATTACTTCGGAGGACGATGGTAATAGGCCATGACTTGTTTACCTGAAGCAATGGGCCGACCTTCTTATCAGATCCCAGAACAGCATATTGGCCACGATAGATCCAATTGGCGCCCAGTTCTCCTGCCTGGTCGACACGGATCATCTCCTCGAGTAGTGCACGCTGTTCTTTGGAGAGGCGAAGTGGAGGCACCTCTGATGTATCTGAGGAGGTAGAAGAGCTTTGTGTGGCTGTATCACTGTTATTGTTCAAGGACGAAGCAGGAATAGCCTGTCGCGAGGACACTGCTGTGCTAAAAGCACGAGTTGGTGTGCTATGCCTTGACAACAGCGTGAGCGCTGCCTTTGAGGGTCGAAGGGCGGTCCGAAGAGTAGGAGACATAGTGGGTATGTAGGACAGTTGCGGTGAAGGGTGTTCAGTTCAGGAATGAGAGAGCTGAGGAATGTAAGAAAAGGTTTAAGGCGTGTCAAAGGTGCGGGTGTTGTTCCCGTTTCGGGCCAAAGTCAGTAATTCTGAGGCGTGACTTTACTTGGAGGCATCCACATAAATAATTTCTTAGTGTGCAGCGCTGCTTGGTTCCTCCTCTTGCAAACGTACTGGATTCTTGTAAGAACTCAAATCTTGTCTGAAGGAAGAACATTGGAGCTTGACAAGTGATCTGAGCCATACATCCATCGACCGGGCGCATTCGATCGATCCATCGGTCAACCAATCCACCGCAGTACCCATCCATCCATACTGGACGATCAATTGCTCTCGATACTCACTGTCATCAAACACCACGGATATATCGCACGTTCAGGGGCGGTGCGGCAACCAGATCACAGATGGAGAGCCATCATTCCAGATTCAACACAGAGACAACTAGACCCTTGAGCCGTATATACCGTTGACTCTGCGGATCAGGGAACAGCAAGCGCGAATCCTTAGAGACAGTGTTCAGCAATACCGTTCCTATGATCGTCGACTGCGATCGTCAGCCAGGAGACCTGTACGAAATCTTCAACACCTCCTTACAATCACTGGGATGCCGTAGTCAAGAGTGGCAAAGTCAACCTGCCGGAGTCGCCCTATCCTTACGCATTGAACTCGCCGTAGTCGTGTCGGACAACCAGGATTGGACAGGACCTTTTTTCTCAACCACACTGCGAGGTCATATCCGGATAAAACGGCTGACAATTGCTTTTGTTTCTCTTTATTCTTTTTCCTCAGAACCATGAAGTATCTCGCTGCCTACCTTTTGCTTACCATCGGTGGTAACGCTACCCCCTCCGCCAAGGACATCACCGCCCTCCTTGCCACCGTCGGTATTGAGGCCGAGTCTGCCCGCATTGAGTCCTTGATTGCCCAGCTCGCTGGCAAGGACATCAACGAGGTAAGAATCCAGTTTTTTATTTTTTTATTTTTTTATTCTTTTGCTGCTATACCTCTGCACCAAGAGCTATGGATAATGGTCAGACCCGCTCAAGGCACAATTTTATTAATTTCGTCCGTATTGATTTTCGTTCACCTATAGCTCATTGCTGAGGGTACCTCCAAGCTCGCTTCCGTCCCCTCTGGCGGTGCCGCTGCCGCTGCCCCCGCCGCTGGTGGCGCTGGCGCTGCTGGCGCTGAGGAGAAGAAGGTGGAGAAGAAGGAGGAGCCCAAGGAGGAGTCTGATGACGATATGGGATTCGGTCTCTTCGATTAAATACTTCAATCGATTCTCCCTCTCAACGCCAACCCTTGATCTTTCCAATAAAAACAGCTTGATCATGACGTTTTTCTCTCTCCCAAGGTTGACTTTTCGGACTGGAATCGTACATTGTGTGAACGTCGTATAGGACATTGTAAAATATTGACTGCGGTTCTTTTAATATCAAGATCAAACGGGAAAGCTTCAAGACAAAGCCAGCCCTTGCTATACACACTCAAATCAACTGCTGGGTGTGCAGCGCGCCTCAATTTGAGTACTCCTAAGCCAGTATGTGCGCTGATTGTGCCTCTGCTGCTTTTTTACAAGCAGTTAGTGCTCTTTGTCAAGAGGTCCGTGCTGCTTCCACAAAAGGTTTGTGCTGTTTCTCAACAGGTTTGTGCTGGTTCACCAACAGGTTCGTGCTGCTGGTTCACCAAACCTGTTTTGCATGCAGCTCATGCCTGTTTTCCTCCAACACGTGCTGAAAAAGCACCTTTTTTTTTCAGCTCAGAGACTAACTGCCTTCCTTCAAGTACATTTGATTTGAGGGGGTATATGGAAATTAGTTGGCTGCCTTCAATTGACTGCCTTCAGTTGGCATGTCATATTGTATGTAGTTGGCTTTAATTGGCATCAACTAAAATCAATACATCCATCTGGTGCCCCGACATTTTGGCATTCGATAAAAATGTCGGCGGCAAATTTGAACACGTTTTTTTTTTTTTAATCCTATCTCATTATGCGTTGTAATCTCCACAAGTAAGTCCCCTAAAACATTCACTTTTTGTAACCCATACTCTGGCAAAGCGTATATCTCGACCTTGCGGCGGTCTTTTTATTCGGGCGCGAATAAAAAAAATGCGTTCAGAGTTCAATTGCTGTTTTCTGTGGACGTGCTCAATTGAAATTGGAGAAACGTGATGATGGGATAGTTCATCACATTCTGTGGGCATACGTGGATGTATAATGATAAAGGGGTGCGTATATAGAATTTGATCTGCAGACATTCTTTCGGCGAGAACAAAAGGGCCATTTAACCCTACGAACTTACTCAAAGGAAACACTTAATGACTGAGACGCATTCGGGAGAAGCATTCTGCGATTAGAAAGGAACGCGCAATACTTTCCAAGCATCCAACGTACGTGGAGAACCGAGAATAATGCCTAGCGTCAGCTTTGTTCGTGGAATTCCACGGCCCCATTAGTTATCAAAGATGAGCGGCACTCGAGTATTAAAGACATTAAACAAACGGAGGATTGTGAATGCTACCCGTCACTGAATGGATCCTGATTTGTCCTTCAAAGACACCTTTCTAAATGTGCCTCGTCTGTCGCGCGTTGCTCATGAGAATTGTACGACCAATGACGGCACTAACCACGAAGAAGAAATACACAGATAAAGGATTTTGTAGAATGTATGGCAACCATGAGAAAAAAAGAGCCTTGCATTGTTATATTCTTTGCTGTGCGCCATACAACCGACCCCCCCCCCCTCCCCCTTGCTCCTAGCATTATTTGTTAATGTAACCATTCTGAGGATGCAAGGCTGGGCCACCTTGCTGTGATTTATAATCACCTCAAGTGCTCCTAGTCTATCTTCCCTTTGCACACGTGGAACGATTGTAGTTATTGAGAATCGCAATGGCACTGCAGCAGCCTCTGGTCAAACAAATAATCATTAGAGAGAGCGAAAACTTTGGCACGCGAACGTACCCACGTACAGGAAACTGTTGACCCAGCTGTCTGTATATTAAACCCCTCGGAGCGCCCCTCATGCTGCCTGAAGTAAATTAATACAGTTTTCGCAGTATTTTTGGCTGACAAGAAGATGTACGTGAAGTCGAGGGTGTTTTGAACGCAATATGAAGCACGCCATTCTCATCAAAATTGATTCCATTGCCATTGTTCTCATCTCTGATTGAGTTATGACGACTGAATTAAGTCGTAGTATTTAATACAGCCTTGTGTAACCACACCCACACTCTGTTTTCTGCAGCAGACCAAACATGGAAAACCTTAAAATACAACATCCAACGAGCAGATGGGAATACTCCTGGAGGAGTGGATCAGAAGCGCTCTTGATCGTATTCATTTTAAAGCAGTGGTGAGAACAATGAAGAGTAAAAGAGGATATGAGTTCGACGATAGTTATGGGCAATAAGAAGAAGGAGCACGGAGCGTGAAGAGTCCGTACATTGAGTCGAACTCAAGAGAACTGCTTCTCCGCATGACTTGGACGCAGGTGGGCAAAACTCCTTACAAGGAATGCTGCATCCGCACGTTGATTTGTTGTTTGTCGTTGCAATATGGTGTCAGCAGTGGAGGAAGTGGGACCTGATGATTAACGTGGGGATGTTGGGGGTATACCTCGTTATCACCTGTCTCAGGGCTAGTGTGCCTGCCTATCTCTCTGGGCAACGTGTGCTGACTATATATGTATTCAGACAACCTGCCAAGGAGTACGTGTACGGATCCGATCGGAGGGAATAATTGTAGCGGCAGTTGGAATTGGAGGGGAGGGACAAACCTGCAGGGAGAACGATGAGGTCCAAACACAGTTTGGCTTGACCCAAACACAGTTTGACACAGAACGCTCAGCAGGGTGCACGTCGTGTCCAAACAAACAAAATAACAACCATCAAAAAAAATATCCCTCATTGCTCTGCTGTACTTGCTTATGTCTTTTTGTCCGACAGAACGAACAGAGAGAATAAGTCAGATAGGGTACTGAAGCAATCAAAAAGTCACCCTGATCATCTTTATTTCAATTTGTAACATGCTTTCTTGTCGCTGGCCGAGAAAAAAAGGAAAAGGCGAGTCTGCTGCATGCATGGTCGCGGTGTTCGGAAGGGCAAAAAATAGACAGGGAACTAACACGTTTATTTTCAGGAGGGCGTGTCAGGAAAGTAGTGTCGGAAAAGTAGACTATCGTTCACTCTATCGATCTAACCAAAGGCTATTCCACTGCAACGAAAACGGAGCTCAGGAAGCATATTAGGATGCGAATCTTTTAGAACAATAGTTGATATTTCTTTTAGGCACCCTGTCAAGTCCTAAGCGCGTGCAGATGATGGGCGGTTATAACAAGCGAATGAGGACGATAAACGGGAAGCAGGCGATGGGCGAGATGGCGAGGACATGCAAGGTCAAACTGTGTTTTGACGCGCTCTCAACCCGTTGGATTCTCACCAATCCTTTTTATCCCTTTGAACCGGTTTCTTTATTGCAGCAGTCTAGCCATGTGTTCTCTCCTTTGAAGATAATAGATTGCCAATCCAATCCGTGGAAAACTTTAAAGCAGGTCGCGGCAGCCAATCCCCACCTAGCCCTAAGTTATTACTCTGTACATGTATTCAGAGCTGTCGGACGTAAAAGAAGGAAGCATGAGTGGTTAGCAAAGAATAAAATACATAATGCAAAGCAACTGGATCCATCGGTATTCATGCGAAGTACTGTAGGCAGTCTCCATTTGAACTGAAATGAATAGGTCTTCTGTATCGAGACTAAAGAATGCGCTTAGTGGAGCGCAGTAAAAGTTCCCTCGGTTCCTTTTCTGTCTCCTCTGCAGCCCTGCCTTTGCTTGAATCGCAGTTATGTACCCCCTTGCGGCGGACAAACCTGCAAACAGACAAACAAATCGACAAAGATTCAATCAGTATCGTGTCATCGAAACCCATTGCTCGCCAATAGAGTCTCGATCCATATCCTCTGCTGTTGTTGTCCATCCTCCCCCTTTCCCTTTCTTGGCCACAAAGCCTGTCGCAGGCACGCGAAAGCTAAAAGTATCTTTCTCGCACTCACTCCTCGCTCTGTGAAAAAGTACAAAAAGTCTCGGGTTAGATGAAGCCCTCGCACCTCTCTCTCTTTCTTTTTTTTTTCACACCTTTTTATTTGACACCGTCTACTCTTCTCCTCCTTCTCGCCTCGGTTCCATAATTCCGGACTAATACTACCTTACCCAAGTGTACTTAGTATCCATTACTCCTAATACACGCTTCACTCTTATATTCTATACCCATCAGCATTCTTCATTACCCCCTCAGCGACACTGTAATATACCCATTCCTGCACTCATTACCCGCCCCACAGCATTATCGCCAATACACAAACATGGACAGCTACCCTAACCCATACGCGGCCTTGATTGCCACGTTCAACCAGGTCTCGCCCCTGGAGGGTAAAGACGACTTGGACGATCCCCAACATCTCCCTGATGACGATCTCTTGCTCTGGGCCAATGCTCAGTTCACATATGATATTCCACCAGGCGTGGGTATCTATGAGGATGAAATGGGTGTTAAACTGGCCATGAGTCAACAGCAGTTCCAGCAAACTCAGCAACAGCAGCAGCAACAGCAACAGCAGCAGCAACAACAACAGCAGTTCCAACAGCAGCAATCCCAGCCAATTATGACCTCTCAGGCACAGCAGAATTCTCTCCAATATCAGTCGTCTGACATGCAGCGACAGCTTCAGCAACTTGATGCCATCCATCGCTATCTCGACGCCAACTCTTCTGAAGGTAAGGCTTTTTTTTTTTTTTTTTTTTTTTTAATGACCATCTCCCTAATTAATGAACGCTATTCTAACATCATTATGAACGCTCCGCTTTGCTATAGACCCTAGGACGTCCCTCTCAGTCGTCGAAAGATCTCGCCAAAGGAACCCCGTTGTCACAGCAGGCCCATCCCAGCAGCCTGTCCACTTCAATTCAATCTATTCACAGGGCCACAGCGAATCCACGTCGTTTTCGACGCCTACGACAGCCGGTCCTATTAGCCCCGCTGCAGCCCGTTTGCTTCGTCAGCCCTTCCTTGCTCTGCAGCAGCAGCCGTATTCTGTCCAATCCTCTCCATTGTCATCGCCCACGACGATGAGCGACTTCCGTCAGCTCCAGATCAACCCACCGCTGTCCATCACTTCAAAGCCGAGCGATGATGTCCAGGCCAAGCGGAGTATTGCTCGCAAGGAGAGCACATCTGTTGTAACGGACTCACCTGTGAGCTCCACGACATCCGTGTCTGCGAATGTCTCGTCCTCAGCATTGTCTCCTCACGCGGAGAAGCCGAGCAATGTGGATTCGGATGATGAGGAGTTCGAGAACGAACAAGACGAGATGGATGAACGAGCCGGGTCTAATGGCTTGAATTCCAGGGTTCCGAAGGCAGTACTGAGCTTGTCGCCGGACGACCCGGAGTATGCGACCAAGCTGGCAGCCGAGGAGGACAAGCGTCGTCGGAACACTGCAGCATCCGCAAGGTTCCGACACAAGAAACGTCTTCGCGAGCAGATCCTTGAAAAGACTGCGAAAGAGATGACTACCAAGTCTGAGCTGTTGGAGATCCGTGTTCGGGAACTGGAGATGGAGATCAAATGGTTGAGGGGCCTGATTGTGGAGAAGGACTCGAGGATGTTGGATGTCGGTCTTTCGGCATCGACGATATCATTAGCTTCATCGGCCTCGAACCCGCTTTCGGCCGCAGCGTCGGCTTTGTCAGGTTTGTCTGGTTCTTTGCCTTCGGGTTCATCTGATGGTGCAAAGAAGACAGTGAGCTCAGCACCCAAGAAGCGGACAAAGAAGACAAAAGCATAGCATTTCTAAGTACTTTATAAAAATAAAATAAAATAATAAGCAGCATGCATGTACTTTTATTCATAGATGCGAAACATCCTTGTGTATCGTATAGCTGGGAGGGGAGCACAGGATAGACCGAGCGCGCGGAGCATTGGCACGCGTTCTGCTGTGTAGATCCCTCTCTCTCACGTTCTTCAAAATGGAAGGATTTTAAAATTGGCGGCGTATATTAAGGGCTTCACAGATCCGACCACCTTTGGCCGAAATTGTAAACAATGGGCGGGGGGCATTCCACCTAAAGGGCCAGGCACTAACTTGCATCGCATTCAACCCAGGCCCTGCTTGCACACTCCTCGCTCGCTCCCATCTCTCCTCCTCATTCCATCGACACATACACACACGCCGAGCCATGGCCTTCAAATCACCACCTGCCAAGGTCCACAGCTATGTCACTAAGCTGTTGAAGGCGAACGTGATCAAGAACCCCCCCGTGTGGTACCCTGCGACCTCGCTTGCCCCTCCGTCTCCGACATTCCTCCGCGAGCGTGATCCCTCCCGTGCCAACATCAACCCCCAGCTTACATTTGAGCGCGAGGCTGCCGCCGCCGGCACCGCTTCCTCAGGAACAACAACAACGACAGCGGCAGAAGCATCAGCACAAAAGACCTTGACCCGTTCCTCAAGGACGAATAAACACCTCCGCTGGAAGAGCGAACGACCCAAGAATATTATCTATCCAGAAGACAGGCTCCGTCGACGGTTCTATGAGGATCACCCTTGGGAATTGCGCCGTCCTAGATGTTTGGTTGAGACCTCGGGAGATGGCACGCGTCGCGACTGGTCCACGCTTCTGCAGAAGGGTCGGTCGATCGCTGATCTGACCGGTGAAGAGTACGTTGTCCTTTGAGTTGTTCTTTTTTGTCTCCGAGCTGCTTATCAATCATGGAACCATGGATTTGTCTGACAGGATCATCAGCCTTTAAATGGAATATCTAATATCCTCTTTCCAATCTCTCTCTCTCTCTCTCTCTCTCTCTCTCTCTCTCTCTCTCTCTTGATCTGCGTATCATTTTTCTTCGCTTCGTCGCATAATAGTGTGGTCCAGCATCAATTGTACCTCATGACCACAGGAAAATCAGAGCGGGAAGCCTACCATATCGCAACTCAGGAGTTTTACTTACACAGGGCTCAGGAGGAGACTGAGGCCCGTGTTGCCAAGGCTCAGGCCATGGCCTTTGGACTCAAGCCTCGTAGGAGCTTTGTCATGAACGGATTGAAGCGCGAGGAGGAGGCTCTGCTTGAGGCTGAGAACAACGCTGCCAAGTTTTAAAAATGCCAACAGGATCATTTATCCTTAAAGCAATAGGGATGGGACGTGGCATTTGGAAAGGGTAGTTCTGGGTACAAGAGGGACAAAGGTGTCATCATGGATTGGAATTTTTTTTTCTTTGCAAAACTAGAAATAAAGCTTGAGCATCAACATGGACACTTCTGGTGCATTGGGTACATGTCAAAAGAGACCTCATTATCAAGCAATGGAGCGACCGTTCCGTAGTGTTCATGCATGGCAATGGTTTTATTATTTTACAGGAGTTCGTCTTGTCCGTTGCTAAGTATTGCATATCAGCACTGGTTCCTTGCTGTGTCCGTGTCAAAACTGTGTCTTTGTTGTCGTTGCTGTTCTTTTTTTTTTTCTCATGCGGTGGCCTTCTTGGCCTTGGCCTTTTCCTTGGCCGATTTGGCAGCCTTTTTCCTCTCCTTCTTCTTGAGTGCGTCCATGTTGATCTTGATGATATTCGTGTACTGAACCATGAATCGATCTAGATCCTGAGGTTGGACCTATATTTCATAAAACGTAAAATAAAAAGCAATCGTTAACATTGTAAAACAAGAATAATTGGCAAGATCGAACTCATTCGTCTTCCAGACATGCAGGAACACGAGGGGAACATGATCGAAAAAAAAAAGAATCCAGTCTGTACATACAAGGGTGCTCAGTTTCGTCTTTGTGCCAGAGGTGAGGCGGATCAATGTTGAGTACTCCTTATCCTGAGCATCCGCCTTCATGACAGTGTCGCCAGTCGCCTTTTCTGAAGCTTCCTCCGCTTCCCTGATCTTCTTGGTAGAGTAGGAATCTATTGGAGGAGAAGAGAGGGCGTATTGGTTGAGGCACAGATACGGTGGACCCTCCGTAGAACATCTTGCCCGCCCACCTGCAGCATCCTGTCGAGGTCTTACGTCTCTTCATCGTCAGGTATACGGTCCTTGCAGTCTTGGAGTCCTCGAAGGCCTTGGCCATCTTGGTTAGGAACTAGCGAGAACGATAGTCCAGGAAGCGAATATGTTTTTTTTTTTTTTAATGAAGTGATTAGTCTTGAGGGGAAAGACTCAGATGATCCGCCAGTCCACGCATGGGTTGATGTGTTGTCCTGCTCGCAATCCCTGTCCTGTATACGCTGAATACCTTGTCGTTGTCGAGGAGCATCTTGTCCGCGGTGTTGATGGCGATGTCAAAAAGGATGGACGAAAGAATGTTATCCACTTCATGCGTGCCTGGAACGCTTTACACACACTATAACCACGTCACCGGAAGTGCTGCTCGCACGCGCGGGTTTCAATAGTATACCATTGATCAATGGGTACAAATGTACAGTATTTTTCACGCGTTTATTTAAAAGATTATAGGATTATCCACTAATTGGAAACTTGTCGGCGCATTCGGATCATATCCCCGACCTTGACAACATATGGTGCTGCAGAGAGATCTGGGCGGTGAAGCATATGCATACCGAAGAAGATCTGACCCTATAACGACAAATGGGGTGTAGCGCGTGAGTTGATACATCCCTCTGAATCATATACAGTCGAGCAGTTGGCAAACCCAAAGAAGATCAACTTACCCCTGGACTCTTGCGGTTCTTTGAAAGGGCCAAAAACACATCCGAGTTCTTCATAGCCGTCATCTGGTCAATGGTCACCATATGGCAGCGCCTGCACGGACCCAGGATCTAATATCGAACATACAAAACGCGTTAGTACAGCACTGAAGACCATCTTTCCTGCATCACACAGAGTAATGACGTTAGGCACTTACATCGAACACTTGGTCTCCGATCTGGATTCTAGACCAATGGTCCTCCTCGAACCCGATCTTTTGCCCCTTGGTCACAAAGTTGGCCCTAAAGCTATCGGATGTCAGCTCGTGTCTCAGCTTCTTGTCCAAATCCTCCGATAAGTTAGCCAGTCTACGAACAGCACCCTGGCCCTCATCTTGCTCATCAACCCAGTCGCGAACGCGTTCCACAGACTTGTCAGCAATCAGAAGGAACGGACTCTCGTTCGATAGCAGGATCGGAGCACCCGCGGGTGCGTTCAAATGGGACTTGACAAAGCGCGATGAAGCAGGAGCTGCCCCTGAGCTGCTTTCGTTAGAGACTGATGCAATCGATCCGTTCGAAAGCAAGGGGTTCTGCGAGGTGACAGGTTGGCGGGCCAGTCGACAGGGCTTGCCCAAGAAACGCGTGAACCATTCATTGATCTCGGGCGCAGTGTAATGAACCACGGATGTGCAGTCTCCGCAGACCCTGGAGGAGCTCTTGGCGGCTTCCGTAGGCATCTCGTCCAGCGAGATGTACAGCCTATTATCGGCTTTCTTTTGGGTATCGTGTTCGCTGCTCAATGCAGATCCTGGCTCTTGGTCGTGCTCGACAATCATCAGGTTCTGGTCTAACAAGATCTCGGCCCGGATCATGCACATGCGCGGATATCGCTTCTGGGTCAAAGCAGCACCGGTGACTTCGTCTACGAGCATCCATTCACGATCGTACAGCAGACCATGAGGTGCGAGAGGCCAAGACCGACCACGGGGGATCTTGTAACCGCGACAGGACTTGATAGGGTAGATGATAACAGAGTCCACCTGAACAGGGTCTGATGAGGAGCTGTCCGGAATCTCACCCTTTTCACCAATGAGATCAAGGCTTTGCACAATGGCATCGGGATCCGAGTTATCGATAAAATACTCCTCTAGGAAGGCGATAAAAGCTAGGACATCATCGACTGTGGACATGGCTCCGAGAGAAATACGGATAGAACCAGTCGGTTTGCCATTGAGAATATCTGTGTCGTCCCAACAGACATGACCAGCCTAAGATAGTGCACGAAATGGTGATGTTATTTAGCATTTGGTCAATACCATGCAGGAACCGTCCTTGAACAAATAATATCCAGTGGGAAGATCAATTACCTCCAAATTCTTCTTGACTTCGTCTGCCGAAAGACCCAACCAGCGCTGCATCGATCCCGGGTTACAGAAGCCTCCAGTGCGCACGTGGATATTCTTCATGCTCGCCAAACGCTCCACATCACCATATCCAATCCAGCTTCCATTACTCCGCCTCAGATTAAAGTTCAAGATGGGTCCATACGTCTCAGGGTTACCGATCAGCTTGTTTTCAATCTCCTCGGTCTTAGTCGGGTCTTCGCTGTCAACGTAAATGTCGCAGAGCGGTGCGCCATTGTAGTGTTTCAAGTCCTTCATGGTTCGGTACAGTAACCGATGAAGTGCCGTAACATGAGGCGAGATGTTCGAGTAACTGCCATAGATCTCGCGAATGCTCTCGAATGCCAGATCCAAAGCGACAATGTCCAGATAGTTCAATGTTCCATCTTCGTATCGTCCATGCAATGAAGACCGATAGACCTGCCAGGGTTCGTCCGAAGCGATTGCTGAAACAGTGCCTCCGCCAAAGTACTTCTTCCTGAGCTTGGGTGCCAATTCGGTCTTGACAATGACAGCTCCGAGACCCGTTGGGAATCCAAACATCTTGTAAAATGAAACGACGACAAAGTCCGGGCTGGCAGCATGGTCACTGAGATCGAGTTCCGAGGTCATCACATAGGATGCAGCATCGAGAAGGACAATGTTCTTGCTTGTTGGGGTATCGAGTCGGCTCTTGATCTGAGCCGGCCAGGATAGAGGGAAGCGACGACCTCCAAAATTGCATTGAGCCGGGTAAGCGAATAGGTTATATATAGGCTCGTCATCCGTTCCTGAATCCGCCAGTGATAGCGAGTGGACCAAACTCGATGTTGAAGAGTTGGGCGACAAAGGCGGTGACGGGTGGTGCGATGTTGAAGAGTCATGGCTATCCCGGTGTTTCTTTGTCTGAGCCAATTGTTGTTCTAATTGGTGCTGCGTAACTGTTTCCAGATCAATTGTCCCACTTTCATCGTGAGCGAGACCGCGTAGTCCGACAAGACTTGTGTGTGCCTCCCTGAGGATCGTCATCTTGGATACTGCTGATGGGTTGTGTGAGCCTGTTACTACAGATGATCGCCGAGTCCACGGAAAAGCTTCCCCGACCAGCTTGATGCCCGCAGTAGCATTGGCGGTAAAGATAACATCCCACTCGCCGTGGATCGAAGCCTTAAAGTGCTCGAGGACCTTTCGCCGTGCGGACTCGACTCTGGCCGAGGTCGCTTGCGAAGAAGGGGATTTAGAGTGGGGATTGGCATAGAGATTGGAGGTGAGGTCGGCGGTGAATTTCTGCAAAAGATGCTGAGCAGGCAGTGTGGCTCCAGCATGATCGAGGTAGATGGCATCTGCGAAACAAGCCAAAGCCGAGGGTCAATCAGTGGATCATAGAGCGTCTAAGAGTAACAACACACTGGCAGACCAATATGATTACCTTTCAGCTGTGGGTATTGTTCTTTGCGGATGGTATCGATGGTGTTGCTGTAGCCGTAACCAAGAGAGTCCCTAGTTTCAAGGAAGTGTGCTTTGAGTGATGCAGACATCGTCTTGGCTGAATGAATGAGGACTGAATGAGAAGAGGAAGAGGGAGGGGTATAGATGGCAGTTGAATGAGGAGAGTGTGAAAAATGTCCGGGGTTATATTAGCAGACGGTGTAAAGAAAGAAGACGACTGAGGAAGGAAGAAGGTGGGTGCTGGGGTGTATTGTCGAGCGAAAAAAGTGGGTCAGGATAGATTGGATAGAAACAAATGAACAAAGTCCACTGGAGTGGGACTCCTTGTGCAACCTCGGACTAGCAGACAGCAGCGAATCAAATGTCTGCTTGTTCAAATGTCCTGGGTCACCTGGGTCCTATGTGGGGTACTGACTCCGGTCACTTCCGCCCTTCGACAAATATGGAGTTTTTGTTTGCGCGCGAGAGAGTGTTCACCATGAAGCGCGTCTTTGTCTCCCAACCATGCAGTGATAGCAACCATTAGTCTTTTCGATTGCCCGCTACTGATGGGTATCTGCGAATGGCGCTTAGTGCGACTGATAGAGAAGTAGTAAAGAACTGGGGCTATCTTCGATGGATGTTCTATCAGTCGTTAAGTTTATTAGATGCAGATGGATTAAATAAAAAAGTGTGGGTATATTTGCGGAAAGTCTTATTTCGTCTCCCAATCGACCTCCTGTGGCGATCCTCGAGTTGGTGTGCCATCAACATATCCAAACACTGACTCGCGTTCATATGTTGCAGGAGCTCGTCGTGTCCTGCCTCGGATATTTCTGTATGATGAAGAGAGCTCATTTTCCGGGACAGATGGTGGTGGTGGTGGTAGTGGTGGCATAGGGTACTGCGGATTGCGTCGACGAGGCGAAAGAGCCGATCGAGATGAACGTGAGGATTGAGATGGAAGAGTCGGCGGTGGTGGTGGGATATAGTCGCCATCGTCGTCGCCCAGATCCATCGCATAATGAGCTGCCCAGTCATCCTCATCCTCCTCTTCTCCTTCTTCTATGTCTTCTTCGACGTATGTGCCTATGACTCCTATCGCTGGGGCCCTGAGCCTTGAGACGCGGCGTGATTGACCACGCTGGAATCCAACTTGGCCATCCCCCTCGTTAGGCGCCCTCCGTCCCGATGATCGATCTGGCTGGTCCTGGTGCTGAGATTCTACGCCGGCTGTCGAAGGACCTCTCAAATGAGAATAGCGACGGCTTCCGTTCTTTGAAAATGCAGCTCGATCATCTTTGGCGCCTAATCCTGCTGTAGAGGGACCTCGCAGCCCTGAGAAGTTGCGCTGGAGGATGCCAAATGGATCTTCCTCCGTAGTAGGGCCCCGCAGATGAGAGTAGCGCTGTTCTTCCTTCTCTGCAATGTCCTTGACGGTGTCCTTGGCGGTGTCCTTGTCGTAGTCCTTGGCGGTATCCTTGCTGTCATGCGGTCCGCTTTCGTTTAAGTCGTCGGTAGGATTCTTGCTGCGTCTAAATCGATCCCGATATCGGATTGCAACAACGACTGCAACGATAGCGATAATGAGAGCAATAATGGTCCCGAGAATGACAGGCCAGCGTGGAGAAGCATCGCCAGGAGTAGGTGTAGGAATCGCGGACGAACTTGATGTTACTGTTAATGTTGATGTCGATGTCGAAGTTCCAGTGGGCTTGGACGTAGTAGTGGTAGGCAGAGTTCCAAAGTTGTTTGTCCACTGGTTGGTCCTCATGTTATAGATCAGCGTTGTGTTGGCGAAGACCGCTTGGTTCAAGGTAGAACCGCCCCAAGAGAGAAAGTAGTCGCTGCTGACGCCGCAGGCGGCAGAGGATCGTGCTCCCACTGTGGTCATGTCTGTGCCTTTCGCCCATGTCAAAGTCGCGACGTCTAGGATATAAATGTCGCCCAAAACGGACGTCCCTAAGGGATTTAATCCGCCGAACAGCATCAGCTTTGAGCCATTGTACGCTGGCACGAAGCACGCGTTGCTGCGCGCTGAAGGAATCGTTCCCTTGGTGGCGGGAGTTGCCCACTCATTGGTGATGGGGCTGTATGTGTACAGGTTAGCTGTAGTGTTGCCAGCTGTCTTCCCTCCAAACAAAACCATGCTTTTGAGAGCTGTGCTCCAAAGAGCTGAATAGTCGATTAGGGATGTCATTCCTGCAGGCATAGGGATGAAAGCCATGGTGTTCATATTCAAATCCACAGTCAGCATGGATGGGCTGCCGAGGGAATCCACAAATCCATTGGGGATGTAGACCATATTGGTATCGGGGTTAGTCGCCGCTGCGAGACCTGGTTTTTTACTGAGCGAGATGCTTGAGAATATCTCGGTCCATCCGGCATTCTGAAAGCTGTAGAGGTACCCACTACCGCTTGTCATGAGAAACCAGTTTCGCTTGTCGGCAGAAAGTGCACTTGCTGACTGTGCAGAAAGAGTTCCTCGAGTGAGCTGACGGTAGGAAGGAGAGGTTGTGTTCCATGGAGAGGAGAGGTCTATTGTGAAGGTCTGATCGACCATGCTGGTGGGCGTGTCGTAACCGCCTTGGACATAGAGTCCTTGACCCTCGATAAAGACGCTTGAAGCGTAGTATGTGACAGCTGGAGCGAAAAATGCTTGGGCATGGACTGTAGTGCCTTGGAAAGTTGCAAGGAGTAGAAGGAGGAGTAATGTGATAATGTGTAATGGGCGTAGGAGCAGATCATTAGGTATTGATGTGTACAGCTGCATTATGGCGAGGGTAAAGAGGATGGGATGTGGGGTGCTGGAGGGGTGCTGAACAAGGCAAAGACAAAGGGAAGGGATGCCAAGGTGGTGTTAAGAGTGGTGAGAAGAATGAAGGATAGAAGGTGAAGGGGTTAAGGATGCGGTCTTCTTTGGCGGAAAAGAACATGCAACATGCTTTGGCTCAAGAGGGAGAAAAGGGATAGGGCAGGTATATAAGTAGTACGATCGCTCCTCCTTGCCCCATGCCCCATGGCCCATGGGGGCTCAATGGGAGCAATGGTTGTCTACTTTTTTCCTGTGAAGATTTCCAGGGGCTCATATGGATAAGTGCCGTTTCAGATCACCCGTAAGGTTTGCTGCATGGCATCGCAGTGGTCCGCACATTCTACACAGCGGTAAAAAAAAAAAGCGATTACATCCTACATAAGTCTGATGCATGGCTGCATGAGGATATTGCAATTTCTTAGCGGTGATACAAACCAATACCCGCCGCACCACTCCGCCCCTAGTTCCTTTCTAGCTCGCAACTTTGGGGTCCAAAGGGGTGGAAGATCGAGATGGAAATAATGTTGTTTTTCCTAATAAGAAGCCCGAGATGGAACAAGGGCATCGGTGCCGTTTCTTTCTTCTTTCTTTTCAACGCACCCCAGTTTTTTCTTTTGTCCATGTTCAGATGTTCTTGTACAAATATAACGTATACGCCCCCATACGCACATACCACTACCTGAAGATACTCTGCAACATTATTATTCCAGTGCTGCCACTGGGGGCATCGGCTACACGAATCGAGCGGTTGTGCCACTAAAAGCGCACTTTGCACTTGCATAGTGCTTCCTAAGGCACAGCAAAGACCATTTCAGCACACGTAAAATTGTATTCGTATTCGTATTCGTATTTGCCTTTTTGTTATTATTATTAGAGTGAGCGACTAAAGCAATAGGATAATTATTTATACAGAATCGCGTTTCTTATTCTTGTCCCCGCGATGGACTAGATTCATGCAGCAATGCTAGACTTCCAGTTCCTGGCACGCTCGAACCCGTTCTGTCCAGACTGATAATCCACAAACGTGTCGTAGATCTCTTCCTGCGAGTTCATCACAAACGGACCATGCTGAACAATCGGCTCCTTCAAGGGCTCGCCTGCAATCAACACAAAGTGGGCCTCCTCATCCTTGGTCGAGATCTTAACCGTCTCTGCGCCATCTTCCGAGAACGTCAGTGTGTGATGCGCCTTGCCCTCGAACTCCTTGTCGCCAATGAGTGTCGTGCCCTTGAGCATGTAGATGAATCCAGTGTAGCTGGCAGGGATCGACTGCTCGACCGTCTTGTTCTTGTCCATCTTGAAGTCCAGATACATGGTCGGCGTGCGAGTGTAGACCTTGCTCTTCACACCATGGGACTCGCCCGCAATGACTTTGATCACCACACCGTCCTCAGGCGTGGCACGGGGAATCTCCTTATCGAGCAGCTCCTGGTACTGGGGTTCGCACATCTTGTGTTCCTTGGGCAGGTTGATCCAGAGCTGAAGACCGTGGGCGCGGGTCTGGGACTTGATTGGCATCTCTGAATGAACGATACCACGACCAGCGGTCATCCACTGCAAGTCGCCGGGCCCGATGGTTCCCTTGTGTCCTGCAAAATCCTCGTGTTGGAATTGGCCCTCGAGCATGTAGGTGACGGTCTCGAAGCCGCGGTGGGGGTGATCGGGGAAACCGCCGTTCTTGTCGACGTCGAACTCATCGAGCATGAGGAAGGGGTCATGGTTGCGGAGTTCGGGACGGCCGATCGAGCGACGGACACGGGCACCGCGACCTTCGGCCTGTGCGGCAGAGAGGACGGACTTTGTGATCGACCTTGAGACTTTGGGGGCAGACATGGTTGCGATAGTTTTGGTTTTAGTGAAGGAAGAGAGGGAGAAAGAGGTAAGGTTGGATGTTAAAGAGAATATGTTGGTGTCGAAGTACTTTTGATAGGCGAGGACGAGTGAATGGAGAACTATGTAGGCAAGAAGTGCGCGAAAGATAGAGATCATGATCTTGGGGGTTTTTTATGAGAAGCGAGACCCCTTTGGTGAGACATCAATTCGGCTTTATATGTTTTGGTGCATGGGCTGGCTCACAAATACCCCCCACGCTTATTCATGCTCCAGTAAGCCACCCGGCAGTGGCGCACAAGGAGTCGCTTCAAGATTGCTCACCATTTTTGGTGCATTGACACCGACCATGGACGCTTACTACTCCAACAAATGGCGAGCGTGTATAGGAACGATCATGCTAGAAGCTCACTCGGATGTATCAATGTGAATTATTAATACACAGAAGACCTGCTTCCTACAGAATGATGGCGACCAGCCAATTGTTTGCCCACTCATGTTTCGCTTCAGGACCGAGACCTCTTACGTGCAATTGAACCAGGATTGCTAAGATTGGATTTTAAAATATGGGTGTGGCTACCGGTGTGCAAGCTGCTTTGGATACCGAAATTGTAATCCTAGATTTTGGACTCCAGGAATAAAAGCTATACAGACAGACACGCTTTTTAAAGAGCCGGACAACGTATCTGAGTGGCTGTAGCCCAACATTTTCACCTTTATTCGTGAACGAGTTTTCTGTCTCTACGAAGTACAACTGGTGTTCGGAAGGAATGCTTTCTAAAGAAAGAGAGAGCGGTGGTGGATAGTAGGACTGACATATGACCTTTATGATGAAAGGATAAAGAAAGCAAGATGGTATTCCTACGAGTGAATATGCAGCATTTAGACGCGATATATAGGGTCCCAGGGATATGGAAAGAACAAAGGCTGGGAACATATGCAGACGCCGTTGATGGGTTCTTTTCCTTCCTCGCCGGCCTTTTCATACCGCGATATTTGCATGTATTCCCCTTACAATAAAAAGAAGAGTAACAAAAACAGACACGCGTCTCTGCATTAACTCTAATAAGATTTTTCGCCTCTTCAGGATCGCTGTACCCTGAAAGGATAGTTTTATCATAATGTGCGCGACCCCTGTATTCCTGAGCCATGCCAATGACATCCAAAGTGATGTTGAATCCATGGCATTTTTATGGTGAAGTAATTGATTCCAAAATACATCGAGAATTTTGACTTGTCCAAAGTCAATTGTTGAACTTCAATATTCAACTAGAAATTACTAGACAAAAGTAGTCTTGATTAGCCGAATGCTGTGCATCTGCCTGATTCTACGCACGGTAAACTTCAAGAGCTTTCGATCCACGATGAACATTATTCGGCTCCGCTCTAGTAAGGATGATGCTACGGAGAATTGTTCAGGGAAACATCATTCGGCACCGACCCTCAGGATCCAGAGAACGACATTAAACAGGACTTTACGCTTCAGCTCAGGCTATACACGAGAGCAGAAGCCGGGATAGCCGGGGATAACCTGCTGCTATTCACGTCCCTTTACGGTTCGCAGCTCAGGGGTGACACGATGCACATCGATACCAAAGAGGAATTCGCTTAGTTCTATTAAATTTAAAGAAGCAAGGAGGACGCAGAGCGTAAGTCGCTTACACTCGGTGGTCACAATCGGCAGATCTGGACTAGAAGAGTAATGAAGTAGCACCAATGAATCCAGTGCGGGTTTAAATCAAATAGGTATACATACGACTTATCAACGAACTTAAACGCTCTTCTATGGCGAATAAAGCGAATGCAAACGAGGAAGGGCGCATAAGATGACAGGCAATGGACGCGATATCTGCAGCCTGGATACAGTTCGCGACGTGATTTATATTGGAGAATAGGGACCGTGGAGGCGAATGTTCGAACGTTCCTTCAGACAGACGCAGGGAGGATCTGGTCGACAAAGTACCAGGTTTCGTTTGGGATTCGTGTGAAGGCAGCTATAGGGAAAAATATCGATGCCTGGTTGTGTACGATCTAACCTACAAAACGAACAAAAAAACATCGAATCGAACCGGCTACTATCCCAGGCCAATAGGCACCAACCAAGATCTGGGAAAGATAACCTAGAGGATCAAGTTGAACGATGAGCTCACGCATGACGATTCTCGAAGGATCGAAATGCTCCAACGCGGCTTCCCCTCCAAACCTGCATATCTTCTTTTAACACACAGCCTACGCGCTTTATTATAGCCGCTCCTCTGCGGCACAAAACTCCAATTGAAAAAAAAAAAAAAGCGACGCAGTCGATTTCCATAAAAGGCACAAGCCACTCCCTCTAGCATCCCCATTTATTGCTTCCCCTCCGCCCCTCCCCCTCGCATTATTTCTCTTCTCACCAACGATCTCAAATCCATATACCCCTCCCTTCTTCCCTCGCGAATCAAATTTCCCACGTTCAGGAATAACACATAGGAAAGAAATGAAAACGGTAGACAAACTCCGGGACGCGCTCATATCGCTCGGCCAGGACACGCAGGGAAACAAGACTACCCTCAAGATGCGGTTACGGAAATATTTGAAAAATAACCCGGGTGCCCTCGCTCGTTCACCGTCCCAGGGATCAGGGACAGGACCAGGTATAGAAGCAGAGGAATCAGCAGCGGCTGAGGCAGCGGCAGCGGCAAAAACAGCGGCAGAGGCGAAGGCAGAGACTAACACAAAAGCAAGGGCAGCGGCAAAAGCAGCAGAAGAGGCAAAAGCAGTAGGAGGCCAGAAAGACGGGGATCATTCCGAGGCTTCAGACCTGAAAACTACCCAGGTGAAAAATGGCGATGCCCAGGCACCAAAGGACAAGATGGAAGATCGGAATCACGGCCACAGTAACGACAGTGGGAGCAGCAAACGCATGCTCCACAGGAATAGTCGGTACGATTATTATCTGTGCTTCGATGTCGAGGCGACCTGCGAGACAGGGTTTTCGTTCGAGTTCCCGAATGAGGTGATCGAGTTCCCGGTCGTGCTACTGGATGGATCGACCTTTGAGATCGTAAGTCGCAGAGTGTCTTTTTTTCTTTCCCTTCTCTTTCTCTCTGGGTCATTCTATAGCGTGGACCAAAGATATGTTCAAATCTGACAAGCACATTGTTTCTTTTTTTTTTTTTTTGGTGGAAAATAGGTGGATGAGTTCCATTCGTATGTGAAGCCAACGCATCGACCGACTTTGAGCGAGTTCTGCGTCGGGTTGACAGGGATATCACAGGTAAGTTTTACAGAAACATTTCTTCTCCTCTACCGCCTGGTCCAGCTACATCGTCTCCTTGATATTCGCTGGTTTCTCACGCCATTTCTACGCCAACGTTCCCTAATAGGAAACTATCGATGATGCCCCGACATTCACAGAGGTCCTCTCGCTCTTCGAAGACTGGCTCACACTTCACGGCATCATCCTTGAAGGAGGCTCCACCACCACCAATAACAGCAAAAACAACAGCAACAAGAAGAACAACAACTTCATCAAGAAGCCCAAATCCTCGAAATACTCCTCCTCCAGCCCCACCAACAACGGCCACAACCCCAATTTCATGACAGTCTCCAATGCGACCAATGACTTTTCCTACGGCGCCACCTTCTGCTTCGTGACAGACGGTCCGTTTGACATCCGGGATTTTATCAGCAAACAGTGCGTCCACTCCAACATTCCTCGGCCTTCCTATTTTGCAAAATCCTATATCGATGTCCGGACCATGTTCCGCGACTATTTTGATCTGACCCATTGGTTGAACCTCGAGGGCATGCTCACGTTCTTGGGGGAGACATTTTTGGGAAGACAGCATAGTGGAATCTGTGATTCAAGGATGGTTGCGTTGATCGCTAAACAGCTCGCTATCGGTTTTGCTGGAGACGGGAGCGAGGAGAGGAGTCATCCAGTTTTTAATGAAAGAAATCAGAGCTTGCTCGCACTGAAGTGGAGTAATGACATGATTGAGAAATTGAAGCGGGGTTGTGTTTTGAAGGCAAATCGGTCTACGAATCATACGTTTGTCAAGATGATCACGTTCAAACAGCTCGAAAAATTGGAGGCCCTGGGCGCAGCGGCCTCTGGTCCGCCTCCTACACCGCCTCCTGCACAAGAGCTGCCGGTTGGGACAAAGGAAAAGCGGCAGAGCCGTTCTACTCGGCAACCGAAGGTCGATACAGCAGCCGCTGCATCGTTGTCGTCGCCGCCGCCAACTTCATCCGCATCGCCTTCGTCCCCCACAGCATCATTTGCCATCGACTCCAAGTTCTCGGCCCTCATGACCGAGGCGCTAGAGTGAATGAAATAAATGTACTATGTATCCATCCAATTAAAACCACGTCCACACTATCGTTTCGGAAAATAGGATGCTTATTATTACATGTTGTATGCACTTTTGTTTTCCTCTATGCCGCCCTGATCTGCTCTCTATCAATGCCATTTCCTCCTCTTCATCTCTAAAATTCCTTCAGAGCCATCACCATCTCCGCAACCCTCAGTTCCTGTACCTCCAACATCTCCAGCATCCCATTCAACATCTCCAACTCTCGCTTCTCCGCACTGTTCAACAACGCATCGTTTGCGAGCACATCCGTACGCTCACACTTCTCCAACAGCACCGCCCGCTTGGCCTTCTCCACAAACCGCCTCTGCCTCAGATTTCCCATCGTATGATACAACCGATCCACCAACGCATCCGCAGCCCGGTCCAGGAGCACTTCCCACAGATAAAATGTCCTGGATGGTGTCCGATCCGTCGTCTTGGGCACCTCCTGCAAATTTAGCACCCCAAACGTGGACAACGTGGTCAATTTCTCACGCACATCCTTAATTGGCATCATCGAGTATCTCGAAATCTGCTTCTCCTCGAGCTTGCCCTTTTCCAGCAACATGTTCATAATCCGCACATACGGTGATCCGAACCGTGTCGCCACAATGTCCTGGATCAAATTCCGTTTCAAGATCTTGGCTGCCATCCTCAGGTGGATGATGTACTGCCCGCTCCTGCCTGCGTCCTTCCTCAGAATCTTCATCAGATCCGCCTCGAGGATCTCGATGTATTTCTCAAGACACTCGCCGACCTTGGGCTTGACGCTACTGGGCCCCAGCTCCTGAGGGTCGAATTCGAGTGTGTCGACGAGGTTGACGTCCTTGGGCAGGTTGTTGAGGAGGAGCATGATGTTGACAGGGTTCGAAAAGTCTTCCTTGCAGTTGATCATGCGTTCCTCTGCCAGTGTCAGAATCGTGTTCATGATCTTCTTTGCCGTTGGATTCAATCGGATCTCGTACAATGAGGCAATTTTCTACAAAGTGTAAATAAAGTAACCACGACGTTAGCATACTGTGCCAAAAATCGTCTCTTTTTTTTCCCCAACTGCAACGAATGAAAAGAAGAGGACCATCATACCATATTACGCCATCTAATAATGAATCGCTCGTAGTTGATCTTGAAAAAGACGTCTGCCTCGACCTCCTCAACAATCACCAAGTCTCCATCTGTCAGCTTACGACGCTTATCTCCTTCGAACCTATCATGATCCGTAGTGTCCAATGTGCGTTTCTATACAATTATGAGTCATCAACAAGACACTCTCAGTTAGACCAACTGTCACTGATGCTCCTATCGAAAAAAAACACTTCCCCACAGAAAAAGAGTCCTGCAAGAACCGCATAATCCCGCCTACCAATCCAACGATGGAGCTCGTCTGATCCTGCAATTTCTGCGCTCCCAATGTCTTGCGGATGTTGGCGAGTTCTGCTGCGGTCGGTGGCAGAGTCATCTTGTCTGTTTCCCGCTTCTCTTCTGCCATTTCCTTATCTGTCGCGTTCAACGAGTCCGAGGGCCGGACTGCGATCAAACACTTTTCCTTGACCATCCTCGTGAACGCCTTCTTCAACGACGAGACACCTATTTTTCAGTCGGATCAAATAAAAAAAAAAAGGATAAAAAGAGGGCAAAGCCAAACAGTGATTAGATACCTCACCGCATGTACCCAGGACCAGATCGCAGTCCGTCATAAAGCACTCTCCATATAAACCCAACACACAAGTCGACAACAAAAAAAGTGATTCCTTACGTTGCGCCTGCGACCGTCCACTAGCGGCTCCTCCAGCGCTCGGTGAATGTGCCACAATCTCGTTGATGCACTCAGTGATCGTCAATTTTCCATGGGTCAACAAAGCGTGTGCGACAGCAGCCCCATCACGCTCGAACCATTCCTGACAATAATGCAGCACCTTGGCGATCAAGGGCCGGTGCAACAGCTCTGGTCGGTTGATCTCATAATAGGTCACGATCCGGCTCCGCTCCTGTGCCTCTGCGTAGACAGCGACGTTGTGTTGGATCATCACGAAGAGGCATTCCCGAACTTGACGTGGTTTGAGGGACGTGAGCATCGCGATCTGAGCGACGGGCATACGACCCTTGCGAAGAATCACATTGGCGACTTTCTGGCAGATATTGAAAGATAAAACCAAAATGAGGCTTTAGTACTTGAGGTGAAGAGAGAGAGAGAGAGAGAGAGAGAGAGAGAGAGAGAGAGAGAGAGAGCGACTCGAGTGACGGACAAAGAAACTGAATGGTCTGTTCTGTTACCTCAACGATAGGACCAAAGTGTTCCCTCACTATGAGGCGGCACAGTCGATTCTCTAAAAGTCGACAAGAAGAGGGTAACTCGCATCAACTTTCCAAGGTCCTCTTCTACTTTCGCGTCCCCCCTCGTCCCGTTTTTCTGTCCAATTTTTTTTTTTTTTTTTTCGCGAGACCCCCCTGTCCATTGTCCATACCATGGGTACTCATGTCACTTCCAGTTGTCGATTGTTGCCTCGTAATACACGAAGGCTGGGGCCACACAGGTAGAAAGATAGAAAGATAGAGAGAGAGAAAAGGAGAGAGACAAAGGATGAATGAAAAGGGCGGTGGGCAAAGGTGAGCAAAGGTGAGCAAAAGGGGCCAGTGATGCTTGAAAGTGTTCTAAGGGTTTGTTGACAACCTTAAGCTCAAAGCCACCAGTAGCCCAAAACTCAATTGGGCACATTTTTTTTAAAACGCGTGTGCTACGCGTCTGCAACGCGTCAAACAGAGATACAAAACATACTATGTACACCGCACCCAAAGGGAGATACAAGATACTACACCGCGTTTTATTTTATCTATACACGACCTGGATACATCCCGCCCCTCCTCCAATTTTTTTTTCTCTCTCCCTCAGACCTTAGATCTGAATACAATGACTTGCTGGGAACCACCCCGTCGTCTCTTTCCCAACCTTCTTTCCAAAATACCACCCATCATCATTCAATCCAAACACCACAATACTCTCTCCTGCCTCAAACGAAAGCTGCCTTGCTTCTGTTGAAGTATACGGATAAATCGCTGTGCACTCAAACAACGCCTGCGCAATTCCAATCTCATCCGCGTCCATTCCTTCATCCAGCGCTGGCGGTTTGGTGTTCGCCATCGGATCCTGATATTCCGACCCAAAACCGCCTCCGCCGGCTCCAGAGCTGAACGAATAAGCAGACGACGCTACGGATAGAGGTCTGACACCAAACTGGTTACCTCCGTGATTGTTTCCAAAGGGCTCATACTCATCCGAGATCACAGATCCATCATGGAAGATAGACTCTGGCATCTCGAACGGGTTGTCGTCGTCCCCGGGGAAGAACCGTGGTAGCATCGGTAACTGATGCAGTCCAACATCTGTTGGAGATGTCAAAAGATCGCCCTTGGATGTCGATTTTGAGAACCAAGATGATCGTTCAGATCCGGGGGTGTGCAGCGGTAAGGGCGCAACACTCGAAGAGCTTCCAGATCGTGATGCCAAGCGGAGCGAGGCTCTTTTGCGTCGCTGGGCCGTCTCACGCATACTCTGGAATGCCATTTCTGAGAGAAAAAGAGTGATAGAAAAAAAAATGGACATACGTAAGATTAGAAATGTGTAAAATAAAACATAGCCATAGAACATAGCCATAGAACCGTATGAATTAACTTCTATTCCAGAAAAGGGTAGCAAGTGAGCGTACCATGGGTAGATTCAACATTCCTGATCAACGAAACCCTTTCAAGGCGCGCAAGCGGGCCATCGTCCCTCTGCATCGCTGTAATGTAATCCTCGCATATATTCATCGTCGCCATATATCCCGGTACATCCATCGATACCGTTGAATCGATGTTCTGGATATAGAACTCGAGAATTTTGCCCTTGACTTGAGAATAGAAATACATCTGGACCCTGCTGAACTCCATGACGATTAGGTCAAAGTACTGAGTGGTCAGGCCTAGGAAGACAGGAAGCTCATCCACCAGCTGCTCGTTGATCGCGGTATATGCCTCTGCGGACTCCAGCATGTTCTTGTCAATCTATCCAAGAGCGATTATAATGCAAGCATTGTCAGTTTTGCTATGGTCAATCGTTGCTTAATGAGTCGACGACCGATCCACGGTTTCTAAAAAGAGTGGAATCAAACATACTGTATCTCCACGCTCTTTCATCCCACGGACGCTATCATAGTCCAGCAACTTCTTTTCTCGTTTCTTCATGACCTGTAGGGGCCCTGAAAAGAGTCTAAGGAAGTTTTCAATGCTCTTGTAGACCGTCTTCTTAAGCCGCGCCTCAAGCTCCCTTCCGATGGTTTTGGAGAACTGAGAGAGACTCTTGTGGAATTCGCTAACAAGGACGGTGGACCGGTTTTCGTCATGACGATGGATCGGCACCATGCTGTAAATCTCCCTGAGCGTCAGTGCGAAGGCCTCCTGGGTATCAAAAAATTCTGAATAGAGTGAAAAATGCCGGCCTGATTAGCACGGAGATCTTTTCTGAAGCCCAAATGTGCCGTTGATATTTGTAGTAATCCTGTCCTACGTTTAATGGAGAGCAGCCATGCCAAGATATATTTGACAAATTCGCGAGCCAAACTCTGCTGAAGGTTGAACTTTTCTAGCAATGCTTCAAAGAGGATATCGACGGTGACATCGGACCCACCCACAGCTTGACGAAGCTGTTGCGTTGTTCGAGAAAACTTCTTGTTGAATCCATGGCTGATAGAACAAAGTAAAAATATCCGATGTTTAGTAAATTCATGACAGCTGGAATAATGACCTGGCCAGTGTTGTAAAGCAATCTTCCCATAACATACACAAGCTATGACGAGAGAAAAGAAAAGAGGCAAGAGCGGTCAGCTATCAAATCTATGTCATGTAGGGCTATCCCAAGAGTGTGAGAGAGAGACCGAGAGCAAGAGTGTGCGTGGAAGAAGTTCAGTGGATCGCCACTTACGTCTGAATCGGTCTTCTTTTTAGGGCCAACGATCTTTTCTACAATATCCTTGCGCTTCTTAATCTCGTTAATTTCCTCTGCAATTTGCACCATGTCCTTCTGAACCTCTGCAAGACTCTCGTAGTCTGCGTGTTCGTGTGATGTTAAAGCGTGGATTTGCTAGAAGGAAGAAAGAATTGATTGATACAAGACGCGTGCCCAAATATTAAAGATCATAATCAAGATATCCAACAGCATCTCACACAGCTTGAACACGAAGCCTTCGCACATACGTTGATTAGGAGGGGGTACTTGAGAACCCTTTGTACGGGCTTGATCAAAAAGCTGGCTAGATCCCAAGTAGTGGTCTTGCCCTTACACTTCTCTTGGCATGCGTCAAAGAATGGCTTTAAATCTTTTCTACTGTCCAGTTCCTGAAGGTACTGTGCCGAGGCCTCCTGTCGCTTACAGTACTCTGAGTAGACTCGTCGGATCCTCGATGTCTATTTTCAATGGCAGAAGTTATACAGTACACAGGGTCAGATATGCAGAAAGGAAATAGAGAGCATCCCTTCTCAAATTCGACAGACGTTATGTTTGCGTACCATTTGCAGAAATGCCTCCCCAACAAATGTGTTGGCATCGTTGTACTCTTCGCCTGAGCCTCCTCCGCAGGCAGGCGTCAGAAGCGCAATAAAATCCAAAGAAAGCTCGATGACTTCACCCAGGTTCATGAAGACAATCTTTTCGTCCGCTTGTGAAAACAGAGGCGATTCAATCATGTCCGTCACATAGACCTATTTTTTTTCCCCAAATGCTAACGATTAGTATGCGCACATGCAAATCGTTATCCGCTATAATTCATTCAGGTGGTCGAATACATACCTCCTGCAAGAGCAGCAAATCTTTCGAGTAACTGATTTCAGTCTCCAACAATTCCTGAATAACCCGGCGCCTCTTATCCAGACGATGCTTGCGCTCCTTCTCTTCTGGTGTATCCTCCGCAGATAATAAAAAGCTGTTTGATCGCGAAGGCAGCTTCGGCTGCAGTTCCTGTGGCGAATCTGGGCGAGGAGCCGCCCGTTGAGGTGCAGGTGGCGCCACTTTACCTATGAGCACAGAGTCCCTGCCTGGGACCGATACAAGAGGCGTCAGCTTCGCACTGTTGTTGAATTGCTGGAAAACAGGGTTCTGCTGAATTTTCGATGATGTCCGTGATGGTAAGGGTGGTCGCGCTGGCAGTGGTGTTGCAGGTCCAGCCTCATCTTCGTCGCTTCCCATGAACGGATTTCTTTCCGATTCTGGTGTCTCTACACTGGTTGGTGTCCTAGGAGGGGACGGGGTTTTTGTACGGAAACTAGGTTTGACAGGAGGTGGAGGTCTTGGCAGCTGCTTGAAGGAATTGGATGATAGGTGTGATGTTGATGAGGACACCGCTAACGAAGGATACTGAGGCAAACTGTGCCTTATCGTTGACTTTGATGTTGACGTTGATGTTGGTGCCGTAGTGCTAATAGAGTCCATTGACGCTCGCGATGCTCGAGCTGCAACCGCGGGATTTTGTGAATTGATGGCTGTTTTGGGTTTCGGCTGTGGAGTGTCCTATACAGAAGGATTCATGGGGAGGTTCAAAGGAGATGATGTGTTAGCAATTTCTGCCAGAACAATCATACATGCAGCAGCTTGGTATCAGTACGTCGTTCAGTAGATTCAATGAGCCCCTGCACGTACAGGTTTTGGCAGCGATACGTTCGGGACCGACGCCTGCGACTGGAACCGCGCCCTTAGGTTCCCAAAATCGGGTTGGCTGTTATCAATTCCATCACCTGAAGATATTGATCCTGCACTGGGTGCGCCTCCTCGGCTACTTCCTGACTCTCGTTGAGGTGGTCCTGGCGAGGACACTGAGCGTGGTCGACTGTGGTGCGAAGGGACGTCCAGTTCGCTGGAATTTAGCTGCTGAATGCGCGAGACTGCCGCGTGGTGGAGGTGTCCAGAGCTGGTACTCTCTCCTGCTACTCTTGAGGATGATCCATAAGTTCCCACGCCGCCCAAGAATAGCGGCGAGCTGTTCTGCTGTCGTTCAAAGGCCTTCTTCAGGTCCCCAAAGGCTGTCGAAGTAGGCGCACCATTGTCCGTGACTGTGATCGGTGGCCTTTGCGAGGATGCCGTCGAAGACGCCGAGTTGTTAGCAGTGCTATCTGTCGGAGCAGAGACAAGAGCACTTGGCTTGGGTTTAATAGGCGGAGGCGGTCTCTTCTCAAGCCCAGCGCTAGTGCTTCTTGCGAGGTATGGCGGGTTGGCAGACTGCATTGTCTCAGCGAGAGACTCTAGCTAGTGATGCCGCGTAAAGGGTTGAGGCAGGAGTGTCCTGCGTCGTTGTTGAATGCGAGACGATGCCGTTCGATTCCTTTGGTATGTGTACAGGAGGGGGACTCAGTCGGTGAGTGTGGGGATGGAGGTGAGTCGGTAGAGTTCAGTTACGAAGCGAGACCAGGGACGAGCTCAGGAACAAACGACGGTCGAAGGCAGGGGTGAGAGAGGCGAACAAAAAAAAAAAAACGAGCACCGCCATTGTGTGCAGTGCGGGGTAGAGCCGAACAAATACGTCATTCAGTTACTGTGCGCATTGAATTCTAACGTTCTGTTGGGGGTTTATTAGTGTTGGGCATGCATCGAGTTTTTTCTTCTAATGTTACAAAGATGGTTGTGGTTGAGGTACTGGACGGATAGCAGTTAAAGAGAGGAAACATAGTAAAGAATTAAAGAATGAATAGTCTGTACAAATACACAAAAACAGAGGCATATATAGAGTGAGTACTTGTCCAAGCACTGGAATAATATTTAGAGGTGCCTCTTCGTCTCATGTCATGGACGAGAGCGAAGTCGTCGTTGAAGGTGGTGACAGCGAAGACGAGTCCGTCGAGAGCTTCAGCTTCTTGGGCGCCGGCGGAAAGCTTGGTGGTCGCTGCTCTGCTTCCTCCTTCACGCTGTTCCTGTCTCGCTCATACTCTTCCTCGTATTCGCCCTCAGATCGCTCTCTCCGTCGTCCATGCTGAACTTCACTCTCCGTCTGGTCAAAGTCCATCTGCCGATCTCGTTCGGCATTACGCGTGCGGTCAAAATCTCTGTAGTCATCTCCAGGCGCACCATAGTCTTGATCGTGTTCACGTTCATATTCCATGTAATCGCGGCCACGTTCTCTGTCACGATCTCGATCGGGTTCTCGCCCACGATCTCTGTCTCTGTCCCGCTCGCGGTCACGCTCTCGTTCACGTTCTCGATCAGGATCACGGTCATAGTTGCGATCCCTTTCCCGTCCCCGAAAGTCATGAAGGTCCCTTTCTCTGTCCCTCTCGCGTCCACGATCGCGATAATAATAATCATCCTCATCATAACTTCTCTCACGACCACGTTCCCGTTCACGATCATAATCGCGTCCTGGACGATCTCTGTACCGATCGTAATCACGATCTCGTTCGCGGTCGCGCCCACCTCTGTCCCGATCGCGGTCCCTGGACCAATCCCGACCGCGATAGTCGACTCTTCGTCGTCCATAGTCTCGATAGCGATCCCTATCTCGTTCGCGATCTCGGTCCCTGTCTCTCGCATAATCGTAGTGCCGACTGCGACTATAGTAGTCATATCCAGCGCCAGTGCTTTCGTGGCTGTCATGATAGCCCTTTGGATGCTCAGGAATGGGCGGCGGAATCTGGCTGCGGTGAGGATCGTCATGACTGAAGGAACCCCGGTGGGAATCGGCCATATAGGGGTCTCCAGGCTGTGAGGGCAATGGAGCGGCGACAGATGGCTGTGGCAAATGGCCTGCTCTAGAGGGATCAAAGGCTCCTAGATGTTCTGGGTAACGGCTTAGTCCTGGTGCTCCATTGACAGGGTCGTGCGGATGACCAGCTTCATGCGCATATGGGGGTACCGGAGGAGGAGGCGGATATCCTGGAGCGTGCGGAGGAGCACCGCGGTAATCAGGTACAGCTTGGGGCATGTGTCGTAACGGCGGAGGTTGGGCACTTTGCGCAGAGGAGTAGGGGAGATAGGAAGGAGAAATAGCTGGAGGCGCAACAACTGGCTCTGCTGGCTTTGCTGGAGGCTGAGTCACGACCGCGTTCTGTACCTGTTCAACGGCGACAGCAGCGGATTCTGCACTGTTGGATCCCGACATTACTACCAATCCAATAGGGACCACAGGGGCGGCTGGTACTGCCATGACAGGCTTCATCTCGCCGCTCAATGCGTGCTTTCTTGAGCTGGAAGGACGCGCTGCCTCTATCGGCTTGCTCTGCTCAGGTTGGCGGTGGTCTGCTTTGTCTCCATCGCTGGGATGCCTTGGGTGGTGCTGTGGCTGTGGTTTGGGCTTTGCATTCGCCTTCTTTCTCTGCTTTGACTCATACTCGTGCCAATCGCCCTCGATTTTCGGTAGACTATTGAATAGAACGATATCGTGCTGTTAGTGCAGGTCCAGTGTCCCTGATTATGCGAATCGAAAAAGAGTGCAGAACAGTATCCTCTGACACATACTCTTCAGGCTTGCAAGCAGCGGGCTCTTCCTCAGTGAAGTACGCAAACTTTGTGAGTGCCTCGACAGCAGTCGGGCGCCCCCTGGGGTTCAGGTTGAGCAAGGCTTCGGCTAGATCGAGAGCTGCAGGGCTCATGATCCTGCCAAAGATCTCTCTGAATTTGGACGGCCTCGACTCTGAGCTGACATGCTTGATGAGCTCGTACCATGGCAGTTGCTCAACGTCTGGCCAGGTATCCTTTTGCGGTGTGCCCATCGTTTTCCAGATGTGGTCTAGTTGCGTGATCTCATTATGACCCTGAAAGATCGGTTTCCGGGTAAAAAGCTCGACCATGATGCACCCAGCGCTCCACATGTCAACCTCTGGACCATATGCCGTCGCTCCAAGAATGAGTTCAGGTGGCCGATACCACAGGGTGATCACCCGGTTCGTGTAGTCCCGCTTTCGCTTTTTCTGAAATAGTCTTGCCAGACCAAAATCAGCGAGCTTCAACTCGCCCAACTTGTTCACCAGCAGGTTAGATCCTATTGAACAAAATAAAACAAAACAAAACAAAGGATTTTTTTTTTTTTGTTAGCGGATGGACCGATAAAAGGGAAATGCTCTCCAAGCCGACAGACTGGCACCAAGGGAAACATACCTTTGATGTCGCGATGAAGGACGCCCTTGTGGTGCAGAAATCCAAGACCCTCCAGAAGTTGTTTCATAAGACATTTGACATGGTCAGGGCGGAACTTTAGCTGGGGATGCTGCAAGATTCCAGTCAAATCGTGATCCATGTATTCGAACACCATGTAGACTGCGCCTTTAGAAACCATGAGCTCCTTCAGGCTAACGACATGGCGGTCGCTCAATGACTGCAACAACTTGATCTCTCGCATAGCGGTAATAGGGAACTATAACAATGACAAAAATAGTCAGCACTTAATCCCAGTATTCAACGACGAGAGATATTAACGATATATACGAATAAACATACCCCATCCTTTTCAGCCTCCATGCGAATCCTCTTCAGAGCGACATATTCTCCTGTCTGCTTATTCCTGGCCTTGTATACTTTGCTATTCGTTGCCAGATGTAGAATACCAAGAAGAACCAGAACAAATAGAGGCATATAAGATTGTATTCTCAATGCTCTCCGCGCAATCATTGTCACACCGAACTATAACTTACCCATAGGTTCCTTCACCGACTTGGCCGACACGCTCATACAAGTCTTCTGACTTGACTGCGACAGGGGTAGGTAGAGTAGGGATAGGTAGAGTAGGGACAGGCAGAGTAGGGACAGGTTGCAAAGCTAGACCGACAGGAGGATACGGCATTGGGTAGGCGGGTGCTTGGTGATCCATGGAAGGTGAGCGACGTACATCTGGATGCACTGGATGCATCTCGTGATGTCCTCCTGCTGTGTATCCAGTATCCGTACTGGCTACCCTTTGACCACCATTCTCCTGATAACTATAATCGTATCGATCTCTATTCCTTGGAGATGGTGCGCGACTGTGGCGATCGTATTCCGGTGGATAATGCGATGGCCAGCGACCTTGAGGGCGCCTGCTATCATATCGGTGCTCGCTATCAGGACCGTGCCATCCTTCTCGATAGTGCGAAGACCGTGAATGTCGATAGTAATTTCCATGTGAGCTGTAATAGTCGTCGTCGGCGGTCGATCTGCGCGGTGGCGGTGGTGCATTTCCAGAAGAGCTTGTATATGCTGGCTCCGTAGGTGGTTGTGATACTACGACAGCAGCAGCAGCAGCAGTTGTTGAGGGATGCTGAGGAACATACCCAGGAGGAGCCACAGGTGGATGAGGCGGGGGTGGAGGCGGGGGTGGAGGCGGGGGATGTCCATTAGTTGGGAGCGTGGATGGGGCTAATGGTGCAGCTGATATCTGAGCTACCACTGGTCCTGGTGCTACTGGAGGCTGCGGTGGTGGAGGTGGGGGTGGAGGTCGAGCAGCTGTCGCGTCTGATGATTCCGGAGCAGGCGTAGAGGCTGGCTCGAGGAGAGTATTGGTGTTTCGATCCCGATCCTGTACAGAGGCTGACAGAGTGTTGATGGTCGATGAGTGGACGACATTATCTGCTGCTGGTCCAGTGGGCAAGTTTTCCGGCGAATCTGATGCAGAGTGTTCCCGGCCTCCTGATGGTCGCTCACGATCATAGTCATAGCTGCGAGAAGGTGGTCGATCATGTCCCTTGATAGAGCGCGTTTCGCCCTCTTCATCACCTTCCTTCCAATGACTGTGCTCACGCTCGCGATCAGGTTCTACACTGCCATATTTTCCGCCTATGCCTGACCGTGTACCGTCATCATCATAATCATGCTCATGATGAGAATGTCGATCATGGTCTTTGCTATCGCGGTAACGCCGATCGTGCCTGTCATGTCTGTATCCTCTGTAATCACGATCGCTTGAGTGATCAGCGTGGTAGCGATAGTCTCTATATCCTCGCTCGTGCCGGTAGTCTCTGTCGCGGTCGTAATCACGTTCATGGCTCCGTTCCCTACTATATCGATCTCGATGACGTCCTCTGTCTCGTTCTCTAGATCGTTCGTAGCGACCCTTAGAGTAGCGATCTCGTTCACGTTCACGGTCCCGGTCCCGCTCGCGCTCCCTGGACCGGTCCCTGCGATCACGGCTCTGTTCTCTTCTCCAGTCTCTGGTTGCACCATAGTCGCGAAATGTAGGTGGATTGGCCGGCTCCTTTGGAATGATGTCTTGGGCGAGCTGTGGTTTCCTGCCGAGGATCTCGTGCTGTGAGTCCAGTTCGCGTAAAAGCTGCAGTGCGGCAGCCGAGGCAGCGGCAGCAGCACCTGAACGCGTAGCAGGTCGACTAAAGGAACTAGAAGAGGAGTAGCTGCTGGAATAGAGGGACTCTGACGCACGCGCGGATTGGAAGGGCAGAGCAGGGGTCGGCAAAGGTTTTGCGACGGCGGGAACAGAAAAAGACGCGGTCAGAGTTGCAGCTTTAGTGGCCGTGGGAGTTGTAGGGTCCTGGGCTGTTGTGCTCACTGCCTGTGTTGTTACAGTGCCGCTGTCCTGTAGGGCTGTTCCCGGGGGTGTTCCTAGGGATGTTCCTGAGGATGGCGGTGGTGGCCCGTGAGAAGAACCTGGTTGGTCCTCATTCATGACTCCTTGATTCGATCAAATTACAAGGTGAGGGGGAACAATAGCAATGGACAAGATAGAGGTAGGCGGCCAATGCATTTAATGTACAGAAGAACAAAAGACAAGCGGTTGCAAAGGGAAGGACGACAAAAAGGAGCGAAAGAGGGTGGAGTTGAAGTGTATCTTTAAATGGATTTTTTTATGACGTCACTGTATTCAATTTAATCGTTGTTTCACCGTAATCTGTTTCAGACGGAGAGTGCGCCATCCCCACAAACCAGGGGCCTAGGAAAGGCCACCTGAAGCATTTGCTGCCTAGTAGCATCAAATGTATGTGCAGGGATAGGATAGTGATTCAGACTAACTGGGCAGTATTAAGTATATCCACTTATGCCCTAGAAGAGCAAGGCGTAAACAAGCGACGATTTGTTCGCCCCTATTGCCAATGGTACAACAACTTGTAAAGGCTGCTTTGTGATGGTGTATGTGGGTGTTGGGCTGTTGCTGTTACTGTTACTGTTACTGTTGTTACTGTTTGTTGTTTGCACAGCCGCATGGGCAATTGAGGCTGTCCATCTCCCTCGGTATTGTTAACCCCCTTTGAGTTTGAGTTGAGCGCTGTGAGTTGAGAGCAGCATCATCTTATTCCAGGCAATTTCAATCCCTCTGACCCGATTCACACTATCTCTATTTTTCTCGGACACAAAGTGCTACATGGAAGGACCCTTTTTATAACTAAGAAGAAGAAGCACACCTCTCCTCCTCCTCTTTCTCCATCTTCTTTCTTCTTTCCTCCTCCTCCTCCTCCTCCCCTGGCTTCATCTGTCTTTTTTATTTTCTTTTCAGTCACTCACTCCCCCTCCTTTGCTCCCTGTACCTATACCCTACCATTGGGCTATCCCCCTTTGGTCAATTGCCCGTTTGTCTCTTGTCCCTGCCCCTGTCCCTGGATGCTATAAAAATACCTTTTATTTCATCTTCCCCTCTCTGTCTCGTCCTCTTTCTCGCTCTTCCGCTCCAATACCAATTTCGACCCTGAATGTCACACCCAAGTTCAGGACCCGTCCGATCTCAGGATAATCTTCCAAACCCTCCAAGACCCAACAGCCCCGGCTCTTCTCACAACAGCAACAATGGCAATCGATACCTCGCCCCACCTTCTCTCCCCCAAACAGCATCTTTGCTTCCCGCGCAAGAACCTCTCTCTTCACACAGCTCACCCTCTCAATATGCCCATGCAACCAATGCTCCCTTTCGCTCTTCCTCCCGTCGAAACAGGGGCAGCAATTCCTATAGCAACAGCTCTGCAACCTCCCCAGACCTTCGACCACAACGCTCCCTGGTCATGAAACATCGTCTTCGCCGACTGAATGACTATTATGAGGGTCAATTACAAAACACCAACAGCCCTGAAGGATCGCAACCACAGCTGAAACCATTACCCCCTCTGCCTCCAGGGGTAAACTCATCTCAGGGGGGCGGCCTACCGAAGCGGAGGGGCGCCAGTATTGGAAGAGGGTCTCGACAAAGACGCGACCCTGGCGCCACTTCATCCTATAGTCAGCCGAACACGGAAGAACAGATCACTTCCGGGCTTTTAAATCACGAATCAGATGGGGGTGGTGAACATCATCAGTATCCGAAGCTCGGTCGTACGGGATCAGAGCCTTCATCGTATGCTGGTGTAAGCGAACCCTATGAGATGCAACCGATACCTTTGGACCTGTCGACGATCGATCTTAACGACGATGGTGCAGAGAAGGCGCGACGGCTGCATGGCGAGCGGCTCAAGTACGGACACGATTACAAATGCGAGTACGAATCCACGGAGGAGCGACACTACCGCACCCTGACAGAAGCGTTGCACGGGCACCGACCGGACCGCCATCTGTTTCCATACAGGAACAGGAAGGATAATCTCCATGCTCTGAAGACGTTCTTGCGGAGATTTTATTTCGTCCTGTTAATCATCCCGGCCTGGGTTATCCCCAAGGTCGTGACAGCACAGGCTGTACATGAACAACAGATGCAAGAAGCAGGAGGAGGACAAAGAGGAAGCGAGGCCGGTGCAGCAGGAGGAGCGGAACATGGGCCTATGTTGAGCAAGTGGGTTAATATGACTGTCTTTGCGTTGAACCTGTTGGCGATGATGCATTTGGGAAAAGCGGCTGGCGCATGCATGGAGGAGCTCGTTCCTAAGCTTGGCATGGTATGCGCATTCTTTTTCTTTATTGCCCTTGACAATATTTGACTCCGTTTACCTTGAATGCACGCCGCTAACTTGGCATGGCGCCTTTTTTTATTTGTATGATAGAGCGTCGTCAGCATCTTTGATGCAATGACAAGTAGTTCTGTTGAGTTGGCTGTTGCTGCCTTCGCATTGATGAAAGGCCTCGTCCGCGTGGTCCAGGCTGCGATGCTCGGCGCCATCCTCAATAATCTTTTACTCGTAAGTAACTTGTATTCTTTATTTGTTAAAATGGTATCGATGATGCGGATTGGATGGTTTTTCATTCTTAATATTCATCATGACCATAGATGATGGGACTTTCGCTCGCCGTCGGAGGTTATTACCACAACAAGCAAGAGATCCAAGCCGATACCTCTCAAACCGGCATGAATCTCCTCATGATCGTCTGTATCTCCTATGTCATTCCCGTCGCTCTCGACTACACCTTCACCGATATCCGCACCGCAGCCTTGCCAGCCCATCTAAACACAACCCAACTTCTCGTAGAGCACGCAGAGATCCGTGAGATAGTTGACCATGATCTCCTAGCGATCAGCAAACTTATGGCCGTGATCATGCTCCTTCTCTACGGCTGCTGTCTTCTCTTCCAGTACAGCTCCCGATCCTTTATGGTGACGCCTGAAGCGAAGCACACGGAGGCCCATACAGTCCACCGTCGCAATGTCCATTACTGGTTCGCAGGATTCGGATACACGGTCATGCTAGGAGCACAGATTTACTCGGCGAACCTCCTTGTCCATGCGGTCGAGGCACTAGGAAAACAGTTTGAGCTGAACGATTCCTTTGTCGGCTTTGTTTTGCTCCCAATAGTATTGATCTCGGATCTGCAGGAGGAAGTTATTGCCATCAAAGAAAGTAGGGCAAATCGTCTGGACCGGTCCATTGCACTGATGATCGGCAGTTGTATGCAGATCGCGCTCCTGGTGACGCCGTTATTGGTCCTGTTGGGATGGGCCATTGACGAGCCCATGAATTTCCGATTCAGTGTGTTGGAGGCTGTGATCTTGGCGGGTTCGGTCTTGATCGTGAACTATTTGATCCAGGACAACGAGACCAATTGGCTGGAAGGATGTCTTTTGTTAGGGGTGTTCCTTATGTGTGCTTTAGCATTTTACTTTGATATCCAGCCCTTCGAGCCCGCTGGAGGAGGACACGGTTCTACGAGCGGAGGCGGTGCCAGTGGAGGTGCTGGTGGGGGAGGAGGAGATCACCATTAGAAACGGGGAGCGATCGACATCTGAACAATTTACCTGTATCAAAAGACATACAACGTAGGATATAAATCGCATGCATTATTATCATGTTGCGCTGCGCAGATCCGTCTGAGTATAAACCAAAATAAGTCGAATTGCTGGAGGAAAAGAAAATCGTTTCCTTTATCACCACGCCATGCTATGCCATAATCCCAAGCAACTACTGCCTGGGATCTCTTTTTATTTTTATTTTTCAAGGCTTTCTTCCCACTGTGCGCTTCTTCTATATCCATTATCCTGATTTTTTTTTATGCTGAAGCTGAAGCTGAAGTAGTGTTCGATCCGGATCCAGTTCCGGCTAATGAAGCAGCAGCGGCCTGGTTCTCCTCGGGGGTGCCGTAAAGAATATCGTGGCGTTTCTGGTTCGCAATTCGGATCTGCATCTCTCTGTCCCGACGCTCAAAATTCGTGAAGGCCGTATCCGATCCGTTGCCAAAGCCTCCCAATGCAGCCGCTACCATCAGCCAGCACTACAAAAAAAATATCCCCAGGAAGGAATCGATTTTATGAATGAACGATAGAAGCAAAGTAATAAGAGAGGAGAGAGAAGTTAGAGTCAATGACGTTACACGTGTGTCAGAACAGCGGAATGGAGAATTCGATTCAGGCTGAAATGACGGTGCAGCTACAAAGATTTTTTTTCGAAATAGCGCTTGTAAAGGATTGATGAATCCGAACAAGAGATAGAGGATCAAAGATCTCGAAGGCCCCGGGGGATGGATAAAGGATAAAGTGTACGTACCTTCTGTGGAGGTCTGACAGCCCGGAACTTAGGCCAGGTGGCATGGAGAACACCACCGAGAAAGAGTGCGACGGCCGAGTACTTGACCGCACCAATGAGTCCTCCACGCATGGCTTCACCGGCAGCGAGGTCATCGTCGTTTTTCTTGATAAGACGCATATTGTGTATGTGTGTATATGTTTGGAGGGTTGATTGGTTGGTTGAGAGTTGGGAGTTAAAGAGAGTTGAGAGATTCGGAGGAAAGTGGAGAATGATGCAAAAGAAAAAGGCCATGGAGAAGGTCTGTGTCGGAAGCGTGAGACCAACTTGGAGCAGTCCCGCTTCATTTGTCTCATGCACAAATAACCGTAGTAGCAGTAGTATTACAATACGTGTATTGACTATATAAAAAAAAAACCACGCGTTTCATCTCTATTTGTTTCTAAATATGCCTCTGCTGTGCCCATCAGATCCTTGTGGATACATCCATGTCCCTGCTTATCGTATTTCATTGATCAAAAGCATTAGTAATGCGCGATTACTTCGACTGACTTTTTTTTTCTTCTTTTTTCATTTTTCAAAAATGGGGCCTATTGAAGTTCAGTATAACAAGTGCACTGTCAGCAACCAAGCAAATTGCTATGCGCATCGATCCAGTGAGAACGTAAGGAAAGAATCGACAGGAGCTTACTTTTCGAGGTACTCATGTTCGTTCTGCTGCCCTTCCTCCTCATCTCCCTCTCCTTCATCATTCAATCCACGATGATGTTCAAACTGTCCAAACTGTGGCAGCCCGTAGATATGCTGAGGTGGACCCATCATGAACGAGTTCGCGTGTGCGATCCATTCATGTTGATTTGGATACCCATGTCCAAGCGTGTTCCCGCCCAACCCTCCAATCACCCCAGAGCGAGAGTGCATGAGGTGGTTCTGATCCTGCAGATACTGGTCCTGATATAGAGGGTAACCCAATGGCTGGTGCTGCTGAAATGTCGGTAGCGGCTGATCCTGCTGTTGAAGCTGTTGATCCTGTTGCTGCGATTGCAATTGGGATTGCTGTTGTTGTTGTGATTGCTGTTGCTGTTGAAGCTGCGGTTGGTGATGACTCTGAAGGAGCCCTGGGTACATATAAAAGCGCGGCGAGAACGTGTCGTTGATATGACCCGCGTTGATATCATATTCAGAACCCAATCCTCCTTCTCGCCCGACCGCTACTCCCTCTTCATCATTGTTGCTACCGCCGTTTCCGAAATAGTATGGATGACCCGTGTTTCGCGAGACAAAATCGGCTTCACCTGTGGAGGTGACTCCAACGTTGGGAACAGTACTGGACGACGACCCTGACAAAAGTCCCGATCCAGAGTGCTCATTGAGTGAACCGTGGATCGGGTGCGGTTTTCCAATGGGTCCAAGATGTGCCAGGAATGGGTACTGGTGTGACGGAGAGCCAGGGTGCGGATGTTGCAGCACATTTACATTCGATGCAAATGTTGATGCTCCAGACCCTGGAATGGCTGCCGATGAGATCGTGGGCGAAGTCACTCCGATCGAAGACGCTGCGTTGCTATCAAATTGTGCTGGAGAGGTCACTCGATCGCCTGGTACACCAAGCCCCGGTAGATCTGAAGGCAACGGGGAAGCGCTCGTCCTCACCGATCCCTCGCTCGGTGAAAAATCTGTGGCGTGAGCAGATCCTGGGCCGAGAAGAGACGGCGAGAAGTTCCCGCCACCAAATGGAGGTGGGCCCATGTTAAATTGACCAGGCGGAGTTCCTCCGTGGAGCATAGGATGAGCCCCCATAGGCATCATGTGTGGCTGGTGGAAATTGTGAGGGAATCCGTGACCAAGTTGCGTATGCATAGCGTGGAGGCGATGTGCGTGGTGGTGAGGTTGGTGGGACGGATGATGAGGGTGGGAATGTGGGTGAGGATGGTGCGAAGGATGAGGGTGCATAATGGGTCCCATGTGGCCGTGCATTGGATGACCATGACCCATCGGGGTGTATCGGTCATAGTGGACGCGAAGGATTCGTCCATTGAACTCGTAGTTGTCAAACATCGCTATGGTGGCATAGTAAATAAGAAAAATCTTTAAGGATGTGTTTCCATGCAGCTTTTGGTATTTGAAGTATAATTGTGCTGGAGAGAATTTGCTCCGCAAGTGCAGGACAGGACTTACAGATGGCATTGCTAGCGTCCTCTGGGGTCGCAAACAAGACGGATCCAAAACCTCGACTTCGCCCATCCAACCCAAGAGCCACGTCAGCCCGGATAATTGTTCCTGCTTTGCGGAACAAGTCCTTGAGATCCTGCCACTGACATTGAAATGGTAGCTATGAAGGAGAGATAGGAACACGGTAAGATACCATCCCCATTTCACTCGCAATAGAATGTATGACCATATAGTGTACTGAGCATACATGCGCCTTACATTTCCCACGAAGACTTGGCGACCAGCGACAAAGTTTGGGTTCATAGGATGGTTTCTCTATATAAGTCCATTAAGGAGCATTAGAGGAGTCCTACTTGACAGATGCTCATGCAGAAAAATAAAGCGCATGGCTGTTGCATGCGGCGATACATACAAAAAATGGTCCAACGTGAGGCCCTAGTCCCATTCCTGGTGGTGGACCCCCCTCCAAATGACGGCCATTTTCCATCCCAGACCTGTCCTCCTGCACCTGGATAATACGGTCCTGCCAATGATACTGGTCAAACATGACTATGATGGATGATAGTATCAATACGCGTTGTTAAAACCAATATCGATGAGGAGTCTTACTGCGCTGCATTTTGTCAGTCAAAGTCCTGGGACGCTTACCTATGGCATTCTTAGCTTCCTCTTCGGTCGAAAAAATGACGGTACCATAGCCTCTGGAGCGATTTTCAGGACCCAGGGCCACATCAGCCCTGGTAATCCGACCAGCTTTTCGGAAGAGATCCTTCAAATCCTGCCATCGCACTCGAAAAGGGATCTATTAGACATAGGAAACTGTCAACTATACGTTTCTCTGGCCTACATCCAAACCGAAACAATGCTCTGCTGTCATGAAAAAAAAAAAATAGATTGTCGTGGCCCTCTCTTACATTTCCAACATGAATGGTACGCTTTTGAATCGGGTTGGTTACTTCAGCATCTGAAGGGTCCTCTTTAGAGACAGTATCCGCGGTGTTAATATTTTCTGTTGACGAGGACTGATCCTGTTCCGTTGACTCTACTGTGCCGCCATTTTTCTTAAAATCAGCGCCTACAGTCAGCTTATGATCTAGTGCTTCTGCAAGGTCGTCGACACCCTAGAGAAAATCAGAAGCCGTTAGACAAATATGAAAATCGTCCTGAAGAATCCACTTCACGAAAAAAAACCCCCAATTCTGTTTATCCGTACATCGTGATGGGTTAGGCCAGGTTTCCGAGATCCAAAATCGGTAATACTCCTGTCCTATTTGTCATATCAACAAAGAGATGCCAATGTGTTATTAATCGGTGAACACGGGCGCTTCCTGGATCATTTCTTTTCGCTCATCTAGAGATACCCGTACCTCTCTGACCTCCAATGGACGCCCTTTCCATTCGTAGCCATTGAACATTTCTATCAGATAACAGATAATGCAAATTCAAAGATCAGTCTCCGCCTGCTTGTCATGGTCGCCGAAATAGAAAACGATGCCCCGAATTAGAGTGAGCGAATTGAAAGCCTTGTCCATGTCAATAATACCTTGTGCCCTGTTAGCGTCCTCTAGAGTCGCATACAAGACGATACCGTGTCCCTTTGACCGACCATCCCGTCCCTGCATGATATTCGCACGCTGGACTAACCCTGCCTGCCGGAACAGGTCCTAATGTACCAACGTTTTTTGCTCAATTGTCAGATACATTTCCAACAAAGCGACCATTAACGAGCACGGAAAGGGTCCTTCCTAGTCCACCAGACCTACTTTGAGGTCCTGCCAGCCAACTGAGCTCGCATCAATGGTTTTTCCGTGAAGCAGACGAGAAAAGAGTAAGTTAGCATCGTCAAGAATGATGCGTTGCTCGCGATTTTTCTTCTTTCTTTTTGGGACGTTCCAGTACCTTGAAAGGGAATCTATATCGTGGAGAGGGTAGGCGAGTTGTTATATGTGTCAGTACGTAGATAACGCATTGAGACATTGTACGCGATCCCACTGTTGCTCAATTGCTTGACCTAATACTGGCGTTCTCTTCTGGTAAATACTTACGTTCCCAACAAACAGCTGTCGACCGCGCAAGCTCATTGTCCTAGCCTGCTCTTGAGTGTTCGATATGGGTCCAATTGAGGTCGTTATCTGAGGAGATGCGTTCCAATTGATGGGAAGGGTACGTTAAAGAGTGTTTCAACTAGTGGTTGTTGACGCTGTGGGGCTCTGTTTGCTGTAACACTCTTTGTACCTGAAGGGGGTTGGGAGGGTTGGAAGGGGTTAATATAAAATGTATGAAAAATGACGCGTTCTAGGAAGAGGACCAAGGGGAAGGGACGCCAAGAGACAGAGCTTGCAATGCGGTGGCGGAATGAGCGAAGGAAAGAGGGCGATGGGGAAGAGATGCGAAAGACGAGGTCTCCTCTTGGACGGACCAGGACGATGAGAAGGGAAAATGAGGTCACCAACCTTCTTTTTCTTTCTTTTATGTAGTCTTGCTCTTCACTTTGTGATGACTTGCAGGCGTTGATCCCGTGGCAGAAGGTGGGGGAGGAGGTGATCGAGCAAGGCGATGGAGAGAATTACCACCTTGACATCGCTCATCAAAAACGCCTTCCAGAACCTTATCTTCACGCGCACGTCAAGTCAGCCTTTTGCAATTCACAGCTGAGGCTTTATTCTTACAACCTGCTATCATTAAAAAAGCAAGGATTGGTCCATTGGCTGCTATACCATACACGCAAGTCGACACCAGACCCCATTCGACGTCTCGCCGAACGACTAGCCAGGTCGAAGAGCGGCGCTGAACAAGGCGCCTAATTGGATGGAGGCATGCATACAAACACAAGCTATTGGCTCACTGTTTCATGAACGCGTTTTCTGTCTCTGCGGAAGCACCACTACTGCAGGGAAATCTCAAAGAAAAGGAGGGACAATGGAGAGAGCGGCTGATGTGATGATAGTCTATCTGTGATAAAGAACTGCTGAAAGACATTTTTGCAATAAGACAAGATGATCTCCTTGCGAATGGATACACATTGTCTAGACGCGTCGTGAGTGATATGAAAGAACGATGATCGATAGCCCATGCTGGCATTGCAGGCATGCCCGACGTTCATTCTTTGCTCAACCCTTTTTCATGCCATGACATTCACATTTGTACAAACGTTCATTTATTACGTTGCGTCTTTTTTTTTTTATCTATTTGCGGTCGATATCAGAGTTTACTGCAAGAAGGCTTTCAAGCTCTCGATCTGCGCCTGCACAGTTACGCGGCTCGTGCCTCCAGGCGTGCAGCGGTTTTCAATGCTCTGCTCAAAGTTCCACACCTTCGACACATCCTCCTCGAAAGCTGGGTGGAGACCCTTAAAGTCCGCCAGGGAAAGGTCCGCCATCGAGCATGACCGTTCCTCTGCAAGACGAACCGCCTCTCCAGAGATGTGATGGGTCTCACGGAAAGGAACACCCTTCCTGACCAAGTACTCTGCCAGATCTGTCGCCAGCATGTCTATGCTCAAGCTGGCCAACATCTTCTCGGGACGAATCTTTAATGTTGCGAGCACGCCGGTCGTGATCTGAAGGGAGCCCATCAGGGTATCGTACGCGTCAAAGACGGGCTCCTTGTCCTCCTGCAGATCCTTGTTGTAAGTGCTTGGTGTGCCCTTGTATGCCATCATGAAGCCTGACATGCCTCCGAAGACACGTCCAGATTTGCCACGCAATAGCTCTAGACTGTCCGGGTTCTTCTTTTGGGGCATCAAACTGCTCCCAGTGCTATTCGCATTCATGAAAATCAAAGAGTCACATCAAACATTGTTAGATTAGATTCGCCCGAGCAGTTAGATCATCCTTGAGCAGTAAAAAAGACAAGAAATAAAAACTAACCTGTATGCGTCTGCAAGTTGGACGAACCCAAACTCGCCAGTGCTGTAGATAATCAGATCCTCTGCAAAGCGACTGATATGAACCATCGTCAATGAGGCCCAGAACAGGAACTCGGCCACAAAGTCGCGATCACTGACACCATATAACGAGTTGGGCATCACTCGATCAAAGCCTAGCTCCTTGGCCAAAAAATCGCGATCAATCTGGAAGGGGTTTCCGGCGAGAGCACCAGATCCCAAGGGCAACTGGTTCATGCGATCAATCAGCTGTTCCAAACGCTGGCAATCAGCATGCCAGGACCAAGCGTGGGCCAGAATCAAGTGCGACCAACGAATCGGCTGAGCGCGCTGCAAGTGCGTATAACCTGGCATGATCACATCAATCTCGTTCTCGGCACGGACCACAGCAGCGCCAATCAGTTCCTTGAGCACCGCGATCAGCTTGCGACCTTCATCGCGAACCCAGATACGGAAATCGGTCGCGACCTGATCGTTGCGGGAGCGTCCAGTGTGAAGTTTGCCTGAGATGTGAGTGCCGATGATCTCTCCGAGTCGACGCTCGTTGGCGGTGTGAATGTCCTCGTCGCCATCCTGGAGCTGGAAGGAGTTGGCTTCCCATTCGGCGAGGACGCTGTTGAGACCCTCGTGCAGCTTGGCGGCTTCATCTTCGGAGATGATCTTCTTGAGGGCCAACGCCTTGGCATAGGCTTGGGAGCCGATGATATCGGCCTTATAAAAGCGCGAGTCAAAGGAGATGGAGGCATTAAACTTTTCCATCAGGGGATCGGTTTTGCCGCTGAAGCGACCGCCCCAAAGTTTGCGGGCAGCAGGTGGAGCTTGGGTGGTGGACATGATGAGAGATGTATGTGCACAAGAATGTGTTGGGCGTGGGATAAAAATATGTAAATATGTACAAGAGAAGATGTATAATGCGTGCCTGCGAAGGTGGAAACTAAGGCAGGGAAGAAGAAGTGTATGGATGGAGGTATGGGTTGAGAGAGCGTGGGAACAGAAAGAGGGAAGAGAAGAAAGGAAAAGGTCGTTTCCTCACTGCTCTTTTATATCGGTCGGACGCCTTCAATTGCACTTTACTCTCCATGTGTCATTGAGAAATAGGCCGATCTGCGGGGCGAGGGACCGTCTCGGGACTGCCAACTCTAAAGCAAAGTTTTGGTGGCGAAACGTGAGTCGTGTTGACGAGTCTTGACAAAACAACCACGGCTGATCAAGGTTCAACGGGATCAACGGGACCACCAGGAACAGTGGGATCGACACTCGAGGACAACGGGAACCACGGATGCGGATGCAGGAAGACATGTCATGACACTGCGCATCATCCACCGGCACCATCGACTGCAGCATCTCCATCTCTCCCCCCACTCCAATGTCTTCCTTGGATCCCTCTTCTTCGTCCAAGCCCATGTTCACTCCTGGAGGCACCACCAGGCCGCCCTGACAGGACAACAGATCAGACCGTTCTTCTTCACGTCCTCCTATCGATCTAACCATCTCGCACTTACACAGTCAGATTCAATACCATCATCCGATACTCCTACGCCATCACAAACAGTGCGACTTCGCATCGATTCAGCAGGACACAAGCGAAACAGCTTGTCCTGGACGCCTGAAGCCGACTCAATCCTTCTCGACCTCCGTGCAAAAGGCCAGACCTGGGCGCAAATCGGGGAGGTCCTCGGCAAGTCTCGTCAAGCCTGTAATCGCCGATTCGATTCTGTCATCGACCCCAACAACGGAGCCTCCTTCTGGACCCTTCATCCCGAAAAGAACCATGCCCTCAAACAGCTCGTAGCCGAGGGACAGGGCTGGAAGCACATTGCAGATCAATTGGGGACCAAGGCCTCTGCATGCGAAAAGCAATGGAGACTCCTGGAACGTGAGCGCATTCTGGCAGAGGAACTTGTGAACAAGGAACGAAGCCAGGACACGACAACGCTTTCGGAGGAGAGATTGAGACATCGATTTAGAACTGCGGACGTGCATTTGCTCAAGAAGGCCGTGGCTGAACGTGGATCTGATCAATGGGACTTAATCGCGACTGATATCTTCGAATCAAGGTATACTGCCGCCTATTTACGATATCAACATGCCAGGCTAGAACGCATGCGGAGGGTTTGGACCGAGCAGCAGGATCGCGATCTTTATCAAGCAATGACAGATTGGCACAGTCGCAAACGACTACCGACGGCAGTAGCGACATTTCAATCGGTAGTAGACACTCTGACGCAGAGCGAGTGGGACACAGTGGCGCGTAGTTTGACAGGAGAACACACGGCCCTAGAGTGCAGGGAACGATGGCTCAGGATGCAGTTGAAAGGAACAAGGCAGCGTAAAAGTCTTCTCGATACCACATCGACCGACAATACCGTGAAATCGATGACTTCAGTAACGAAGCAGGGGGGGAAACGGGAGATATGGACCGCGGAGCAAAGTCAACGACTCGTATCTATCATTAAGAGCATGGAGAATCTCGAGGGCGGAGTGCTCGAGTGGGACAAGATCTCGAAACGAATGAATGGCGAGTTCACGAAAGTGCAGTGCAAGTCTCGCTGGACCCGCATGATGAAACAGGCCCAGTACTCAAGTACCGGACCTTGGGATGAGGAGGAGATCGAGAACTTGATCAGGGGAGTGGTAGAAATGGGCGATAAATGGACTGAGATCAGTCGTAAATGGGTTCCTGGACGGACACCGACATATGTCCAAGCCAAGTGGAAATCGATCGCAAGCAAGCTGAAGAAAGAGATGGTGATCCGGAGATGGACATGGCAGCAAGTCTGCGTGGAGACCTTTGGAGAAACGAGCGGCAAAGTACTGGGCGAGTTATCTTCTAGTCGGCCACACCTATGTGCAATACCTGAACAACAAATCCACTTTGAAAATAAAGGATAATAATGGATAATCGAGGTGTTTATTCTCTATGCTTTTGCATTTTAAACATTTTAAACGGAAATGACTGAAAAGGTGGTTGACATGATGGTATAGTTGCGCACAGACGCCTCTGCTGTCGCAATAAAAGACAATATCAACCTGGCCTGTGCACAAAAAGCTAGGTTCTCGCTGGTAAGGATGTCAAAAGGGCCTGGTTGCCCTTGCTGACCATTATGCGTCGTCGTTTTTGCTGGCGATGGCCTTGGTGCTCTGCGAACCTGGCCTCATCAATTGCTTCATCTTCTCAACCTCCTCTCGTGCAGTTGCGACCCTCCTTTCGACCGTATCCTTCGCCTGATCCACCATCAACTGCGCCTTGGCGGTCATTTCCTTTGAACGCTGCTGGATCTCTGCGCTAGACTTTTCAATGATTTCGGTCGACAGCTTTTGGACCTCCTCGGCGCGGAACTGCAGGTAGCCCGAGGTCTGATTGGCAGTGTGAAGGAATCCTCCTGCGCTAGTCAATACTGAGCCAAGGACATTGCTACAAAAACCAAATGCAAGCAAAGCTAGCGTGTCAGATGGGCTTGTCCGATAAAATGAATTACAGGAAGTGTGAGACGCAAGATATTTTTATACGTACCGGACAACATGATCATACCACCATCCAAGCAAAGGCATGCTTTGAACGATGCCCTCAAGAGTCCACGAATCTTGGTGGCTGTAGATCATCAAACCGTGAGGTGTGTCTCTGAAATGAAGGGTCGTTGTTGCTGGCACTTGCAGGTGAAGAAGTGGGAAAACGCGTGGCCGCAAGTTTTGGACAAGCGAGATGATAGCGGTATGTCCACTACGAGTAACAAATCGTGAATATTGTTAGTGACATTCATCCTTGCGCTTACCGAGATCGTCGCCTGCGTCGATTCATCAGTGTCTTTTCCTGTCGACTTACTCAAAGACAATGTTTGTCACTTCTGGTTCATCCTTATTGAGCGACGTCCAAACACGGAAGACCTTTCGAATGTTGTATCGTCCCTCGACCGTCAATGCAGGATGCACATATCTATAAAAATACAGCATGATCAATAAATCATTAGAAGTCAAGATATTCCAGTTCACCCCCTAAACCAATATAGGACATTAATCATGCGCAGTGACACCGCCGAAATCGATCGATTTGCGTGCATCGAGGAAAAAGCACATTTGTAGGCGGCAGGAAAGTCAATCCCACCTGAGTACTACAGGACCCCCTATCCCAGGAGGTAAACGAACGAGGACTACATCACTGTATAAAACACTGCCCCAATATCGACGATCATCATAAACACGATCATTATACGTACTTGGCATCGTCCGTAAAGAAGTCTTCAAGGATCTCCTTGTGCATCTCTTCATCGTAGCTGGTCAGGCGATTGGCTAGCCACCAGATGAATTCCATGTTCCTTTCTTGAGACCGAGGAACGAACACATATTCAGACGAACAGAAAAGAAGACCAAGCACACGGTTAGCACGCTGCGTTCAACGTAATTGATCGGTAAAGATCGAGGGAGTAAGGCGGGTTCAATGCAGCTCTGCTTGATGCGGTGGAGTAGAGATAAAGGAGACACGAGAGGATCGCTGTTTGCAAATAGTAGTCCCTGCTGTTGTAACACCAAAACAGAGAGCACGATGTGTGGATTCATAGTGGTCCTACCAATGACTGCATCGTGGTTGTTGCTGCTGATATTGCTCATGCCACTGATGCTGCTTCGGGAGGAGGAGCCATAGCTACGGTTGGAGGAGGTGCCCATGTTGCTTTTGAGTGGAATGTATTTGGGAGTTGATTGAAGAGGGATGGGAATGGACTGATTCGAGTGAGAGGAGAACGGATAAAGAAGGTTCACAAACTCTACAAGGTGTGACGAGCAGGGTTTTTTTTGTGGAGAAGGAGAAATGTTGCAGGTGGAAGATGGAAGGGGCGAGGAAGGGAAGAGAAAACGGATCGATAAGAAAGAGAAGAAAGAGGAGCGACGGGAATGTCGAGGTGAAAGAGGGAGAGGGTGTTGGTCAGGGTCTTTTGTCTTCTTGTCAATGACGAACGCAATCTGGATAGTGTGCCATGGTAAGAGTAAGAGTGCGACACTGCATGAAATGCATATAAAATGGCCTGATGCTGGGGCAGATGGCGGCCCTCACCTCTCTCAGTTGCTCTTGTTTTTTTTGTCCATCTATCCTCACCCCAACGCTTTCCTCTTTCGTATTTTTCTTCTTACCCGCTGCGTCTAAAAAAATTTACTATCAAGTGGAAACTGGCACGACAGAAAGGACTCTGATTCCTGTCCCTGTCTGGTTACACGTCCGTTGATAGAAGAGAGAATAAGGGGATCATCGGAAATGCAGCCTTGAAGGAAAAGAGGGACTTCCTCTTGCCCGGGATCGCAGTGCAAGAAAAAAGGATAATCAGCAATAGCGTTCCCCCCCTCACCTGCGGACTTCAATCGACGTTCAGACCAGCACCACAAACATGTCGTTTCCTCCTCTTCTTCCGTCGCGTGCACCCTGTGCTGTACCGCTGTCGAGCACTGCTTTGCTTATCGCCGGGTGCAGCGGAGTAAACTAAAACACAAAAACGACGGGACAGAGCAGGGGAAGAGCTCACTAAAGTTTCTGGCCCGCACGTCGATCTCCTCATTGCATCCCTTTGCTTACGCGACCTGCATGTTCCTGAATCCCGTCTTCATTGTGTACCACCACTCAGGATGACTCTAATATTCTCTGCAGATTGAGGCCCAACAATTTGTCGTGCTTTGTCAGTCGCGCCTCTTCCCTTGGTTTGGATCGTTCGTGCGACCCTACCACAACATAGCCATAACCACTTGGGAAGGTGGGAAGAATATACCGCCCTCCCCGTCCATCTTCTTTGCAGCACTAGCACTGGATCGTACAATGTACTAACATATTGGCCACGCGGCCAAACTATAAAACCACAGACGCTCCATGACAAAAAATAGTAAACAGTAAGCATAAGCATAGACACTCATTCCTAGGAGATTTTTTATTACCATGTCTAGGAAAGTTGAACCGTGCCAACTCCACTCTAAAGATCCTGCTGTATGTACTCAGCTCGAAGCACCAAGATACGCACTATCCAGCGCGCCTTCCTGTTTATGGGCTGCCTCTTATTAAATGGATCGTAAGCTGCTCTGCGATATCTGTCTATTTGCAGCCCATCCTGTTGCTCCAGTGTGAATCCCTTGTCCTTATAATCATCAAAGACTGACGGAGGATGTGAGGCGATGTGATCTGCTGTTGAGGAATCATCCCGTTGTTCACTGAAGGAGGTGCCTCGAGGCTCTGTCTTCACAAACATCTGGATCTAAGGACGCTGTGAAGTTGCATTTTGAAGTGATGAAAAAAGATCCCCCTTGACAGTTTCTCGAGATGAAACAAGTAGGGATATGCTGAGATGTGTCTTGCGCCAACGATGAATGTTAGCACGACTAGAGTCGCCTCAGCGAGTCTCATGGTTGCAATGGGCACGGCGGAGACACTGGCCTTGACTGGTGAGTCGGAAAGAGGATTGGCTGACCATCGAGTCTCCCTGACCACATGCCCTTGGACGACATCACCCGCACTGTGTCCAAACGTGCAAATGTCCTCTGCGCGTGAACGCGAGGATGCCCCATAAATGCACATGTCCTTTCCTGAAGGAGTGGACATGTCATTTGGCGGGTACTCCCTCCTTTTCTTCAGCAGCAGGTGAGCAGCTGAAGAAGCGTGATCAACAGCTTCCTTGCAGTGCTATCGGTGCTATAGGCCTACTGTGGTTGCCACCAATAATACACATGAACAAAAATAAATTCGTGCCCCCTTTTGTTCCCAAGCAGATGCCATTCTTCTTCTTCTTCTTCTCCTTTATATTCATATCCCTCCCCATCGCATTCCATAGCCTCTGCCAACTATCGACAGGAGCAAGAGAAAGAGGAAGAAGAACAAGTCCCATGGCATCTCTGGCCGACACTGCGCTCAAACAGCGCCATATCAGCCTTCTTAAGAGCACTGACGACCATACACCCCACCGTCATTATCACAGCAACGCAGACTTTGACGACAAACACCACCACATTGAACATGACCTCAATAAGAAGCACCTCGGGAGGTACAAGAGTGGCCTACATGCCCTTTACTCTAACTTGAACCAGCACCACCCTCGCCTCTCAGCATGGCTCCTCTACCTGGCCTTCCTTTTTACACTCGCCTTCGTGGCCTTCCAAGTCCACTACGCCTTGCCAACACCAGTTTCATCTGAAGAAGGCGCCATCATTGACCCTGTGACGGGCCAGTACAGATTTTCGGAGGAGAATGTCCGAAGGGTTGTAAGACATCTTTCAGAGGATATTGGCTACAGAATTGTAGGGACAGAGCAGGACCTGGAGACGCAGGCGTACTTGGTCAGGGAGCTCACCGTCCTTAGGGAGCAGGCACAGAGGGAGAGCACCAAAAGATCCGGTGCAGAAACGGAGATGCAGCTGCCCAAGTTTGATATGTGGGTCCAGGTGGCAGATGGGTCGCACCAGTTTGACTTCATGTCCAAAGGTAATGAGCAATATAACCAGATGTCTTTGTAATTTTTCTGGGTATCACGGGGACTCTCGCCGACATGATTGTCTCGGATGGGTTTTTTGGCCTAATTCACTATTGCAGCTCATGAGGGCCATTTTCTATCTACGTGTAACCGCTGAAACTGTTTGTATGAGGGCACACTCACCGATCCAAGCCGCTCACATGGGCTGTGCTTTCTGCAAATCTAACAACTTACTTTATTCTCCCTCCGCTGACGGCGACGCGATATTGGAATAGTGGTCATGAAGATGTATACCAACATGACGAACATCATCGTGCGTCTCTCGTGCGGCCCCGAGTGCGACCAGAGCGCTATTCTGCTGAATGCCCATTACGATACGACATTGGGAAGCCCAGGAGCAGTCGATGATGCTCTTCCGATCGGAGTTATGATGGAGCTTATTCGTATACTCAGCCAGCGTCCGGCACTCAGGAAGAACAGTCTAATCTTTTGTACGCGATGCCAAACCCATGTCCCCTCTCTTATATTGCATTAATATATTGTTTGGAGTAGACAATTGAAATGCTAACATGCATAGACATTTTCGACATTTCTTTGTTTCATTCAATAGTGTTTAATGGAGGGGAAGAGTCTCTTCAGGATGCTTCTCACTCCTTTATTACTACCCACGAGCTACGAAACACAATCCGTGCAGTCATCAATCTTGAGGGTTGCGGAACCACAGGCCCAGAGATCCTCTTTCAAGCCAACTCTCGGGCCATGATTGATGCCTACCGCAAAGTCCCATACCCCCATGGCACCGTCATGGGCAATGATCTGTTTACAACCGGGATTGTTCTTTCTGATACGGATTTTCGACAATTTGTGGATTACGGTAATCTGACAGGACTCGACATGGCCGTGTACAAAAACAGTTATCTGTACCATACGCATCTGGATCTCGACGGTTACATGGAGCAAGGCCTTCCGCAACATCTCGGAGAGAACACCCTGGCATTAGCGACGTATTTGGCAGATGAAGTTGATCTTGCGGAGGGGTTGGAGCACACCAAAGCTGTGGTGTACTTTGATGTCCTTGGACAGTTTTTCGTCTCATACTCTATGGAGGCAGCAGTGTGGTCCCATGCAGTTGTCGGCGCGTTGGTCGTCTTCACATTGGTCATTGGCGCCAGTCGACCAACGGTGCGATCGATCACCTCGGTCCTGCTCTCCTTTGCTGCCGCATTACTGTCCCCTGTGCTATCGGCTTTTGTGATTCAAGCGCTTGGCAAATCCATGGTCTGGTTTTCGCACGAGTGGCTCCCGGTGATCATGTTTGGGCCCTTGGGGGCGGCAGGGATGCTGTCCATTCAGCTGGCATTTCACAGTAAGGAGTCGAGCCGAGGTGCGAATGAACTGAGTACACTTTCGGGCGTTCAGGTTGTATATACAGTTGTCATGGGGCTCGCTTCTCTACTCAGGATTGCCAGTAGCTACTTCCTGGCGATGTATTCGCTCTTTACAAGTGTGGCGTTGCTATTCAATTACAAGAGAACGATGGCACAGAGACGGGAACGCGGCTCAGGCATCGGTGGCATGGACTATGCTACGTATTTTGTGGCATCAGCGATTCAGACGCTTTATTTATCGCATTTGGGATTCAGTCTATTTGATCTCATCGTACCGCTGACAGGACGAATTGGCGTTGATGCGCCCGTCGATCATATCATCGCAATTATGACAGGGTTCGGAGTCTTTTCGTTTAATCCTGCACTTCTTGCATTCTCGCACCGATTCGGCCGTGCCTCGCTACGAAGGATTGTCTCGGGACTCTTGATTTTTCAATTGGCGATACTCTTGGTCGCTGCGGTCCTGATGTCGCCCTACGATGTCCTGCATCCGAAGCGCATATTTGTTCAGCACCTTCGAAACATGTCTTCTGGCGAGTCACTCATGTATGTCGCTCACGCAGATCCGGGCCCATTTTACACACCGTACATCTCACAAATCGAGTCCCTTTTTGAGACCAAGTCTACCTTCAAGAGCGGGTCCGATAATCCGGGCGACTGGAACGCCATCTACCCGTTCAATCAGTTCCTGGACTCGTACGTCTTCGATACCGCGCCTTATATTCGTAAGCACACGACCAACTCGACGCTCACAAACTCGGATGTTCCGCTCACAGAGCTAATCCAAGCCCCTCCAAAGCTCATCGCCGAGAACGTGTCGTACAATCCCGAGACAGGACTTCGAAAGCTTACCATCCTGTGCACTCATCCGAACTATATCTGGACGGTTACGACATTCGATGCAGATGTAGTCTCTTGGTCCATGCAGTTGGAAGTGCCCTCGAAGAAACGGTTTCGTTATGTGATCCGCAATGCAGGTGGATACTTGACGGATGGCTGGAGACTGGATCTAGAGTACCGGGCAAGTGGGCCGGACGACAGGCTACGCGTGGAGCTGACAGCGATGGAGACGGAAGGCTTTGGCAAGGACGTGGAGAGGGAACTTCAGGGCAGTGGAGATGTTGGGGTGATGCGCAAGCTGGTCAAGGCACGTCCAGCCGATGTGAGTCTCACGTATTTCAGTGCTGTGCTTAGCAACTTTGAACTGTGAACACAACATATAAGATATTGAATAAACAGCACAAACATCCTGAACGGTCACTTGTTTGTTTGCCACTCAGTTCAAGGCAGAGGATGCACCATTAAACTGAATTCTAACAGCGTGCTCGCCAAAGACGATTGACTGATTCAACGGGGGACTCCAGGAACGACATTTCATCCGACATGAGGAGTCTGCACTTACCTAGTAACGATGACACGCAGCGTCTTGAACAGGCATTCCAGCTCATCTTTCAGAGCTCGCAAAGGGACTACTGCCAGCTGTGCAGGACCTTTCGGCCTCTGGGGGGGTTGCCGCAAGCATGGATGATCAAAGGGGATTCGGGAGCAGGTACACGACTCTGCTGGACTAGCCTTCAACTCATAAGCGGCGCCATCAATTATGTCATTGCGGAAGTCCTCGGAGCTGACACTGCTGAACGTCGTCATTAGGCAAGACATACCTTGGGGACGCGCTATGCAAGAAATATGGAGTCCAGTATACAGTGACTATCACCATAGGAGAATTGGCGGTTATGTATCCAGGCGACATGCTCAAGGGCCTTAAAACGTATCTCGGATCGATAAAGTACCACGCCAAATCTGTCGGTAGGGATTCGTCTTTCAAGGGCCCGCTTCCTTGCACCATTCCTCTGCTATGTTTTTCTCATGTCGTCTTGTATTATATCTCGATTATTGTTGAATATATTATAGTGATACTGGACAATATTGAACTCCTGTTCCCGCGAGAAGACGGCGATTTCGCACTCGTGTATGCATTCCAATCATGGATACAGGATCTTGCTGATCAAGAGAGCGTATCGCAGAGCGTTTCATCCGCAGATGTGGCAATGAACGAGAGAGTGAGCCCGCGCGTCATGGTGCTAGGACTAACACAGGATTCCCGTGGATTGGACCCGTCGATCGCTTCCTTGTTTGATGACTCAATCGAGCTAGATATACCCACGCCAAAGGAGCGATACGTGATCCTGAAGACGTGCATGGTCAATCACAATATGACCATCGCCTCGGTCTCGCTACCAGTAGCAGGGTCAGAAGAAACAAAAAAGAATACAGGATCAATAGAGAACCGTGATCCATTGGAGATGGTGTCGATGAAATGTCACGGATATCTAGCTGCTGATCTGGATACCCTTTGTATACAAGCATCGGTTGTGGCGAACCGTCATGGGCGCGGCATGGACCAATTGGCGGCTGAGGACTTTTTGGAGGCAATGAAGTCTATCAAAGTATCGGCACTCAGACAGAGTGCGAGTGCACAAAAGGTGGACCCTGTGCGTTGGTCCGATATCGGAGGACTGGAGGATGTCAAAGTAAGATTTTTCCGCCTCATAACTCTTTTACTATTTGGACTGGTATGAACGGTTCTGTTAGTTATACACTAATATTTGCTGTGCTCTGGTTCACAATTGCAGAAAACCCTGGAGGAATCAGTTATCTGGTTGTACAAACATGCGGAGGCGTATACACGCATGGGTATCAGCCCCTCTAAAGGAGTTTTGCTGTATGTATCTACTTTATCCGCTCGCATCTTTGTATTCTAGATAAACGGTAGAAGGCAGTAAACTCACTTCTCTTTTTGTTTTTGCGGCCGATTCACAGATACGGCCCTCCAGGAACAGGAAAAACACTTCTTGCAAAGGCCGTAGCGACAGAATCCGAGGCCAATTTTATGGCCGTGCTGATACCGGACCTCATCAAAGGCGAGGTTGGAGAATCCGAAAAGGCGATCGCAAAGGTGTTCAGGATGGCGACGAGATGCAGTCCCTGCATCGTGTTTTTAGACGAACTTGAGGCCATTTTTGGAACCAGGGAATCAAGTGGAGGACTCGGAAAGCAGGTATGGTCGGCGGACGGATCTTTTTGCCGACGATATGACGACTTCGCGTGAAATACTGATGCTTTTTATCTAACGGTCTCGTTCCGCTTGATGTATTTCCTACGTATAGCTCATCTCGCAGCTACTTTTGGAGATGGATAATTGCGGAGAGGGGGTCGTGATTTTGGCTGCAACGAATCACCCAGAGGCCATCGACGCCTCTATATTGCGACCAGGTACAGATCGACTCGGAACTGATTAACGCGAACAGTATTCTGTAGTTCTCCTTTTCTAACAACCGCCTGTCCTTTCTTTTAATTCAAATCCGTGCTCAATAGGTCGCCTGGACAGACTGGTATACGTGCCTCCACCAACATTCGATGAGCGCGTGGCCATTCTACAGATTTTGAAAGGAATGACGCAGATTTCGAACAATGTTGACTTGCGGACCGTGAGCAACTTGTCGAACAATTTCACGGGAGCGGACATGAAAGCCCTTGTTCGTAAAGCCGGTCTCTTTGCACTCAAGGCCAACAGGGTATACAAAGCGGGACCACTGCTGTATTTTTTTTTTTTTTTTTTTTTTTTTGCTCAGACTCGGGAAGCAAGAAATGGAAAGGCACGAGGACACTAACACCACAGCTGTTGTCATGTCCCTTTTTGAACATAGACTAGCATTGAGGCGCAGGATTTCTTTGCAGCAGCGTCTGAAGTACAGCCATCTGTCAGCCAATTTGGTCTTCTTCGGTACCAGCAGTTCCATCGGTAGACCATCAGCAGAACCGTTTAATAAAACAATCATTATCGGGTCTTTAACCACGTTTCCAGAGCAGATCTTTGGCCGCGGCACATCATTGAACTGTTGTTGTATTGGGTTTATCACCGGCATAATGGACTCTGCAGCTCGTCTCGATACTGGCTAATATATAAAACGATCTTCACAGCGATGGCCCTCTTCATAGTACACGTCTTCGCTTCTATCGACAATAGCGAGAGCAATAAGCTGCCCCACTTTCCTCAAAGGTGTAATGTACATGTATTTTTATTATACAAAAAGGACGGCACTTGATCTTCAGAACGCACGCTGGCCCGTCGAACTGTACTCTAGCAACATGGCTGCAGTCAAGGAGGGCTTGACAGACGCTAGCGACTGCTTGAAATCCTGGGCATTCTATTAAGCGAACAATGATAAAAATCAGGGAGTGAGGATTTAGAAAATGGCTTCTGAACTGAATGGACACGTCCATATGAGTTAATGACACCTACAACAGATTCTCTCGACGGCGCAGTTTCGTCCGCGGCTCTTGTAGCGGTTGAAGCACCCAGAATCCGAGTTCTCAGCGCGATCAATGCTGCCTCTCTGCATACGTTCTGAAGGTCTGCTCCAGTGTACATCTCGGTCTATAGGATAAACATTATCGAACGCAAATCCAATTTTCAGCATCCTCACCTTATTATCACGTAAAGCAGAATCAAAAAATGAAAAACGCGATACACAGCACTTACGATTTGCGCAAGGGCGTCTAGGTCGACGTCCTCAGCCAATGGTATCTCCCGCGTGTAGATACCCAGGATCTGTCTCCGTGCCTCCAAATCTGGTGGGGGCACATAGACGATACGATCAAATCGCCCTGGCCGCAAAAGTGCCTTATCGATCAGATCGACACGGTTGGTTGCTGCAACGATCAACACTCCGGCCGCATTCTCGACACCGTCCATCTCGTTCAGCATCGTTGACAGCACTCGTTCCTGAACACTATCTCCTCCTCCTCCTCCTCCTTCGCCTCCACCCCCTGAAGAAAAATTCCTCTTTCCGACAATCGTATCAATCTCGTCAAAAAAGATGATCGATGGGGCTGAAAGTCGGGCTTGATGAAAGGTCTCCCGGATCGTCTTTTCTGAATCTCCCACGTACGATGAGTAAAGCGCTGCGCCATTGACCGACAGGAATGATGATCCAGAATTTGTCACAACTGCCTTCACAAGCGTCGTCTTGCTGCATCCTGGTGGGCCGTATAGTAGGATACCCCGGGGTGCTTTGAGGCCCAGCCGTGAGAACGTCTCCTTGTAAAGGACTGGCCACTCAACTGCCTGGCGGAGCTGTGTCTTGACAGCTTCCAGACCCCCGATGTCAGACCATTGTACCGGCTCAACAACGACGGCATATCCACGCTGCAGTGACGGAGCATTGGTGCTGAACGCTCGTTTGAAATCCGCCATTGTCACGCTAACTGCTTCAGCAGCCGTTGTGCCCGCACGTCCAAGATTGTTCCAGTCCAGTCCAGCAGCAATGTTCCTGTGGACAGCTCCCAGGGCGCTCTCCCGACACAATGCTTCCAGATCTGCGCCCACAAATCCATTCGTCATCCTTGCTAATCCGCCTAGTTCCTCCTCACTCAGTGTATGCGGCATATTCTTAATCAGACCCTCAATAATCCTCCTTCGGTCGTTCTCTCTAGGCACATCCATCCGGATCTCTCGATCGAATCTTCCAGGCCTCCTGAGTGCTGGGTCAATCGAGTTGGGTCGATTAGTTGCTGCGATCACGACGACTCTTCCTCTGGAGACCAAACCATCCATCAACGTCAACAGCTGTGCCACAACTCTCGACTCGTGCGCTTGTGAGTCCGCGCGATGCGGGGTCAATGCATCCAGCTCGTCAATAAACACGATCACCGGTCGCTTAGGGTCCGCAAGACTGATCCGACTGGCCTGGTCGAATTTCTGCCGCAGCTTCTCCTCACTCTCACCGACGTACGGACCAAAGACCTCTGGGCCGTAGATGGTTACCATCTGAGCCCGGCAGATATGGGCGACTGTTGAGACGAGTAAGGTCTTGCCTACGCCGGGCGGGCCGTGAAGGAGAACGCCCTTTGGGCATTCAATGTTGAGACGTGCGATGAGGTCTGGGTAGAGAAGTGGGTAGGACACAACTTCGAGAAGGGCTTTGGTGGGTCCTTCGAGGCCCGGAAGGACTTTGAGGTTCTGAGTCATGTCCATCGCGCTTCCGGTAGTCGTGGCTCCGAGATCTGTTGTGGTCGACGCTTTATTCTGGTGTTCCTCTTTGACGATGGTGATCTGCGTTCCCTGCTCGACTAAAAGAGGTCCTTGAGAAGGCTGTCCAGATTTGATCTGCCATGGAAAACATGGTGTTCATTTTAGTCCTATTCCATGTAGTCGTGCTTCGATTATTATTATTATTATCTTTGGAGGGCCCGCATGCCTCCAAGGTGACATACCATGATCAATAGACCAGCATGCTCATTGGCGACAGAGAACCCTTCTTCCAGAACCAGATCCTGCAATGCATTGTGCACTATCTATTTCATTTTGAAAACAGATCCAAGTTCGTCAGTGTATTCCGTCTCTTCAATTTCATGTCATCAATGCTCTTCAAACACTACCAATTGCCCTTACATGCTGCTTCATCAGATCCGTGGCCTCTTCGTATGCAGCTCCTTCGCTACTCAGCACGCCGTCCTTGCGAATCTGCGATACGACAACCTGTAACCGCAATGCCTTCCGGATGGGTGACTCAAGGACCTTCATACCTAAACAAGACCCATCGCCGCGGGTTAATGTCTGAGTTGCTGTAACGTGTGTGCGCGAAAACCTCGAGCAGTACTCCTTACTGTATGACGTGTCCGTACGTATCCGCACATCCTCGTCCCGATCCTGAGTGGCCTGTGCTGTCTTCGTGATATACCGATCCACCAGAATATCATCCTGACAATCATAACGTGCCGGCCATACTCGACAATAGATCTGATCGCCGTGATTCGAATCAGTCGACTGCAAGAGTACCCAATGTCCCACGATTAGTCCTGATTCCTTGAATTTTCTCGGTGATACTCGACACCGAGCTGTCTGCAGGTCGCAGTAGTCAGCAGGGAGGTGGCGGTACATTCGAATCGTCGAGTCGATCTCAGGCGGCTCCTTTGATGCAAGTGTCAAACAGAGAGATCTGTACGATGTATGGTCATGGTCCAGTGCTTTAAGGGGTACACCACAACTGGGCGCGTCTTTGGACACTAAATGGAGTTTGTGTAACATTCTCGATCGCGCGAGGAGTAAAAACGTTGCGAAAAAGCAAAAGGGGAGCATTCCACTGGATTTGCGTTAGCAAGAACCCATATTCTAAAAATGATTGAATAGCGTGGCACAGGGAGCGAATTGGTTCTCATTCAACTGTGCATGTGAGATGAGTAGTAAAGCACTCTTTATTTTTTTGTCGCCGATTATACCTTCCTCTGTTTTTTTAGTTTTGTGCGGGAACAAATCTTTGGAGCCATTGCAGAAATCCGCATTCCTAGCCTTTGGTTTCAGATCACACAAAGAAACAAACTGCACTTATTCGCTCATGAGACATCTTTTCTTGAATGTCGCATTGATCTGTACCTTGACGGAATCCAGAACCAACTCTAGTACCCACAGACAAGTCCACAGTGTTCAGGACCTGCCCCCAAGTTTATAGAATGATCCTTCGCGTAATGTATGTAGCCTATACAACGTGTTGCTTAATGGACACCGCTTCGTTGTTCTGCTATGCATTTCCCCCTATTCAGAGGGAGTGGTGTTCTTACAATACTGCACAATTAGATCAATTATTCTCTCAGTGAGAGGCTCTTTCATCTTCCGTCAGGATCGACGCAAGCAGAAGAGCGCGTGCCTCGCATGCAGGGACAGATATATATAGTACTTTTTTTTAAACACGTTAACAGAGCTTTCGCGATTTGAGAAAGGACGCTATGAAGTATATAGGGGATACTTTTGAGGAAGAAGAAACGGACGATGCTCCCAAATCCCTGACCAGAAATAGAAGGCTCCCTCGCCCTGCATATCTGTTTTTTTGTGCATCTTATGCATCCCTGCGGCTGCTGTGGGCCTTTGTTGCACACCTTCGGCAAGTGAGTAACAACATCTAAGCCTGAAAGTGTCCCTTTTTTAAGTTGTGCACTCCTCCCTGCCTCTCCCATTCTGCGTATTCATAGTCGCGTAGCGTACCTTGCAGCCTTCATATCCGCAATAAAGTGTAACAGTTTACTGAGGTACCCTCTCTTTATTTGCCACAAGGGAATTTCAGCCGTCAAAAGGTGTTTTTTCGCTCATTGGGTCCTCTTCCTCCTTACGAACACTTGAGCTTCCATAGTTTTCTTGTTCTGCTCGCAATCGTTCACAATCGATATCTGAAGGACGAATGGTGCTGTTCTTGCGCTGCAGCTCGTACTGCCGCTGGTAGGTACGCGCCTCTGCCTTCTCATCATGATCGAAATCAAACAAAGAGCTGGCTCCCGCGCTCGACGACCCGATCCCAGAACTCAAGCCGTGCATTGAAGACTGACGACTAATACCTCGACTATCCCGTCCAACAGTCAAATCCCTTGTCGACCCCATGAACGAGCGTGAACCAAGGACACTCACAGGAGTCGATCCGCTTGTACCAACAGCAGTGCTACTTGATTCGATCCGCAAGTCTTCCAGGATTTCGATCATATCTCGTAGCCGACTCTTCTCGATCTGCAACTGTCTCGCGCCAAAATCGCGCATGGCGCGCTCCAATTCCTTAGTATGATGGTTCTGCAGATGTGACAACTCCTCAAACAGCGAGCCATGAAGACTGTTCAACAAACTAGAGGCCTTTTCAATCTTATCCTTCATCTCATCCAACGACATATGTCCCGTTGCTGCAGAAGCAACTGCCGCGATAGACGAAAACGGATATGTCAACAGAGATGACGCAGAGGCTGTTCTGGATGCTGATTCTAAAGACGGACGTGGTCGAGGCCGGGTTGGGGTGGGGCTGCCCATAAGGTTACTGAGGTTGGTTTGCGATGTATTAGACGATAACTTGATGACGATAGGCTTTTTGTTCGGCGGTGGCGGCGTCGAAGAAGAAAATGAGAGTAGAGATCGCCTAGATGGTGATGTCAACGGTGAAGTTGAAGTGCTCCTATCCGGGACTTCTATTGATCCCCTAACTGCACTCTCTGAGGCCGCTTTTGAATGCCCGCCTCCGGGCGTAATCAGTCCAGACACGGCCTCGAAGGTCGACGTGGCTCCATGTCCAACTGCACCCAAAGCCGCCCCTGCCCCGCCAAACGCTGTTTTGGCCCCCTCCCCTATGCTGGATAGACCGGACCACCACGTATCGTTACGGCGCATGTTTTGCTCCGCCTTTGCAACCGCTGCTCTCAATTGACGGATCGAGGTGATGACCTCTTTCGGATGCTTTAGGGCTTTCAGTGTCCCATCGATAACAAATGAGAAATCTATAGAAAGTGAAACGGTCAGAAACACGTCGTAGGCAGCAGCAGGTGTCCTCCAAAAGGCGATAACAGAAATGACTGTACCTTCGAACAAGTTTCCTAGAGATTCGATATCAGACGTGTGCATCGTTGTCTGCGTTGAAGCTATCGCCTTTAGTGCTTGCACGTATTCGTTCTTGTTGTCGAAGCTGACATGGTATGATTGATCAAATACAGTTGACAGGATTTCTAGCTGCTGAGGGACATCTACAAAGAGATATACAAAGTTGAAGCAATCCTCGATGCCAGGTCAGGCGACGCATTTACACGGTGGTGATGAGCGAGATATTGCTCCACTTTAGAAGGAAATGTACCTTGTGTACTTCGACTTAGATTCCGAGCATGTTTTCTGACTTGTTGTATAGCCGTGTCCAGCTTAAGGATCTCGTCGTTCAGATGCTTGAAATATGTCTCCTCATGATCTAAGTTCTCAACCGCCGGCGGAAAGTTGTCAAAAATACTGTCGATAGTATTATCTTGCTTTATCTGCGATCGTTGAGTGATCATGTCGCGCTAATGTGGAACATCGATGAATAGAAGCCTTTCGTTAAAGTGAATTCCGTAAAAAAATAAAAAAAATAAAGCCAAGATAGCACGCACTTGAAATAACCAGCACTCACATCGAGCTCTGGCATCAACATGAATTCCCACACCAGCTCATGGTTTGCTAGGACAGGATGGTCCGATAGATAGTTCAGGAACATGTTTAGCCTTCTCGCAGAGATGGCCAAAACCATTTTCGACGGACGGCTCGGCGGAAGCAGGAAGGGTGAGTAGAAGTTCTCTAGAGACGGTATACAGGCATCCGGTCCTTCTGCCAGCAGGTTTTGCCTCAGGAACTGAAAGTCCTCCAGAGATCTTGGCATCGTAACAATTGTCAACGGATCCGAGGTCTATATTGTTTACAGTTGATAAAATATTAGTATTCATTTGGTGCCCTCCATCCACGTTTTGGAACGGCTGCGATAACTGGTGCAATACAGCTTACAGATCCACTTTTCACGATATATCGAACTTTGCCGTCCTGCTCCATCGTTCCTCGGACCACACGGATAACTCTCTTCCCCGACTCATCCTGGGTTGTTTTATCTTCATCTGCTACCTTGAGACGTTGCGGTTTTACTGTTGATTGAACTGTAGTACTCGGCCTTGTATTATCGTGCCTACTATCCCAAAACAGCGTAGCATTATCCAACATGTCCAAGATGGCGGCATCGTTCGTCATATCTGCCGGCGATTCGTTAGTCCAGTCTCTCAATTTAGGATTAGCGCCCTTCTGCAGCAGAAATTCGACGACCGATGCCGAATTCGATTGACACGCAAGTTGCAAAAGAGTGCTGCCGTCTACAGCAGACTGAATATCAATTGGCGTATAGCTGTACAGCATCTGAACCATCTCCAAGTTTCCTCGAAGACACGCCATATGTAGGGAAGTGTATCCACGCGAATCCGTCGCCAGCGCATCTACACGTTCGGTGGCCAAGAGTCCCCTGACAGCGTTATTGTTGTCATGCAGAGCCCATTTTAAAAGCGGTGTCCATCCCGCATAGTTTTCGATATCTGGGTTTGCTCCACGCTTGACCAGGTCCGCTATCAGACCCGTATCGACGATGAAATGAATTGCTGTGTCTCCACTGTTATTCTGGCGGTCAAAGTCTTGCGGCTTCATCCTGGAAGCCAGCGTCGGGATAATCCTGCTGTTCTGTTCGCTCTTATCGTAGCTCATTTTGGCTGCGATAATTAGTGATGTGTCGTATTTGTCGCTACTCATCCTCGCTGCAATAATTAGTGGCGTATTGCCCTCATTGTTGGGCAGGCCGAGGTTTGGCCCGGCATTCAAAAGCTCCTCCAAGACTTCTATATTACCCTTGTTAACGCAAACATGCATCGCGGTATTGCCAAGTACATCCTGTTTGTCAATCGCGTGCTTGTCTTTAGCGCTCAGTGCCCGAAGTATTGTCCTGGTTATCTCTATGTTGCCGCAATCAACAGCCATCATCAGCGGAGTTCTACCCTCATAGTTGGATACGTCGACCGAGTTCCCTTGTTCCTGTATGAGATACCGGAGTACCTCCACCTGCTGCGCCTTGCATGCCAACAAAACGCCGTTGTTGCCTTCTGCGTCTCGGCTGTGTGATGAAGAAGCCGATAATGTGTTCGTCAGCATCGGATCGATTGGGATGTCGCTGTTACTCTCAAGACTCGTTGCAGATGGGCGTCGAGGTAAAATCGGTGATGCTAGCCTTGTTTCGATGGGCTGGGAACCTTCAGCATACATCCTCTTTACACCATTCAGATCGCCGGAGCAAACCTTCTCCCAGTATTCCTGGTTCCTTGTGGATAATGGCGAAAGTTGCCTGGCGTGTGAAAGAATATATCGTGAAACGGCTTCCAGTGTCGATAATGAATAACCATATTCGCCACGGGAAGAGTCTCCAAACAGAACAAAGTTCTTCATGTAGTAGAGGTTGGACGCAAGATTGCTGATTCCTGAACGGAGAACTGTGAGGAGCAAGATCGGAATCAGGTCGTCGGCTCCTCCTGAGAGCGTGCTAGTGACCTTTATAGACTGTACCAAGCAACTCAGTTTTTCCTCCGGTGTCCGCAGAACACCAATCGACTGAAACTCGTTCAACGCAGACACCAGGGATTGATAATGCTGCGGTGTATCAGGCAGCCCAACTTGACCAAGATCTAAATTCTGAAATAGGGTCAGCACGGCATTCTGCGGCATGATCAAGTCCGAACTTTATTAAAATGTACCTCATGATTATAAAATACGTACCCCGAGCTCCCGTATAGCTTCTGCTAGATCCCAGTCTTGTTGCTTCAACTGGAGAGTGATCTTGAAGAATACAATGTCGTAGGTCGAGTTCATGATGTAGTTCTCCAATAGTTGATCGAGACTCTCAGAAGTAGCTCCGTACTCGTCCAGCAAAGCCGACAGTACGGCTTTGTCCACCTGGTTCAACAGCTGTATGAGATAATGTCAGTTCATGCCATTTGTTTTTTAATGGTTTTATTACTGCGCTGCAAACTTCTTGAATCGAACATACGTTGACGCTGTCCGCCAGAAGATGCTCCACATCCGTCCGGATATCGTCCAGGTTGTTCTTTGTCATAGTTGCATCGTTAAAGTCCATGATCAGCTGCTCCAGTCTTTGAGAAACTCCAGGAAACCGTTGCAATGCGATCTGAAGCGTCAAAACCGGCCGGCCTTTGAGTCGCCTGCGTGTTTCTCTGTAGAGTCCAGGTGTCTGCGATGGACTTGGTCGATGTCTGCTGCGGCGGCCCGGCCTCGATGAATGCTGCCCGTCCGATTGGGTGGTTGCGGGCGTGAATATTGTCGAAAATCTACTCCCGGCGCCATCGGCCCCAGTCTCTTCTGGAGAACTTGGGGTTGATGTTGTCTGCTCTGCTTTCTGCGGGATGCCCACCAGTGGTCGATCAATGAACTGGATCACCCAGCCTCTGCCTTCATTATCGTAGAATATCCGCTCCGAAACCAGTCGGGCTTGCTTCAGCAACTTGAATCCTTTTGCCGTCGTAACTAATTGTATAATGTCAAATAGGGATTGTTCAGAAGTGATCCGAGTCAAAAGCATCGGTGAATAGTTCCCAGGACAATGATCCCTACCTGTTGTATCTGTAACAATCAGGGATCGTCCATTCAGTGTACCGACTGTCAGTCCTTTCGTGACCGGGCGGTCCCTTTCTGGGACACGGGCAATATGACTCACTGTTGAAGAGAAAGAACGCTAGTAAGCGTCCGAATGAACAGCGCTCAAGGAACCACGGGCTCACAGCAATTTGGCGACATACTGCACATACATATGAACTCCTCGTCGATACCGCCCCATTCCCATTCCAGCTTCGAGATTGCATCAATCCCCATGAGCGACTGTTGGACTGGGCAGAGAATGACCAGCTCGTGGCGGTTCCTGTCCCGGATTATTCCTGCTAGAACTGTCTCGAATGTCTTTTTCATGAACTGAAAGTTCTTGAGTTGCTCACTATCGATGAGTGCCGCCGTCGGAAGCGAGTTGGACTCATGAAAAAAGAGCAGGGAAAGAAAGTGATTTGAAGTTGTGCTTGGCGAACGTCTCTGGCGCACAGGTACTGGGGTCGGCGCCTGAAATAGGGATCGCGCTAGGTCCATGATTCGGGGGTGTGTGTGATGATGATGGAAGGGTGAAGGAAGGGATGCTAGACTATGCCATGCCAATGACCCATCGCCGACACATGGCCTACGGGGTACATTGCACGCGTACAGGAACGTGACCTGAGCGGAACATAAACTGCAAATGACTACCTGACGCTCGCGTTTTATTTACGCGCCCTACGCGTTCATTGGACGTCCGAAACCCTCGCGAGGTGGACAGTGCGCCTGGGATCTCGCGCGTCCGAACCGCGCCTATTTTATAACAGTCGTGTTCGAAGTGGTCAATTGTAAGCGTGGTGCATTCGGAGTTCCAGCTCTCTTCTCTGCCTCCCTCGTAACGCAATCCCGTTACGGGCTATTGAGCCATCCCAGGGCGGAAAGAATGAGAGTACGGGGGTGATGATAGGAGTGGCCAGTTCAGCAGGACGAATTGAGCATCGAGGGTTCATAATCTACTATTTTTAGATAGGTCGTGCGGCAGGGTGCAGGCCCCGCACCCGTTCGGGGACAATTAGTACAGGGCCAAAGCGCCAGCATTTGTACACAAACATTTATAACCAGCGCGGTCAGTAAGAACCAAAACTAGCGCCAACGTTGCTCCGCGTGCATACTACCTCACCTAATGCAAATGTGCAAAAAGGGGCGTCTCTATATCCTGAGGTATATTCACCCCCCTTTTACCAAACAATGCCTCGAGGTTGCTGTCAACAAACAAATATCTGGCATAACCGCGCTACTATGGGTCGAATCAACAGGCATTGGTTTTCTGGACCAATTCATGCATTGATGCACATAACGCATTAGAATCAGGATTAAAGTCGGGGGGTATACTCAACGGTGTGGGGTGCCATAAACCTCGAACTTCAATCAGCCATCAATTGAAATCCTCTCGGCGTCAGTATCGTTCGGAACAAAAAAGAAGTGACGCACTTGGGATTTGCATGAATGTCAAATGGATGCGGATGCTTTAATCCTTAGATTTCTAGCAGGTAGTCTATGGCACTATAGAAGGCACTAGAGAGCTCTTTTGGGGTCATGCATAATGCATGCAGTTGGTAATGCAGTTGGTTCTCGACCGTTAAACTCAAAAGAGGCGGTTATGCGAGGCTGCCTCTTTCTCAATGCAGACATCTAAACACTCATGCACCAAAGACACAAGGTTAATGTGGACGCATGAATTATTCTAGCAGATGCCCGCAGAGACCTTTTGGTAATCTTTGGCGACTGTGGTAAGTTGTGACGGACTCTTGGATAATAAGTTGAAGCATGAATCGGTCCACAAAGTCTCAGCAGCAATGGACTCTGGCACTATCGCTAGATATATCATCGCCCACAAAAATGCCATGGAATGAGGTGCAGTCACTCCTCTCGGCTTGCCGTGCCTGATTCTTTTTTTATTTAGAGCAAGAGATATCAAGCTCAGAGACCCCAGGCTGAGGGCTAGGGAGCCGAAAGGGTGAGGGCGAGAGCGGGACGAGGAGAAAGAGAGAAAATTGAGCGCGCAAGATGAAACACTTCCAGGAGAGATGGCCGTTGGAGGAAGTCGCTAATCGCTCAGAAGAGAAAAATACTTCCGCATCCGGTGCCGCGCACTTTTGTACGACATACGTTTCCGTCATATCGAACAACGACGAGCAAGAAAGAACGAGTAGACTTTCTGTTGGTCGATCTGGCACTTCTGGATGCGGTCTCAGCATACTAGGAAGACACCTCTGGCGCCAACGGTCCGCTGTTCGAACAAGAAATGCTCGCTTTGTTGAGGAGGTCCAGTCTATGTTGTTTGTCGAGCTGCCTTGTCAGACAATGCAAGATGCCGCCAAAGCTAACCTAACGTTGCAGTTGTAGGGACACAAGGCAGAATCGTCCGTTCTGCCATATTGGCCAATACGACCATGGAACAAAAATGGGCGCGAAAGTTGCGAATACGGTCAAGATGGGTTTTAATGAGCAGGCATATCATTGGTTCCTTCTGCATCCCGCACCGGCTGATGTTCAAGGTACCCGTTTTTCAGGGCAACGTGGAAGCAGCCTTGCGCAGCCCTGATATTATTTTATTTTATTTTTATTTTTTGAATCTGCTGTCATTCATCCCTCCCTAACGCAGACTGTGGAGTTCGCTGGACTTGTTTAGATTGCATTTGCCGAGATCTTCTGCCCTTTCTCACAAAGTTTCCTCGATGAACAGAATGTTCGTTCGTTTGACAGGTTCGACGAAGACAGGATGGACGATCCCGTATACAGCAGATATAGCCAAGAACAACGATCCCAATGGGCGCTGTCTTCTCTTAGAACATTTCCTATATCTTTTTTTCTACGCTTTGAAGACGAAGTTGTATCGAGCAACAGAAATGAAAAAAGTCAGATGAGCTGTTTTGGGATGCGCGCTGTCTCCTGGTTTCAACATAATTTGATCTCCTTTCTTTCGTGCATCTGCCGTCTCATGTTGTTCACACACCCCACAATTTCAGAACAGTGGGCTAGACAGAAGGTCCTCTTGCTGTTGCATAACTACTAGCTGTTGATGCGCGCACACGGACCGAATTATAAACAGACTGCAGCTGTAAATGCTCCCAGGGTAGTTTCGGCCACTGTGGAGGGAGTGAACACTCGGACCATTCTGTTGTCCACAGACACACCCCTTAGTCTGTACTACCGTCCCCTGTGGTTTGTGTTCCAGTGTGGAGAAGGCCGTTTACTGTTGCGGGGTCGCTGTTAGCTGAAGATACACAGGGTACACAAGGTACACAAGGTACACAGGATCCACGCACCCTTATGCGTCATGTACTTCACGCCGCGTTCGGTCCGCATAAGTCATGCCTATAGTCTTTCGTCGCGCTCTTTCATGTAGAGCTACTCTTTCGAATGAATTGACGGGGACACCTGCTCTGGTCCAACGAATAGATTAGAATACACGCACCACTGAATAGACACCATCATAATAAAATAAAAAAAGAGTTAGTGCTCTTTGCATCTATTTGGGCTGTCATCTCGCGAGGACGGGGCGACCCTTTTTTTTGTGTTCTGTTTTTAGGGTATTTGGATTGTGTTGGACCTTATTGGATCGCCAGCCTGCGCCAGTTGCTGCTCCTCAGACACTGGACCGAGGATGAGGATCCCTTGCATTGCAATGTCCACTCACCCCTCGGTCCTCTCTAATGTTGCTTTGCCTTCACTCTCCCGCTCATTTTCCCTCTCTTTCGCTTGCTTGCTCGTCTCCTCTCCTCTAGTCTATCGCGATCTCTCTTTCTCTCTCGCCCGATATAGCCTTTCTGTCCTGCTCTCATTCTCGGTTCCCCATTGGGTTCCACGCCAGCAACACCTGAGGTGTCGACAACAAACAAGAAAACATATAAATACAAGGCCCCGTTTCCCGGCATTTTTTGTTTTAATTTCTTCATCTATATATCCCTAAATTGTTCTGGTCTTCATCTCTTAGCTCTCCTCCCTCTTCTCCCCTCCTCCTCCTCTTTACCTCAACTGCCTGTAGCTCCTCCCTACAAGCAAAGCCATACATGTGCTGTCCTCTCAGTCACTGAAAACTCTTCATTATCCCCCACACGCCCACACGGCAAAGCGCACTCATCCATTCTCTATAGTTACGAACACTACCGATAGTCATAACCATCGATTTACATTAACCTCTCAAGCAATCCCCTACTCTCAACCCTCACTGACAACGATCATCTTATATTCACATCCACATCCACATCCACATCCACATTCATTTCATTCGATCTACCACGCACTTCATTTAATTTGATTATCTAAAATTCTCTTTGTATTACTGTGCTTCGCCTGATCACCCATTATCTCCAACCCATTACCAAAGACAACCTACCATAATGATGATCAGCACTGCTCAAGCCAACCGCAAGTTCGATCGATCCGGGCGGTACGTGAAAATCTAGCTAGTGCTCGATCTGCGTGCGCATGCTTGAGCTTTTTACCCCCCTTAGATTCGCGTTAAGACGGTGCATAGTGCTTCAACTAACAGTTGCTTGTTTTCCTCCCTCCCTTTTTCTTATGCCTCGACTCCACAAAAAAAAATATCTCCTGCGACTTCCATGCTTTTGGACAAATATCACCACTTCTCACTCACCTGCTCATCACACTCCCCATAAATAACCTTGCTCTCCAATGCTTCCCCCGCACATTTCTTCTGCTCTTCATATCTGTGTATCCGTACACGCCACGTTCACCATCACCCCACGCTGTGCTTCAATATCTGATCATGACCATATCTGGATATGCTTCCATCGGATGATTCGCTATTACATTGACAGATCTGGAAGCTACCACCGCCGCTCCGTCAGCTGCGTGGCCTCTCATGATGAGCTCGCGTACTACCCCATCGAGGTCATCGAGGAGGGCATGGAAACTAGCGCCATTGCCGCCGACAACGGATCCGCATCAATCTCAATGACGCGCCACCTAATGTCCGACGGCAGCATTCAGCTCCAGCGCTCCGGTTCTGGCTCTGGTGATAGTGCCGACGGTGTTGTCAGTGTCGCCGCTGGCTCCCTTGGCGGTAAAATCAAGGTATGCACCATAGCCTATCGCGGCTTTATACTACCTTCCCTCTTCACTTGGGTGATGGTAGTAGGTACTCGTCTTTTTTTTTTTTTTTTTTTTTTTTTCGTTGTTATCGAGCTTTAATGTTTGCTGATAACCAGAAATGTTGGCAAACAAACAACAGACAACAGCAAACACGCGATGCAGCGAAGAAGAACAACGATTTGTTGCATTCGATGTTGTTTACTACCTCCTTTCTGATATTGGGGAAAAAGCGTTCGCATAATGCATAGTCCTATCCAGGCATCATTGTACATCGGCATACTCCTTACATACACATCTTGCATATACTTTACCCATCTATTCTCTCGCTAACCACATTCCACATGTTTGCGCCTATCTTCCATGCGCTTTTTTTCTTCTTCTTCTCCCCCCTGACAGTTGAACCCTGGTGCACCTGGACCTCGCAGGTCGCTCCTCTCGGACATGCTTAACAGCCAGAATCAGAACAGCCGTCTAGAACAAAACGTCCACCGCCGAAGGATGCTCAAATCCATGCGCCGCTACTCAGTCGATGCCTCGGAGATGAACTTCAATGTTCTTGGTCTCTATCCCTCCGGTCGCGCTTCACCCATGAAGGGGATTCCCTCCGAGGGTGAAGAAGCCGCTGCTACGAATGGTGCTCGGGCTCAGGAGTTCAGAGACACGCCCACGGTCCGGTACCTGAGAAATCCCTGCCAGGCGACCGTCAAGACCAAGCTGATCTCGGCCTCTGTCCGTCGTGGCGCTGGTGGTGACAGCGACGCACCCGATTACTTTGGCGCGGAGGATCGTGTCTGGTAAAAAAAATAACTATAGAACCTCCATTCTCCCTGCTCTTCTTTTAGAGATTGTTACATTAGTCCCTTGTTTTTGCATTGCCTTTTATTTTTATTATTATTATTATTATTATTATTATCGTTGCTTTTTCTTAGGACACAACTACCATAGATCCGTTCTATTGCCCTGTACTTTATAGCCGTCTTGTTTTTAGAAAGATTGGCGACCATAATTAACAACATAATTTTAGAGTGTTTAGTATTATAATTTGTAACATCAGTACCTCTTCTTCCTCTTGTTTCTTGCTGCGGAACCCTCCCCGCAGTTGAACGCATTTCCCTTTTCTATTTCTATTTTTTTTTTTTTTCTCTTCTGGCTCTCAAGACCCTTTTCCTCCTCCATCTCCTTCGGCCTTCGAATTAGCCATCTATCATCTAGACTAGACTACACATCGTTGCTCAAATTAAGCAATTCTAAATTAAAAAAAAAAAAAAAAAAAACTTCCTTTACCCACGTTGTGCTCAGTTGCATGGTTCATACAAATACAGATGTTTATTGTTGGTTCAAATCAGTGCTGATGGGGGGGGGGGCTACTCATAGAAAAGAAGAGTATATGGCGGGAAAACAAGGTTTCTGTGTCTTATGTTTGCTCAGATGAGATCAGCAACATTCATGGGCATCTCCAAGATCTGGGTCGAGTAAAATTTCTCAATCTCCCGCATCATCGGCGTGTCCTCCATCGTAACAAAATTGATCGCCACACCCTTGCGTCCGAAACGACCTCCACGACCGATACGATGGATGTAATTCTCCTTGTTGGTCGGCAGGTCATAGTTGATGACAAGGGAGACCTGCTGCACATCGATACCACGTGCCAGCAAATCCGTCGCAATCAGCACACGGGACGATCCTGAGCGGAACTCCTTCATAATAACCTCACGCTGGGCCTGCTCCATCTCACTGTGGATCGCTGAGACGGTGAAATCACGGGCACTCAGCTTGTCCGTTAGCCAATCAACCTTTCTGCGGGTGTTGCAGAAGATGACCGCCTGGGTGATGGTCAGGGTCTCATAAAGGTCAGACAACGTGTCCAGCTTCCAGTCCTCCTTCTCGATATTGATGTAAAACTGCTTGATACCCTCAAGCGTCAGCTCGTCCTTCTTGACCAAGATTCGAATAGGGTCCCGCATGAACTTGCTTGTGACGTCCATGACATCCACGGGCATGGTCGCAGACAAGAGCACGACCTGGGTGCTGGATGGCAGTCGCTGGAAGACATCATAGATTTGGTCCTTGAAACCTCTCGAGAGCATCTCATCCGCCTCATCCAAAACAAACATCTTGATGGAATCGGTCTTGAGGGCCCCTCGGTTGATCATGTCAAAGACACGACCGGGTGTTCCGACAACAACATGGCATCCCTTGGTAAGAAGAGCCATGTCATCCCGGACGTTGGTGCCTCCGATGCAAGCATGGCACTGCACCTTCATAAAGTCGCCCAGTGCCAATGCAACCTTTTGACTCTGCTGGGCCAGCTCACGGGTCGGGGCGAGAATCAGCGCCTGGCACTGTGGGTTGGTCATATCGAGCTGTTGTAGCACTGAGATGGAGAAGGTGGCCGTTTTTCCTGTTCCGGATTGGGCTTGCGCAATGACATCACGGCCCTTGAGCACGGGAAGGATGGCACGCTGTTGAATGGTGGAAGGGCGCTCGAAACTGTGGGATTGAAAGGCGTGAGAAAAAAAAAAAGATGGTGCGACGTAAGAAATCTGAAGTGATTGATATCTTCTGAATTACTGCAAGTGTTACAATGCAGAAGAGGGAGAGTAAACGTACCCATAAGCGTAGATTCCGCGAAGGAGATCCGGGTTGAGGTTCATGTTGTCGAAATTGTCGACGACTTCGTCCCAGTTGGACTATTAAGTCAGAGTGATGAAGTGTTCATGTAAGATTGGAGATACGATACTGCTGTCACTACTGTAGCGCCTGCAGCCATGTTGCTTAGCCTTACCTCGATCTCGCTGTCAGGAAGGTTGAGGCCTGTGGCCTGGTCATCGATAGTGGTCATGATGGAATGTGTGTAAGGAAAAGAGAAAAAAAAGAAAGGAAAAATCCACCGACGACGTCCTTTATATGTGTAGCCGAGAGAGGTCCGTGGCACGAGATCATAGTGTGACCGCATCTTCAGGCGAAGCATAGCATCCTCATTTGCTGCGGCGCAAAGAAAAGTAAAAGAAAAAAAGGGCTACGTCTGTGCGGTCCTGAACTTTCTTTTGTGGGTGCTACCACTCAGGAACTACAGCCGTTATAAAAAAAAAAAAAAAAAAAAAAAGGCCGAAGAAAGAAGGTGTACTGCGTCGTCAAATGTTCAAGTTGAGCCATCCAATAGGGCAGGGATCAGTAATCGGCGCACATAGAAAAGAATTGCTATCACTGGCCTCGTCTTCATCTCATTGCAACTTTAGCTAGAGCTTTTCCATATGTGAAATGGGCAGGACCGCATCGTTTGGCAGTTCGAGATGCTCTATCGAGTCCGTAGTCTAGACTAACCTGTCTACAATTCATAGAAGATAGATGCTGCGGCTCGCCCAAGTTGAATGCCTCATGTCCTCTATCGTCGAGCTCCTAGTCGGATAGGACCGCTCAATTTGACTCCTACACCCATTTCTTCCGTCGCGACAAAGCCAATCGCCAATGCTCAATGTCCATAACGGAGCTTATGATCGACCCGATGCAGGCAATTTTCCTTCTTGGTCGCTAAATCATAGCTGACAATCCACGGCACCCACTGGATAACAATGCCGCGCAGCAAAAGATCTGTCGTAACGAAGGAACGGATATATCCTGGATGGCTTTCTCATATTGGTCTCACATTCTCTCTGCCTCATCTCTCGCTGTGAATCGCTAGTACAAACTTGGCCGCTAGTAACTTAATTCAAGAAAGAATTGATATAAAAAACTCTACAAACACCAAGCCAACCCTAACCGCCATTTAGGCTCGGCCCAGCTCCTCTACTGAAGGTGGCCAAAAATGGAAACAGGATGTTTCCTGGCCTCTTTTACAGACAGAGAGGGCTGGGCCGAGCCTAACCGCCATTATTATTTTTGTGTTTTCCTTTCCTCCTTAGCATCCGAGAGCCCATTGCACGTTACACGAGGGTGAGGGAATAATCTGACTGCAAGCATGGCTCCGTTTGGTGAATGCTGCAACAATGGATGTGCGTTTCTGCACTCTTTTCCCCTCTTTCGCACTTTCCCACTTTCCTACTTTCCCTTCCTCCCAGATTCACCCTCCCTCAATCCATCTCACTCTTCTGTCTGTCTCTCGTACGTCTCTGCTCGTTCTCAATAAGCACAGTCCAGCGGTGACTCATTGGTAATAAAGACACAGTTTATCTGCAGAAGCTCCATCCCTGAATGTGCCTGAACAACCACAGTCGAGCCAAGAGTGCTAATGCTAGAATGGCCGAGATCAGGGAACAGCCATTCATGTGCAATGGATAATAATCCCCTCTTTCATGATCACAGGAATCTCTGTTAGAAGTGACGAGGGAAGCGAATATCATTCCACTCGACCGCCCTATTCGTGTGCAAACCAGGCCGCCTTAAACAAAGAGTTAGAGTAGAGAACATTGCGCAGGGACGGACTATCTCCTCGGCTGGTGAAAGAACTCGAGAGCCGGATTCCTGTTGAGGTGAGGCACTGTTTCTTGTCACTCGATAGTAGCCTATAGGCATGTTTCAAGGTTATTAATCCTTCATGCTTCACGATGGGCAGTTGGTATCGCTGCTAAGAGGCACGGAGAGGAAAAATCTTCAGGACTACCTCTGCATCCAACTCAAAGGAAACAAGAGTCAAAAAACACTTCCAAGGTAGGCTCCATCACTTGGCAGAGCACCCACATATGATGTGGCTCATGTAGTTGCTATGGATATTAATGCTTTGATTTACGATAGCTCATTCTGCTACCACTGCGTCTGTAGTATACCAGCCCACTGCGACCTATTGGTTCCCATTGCGTTACTAAAGTGTCTGTCAATTATAAGTACGTATATTGGCTACTCGCACAGGTATATCAATCGACCATAAGGTCACTAATATCGCTGCCATCTGCTATATGATAACAGGAGAAACCCCCTCAGAGAAGCAACATGTTTGACAGAACTTTCTTATCACCGCGAAAGGCTCTCTCACCACAAAAGGAACTGAAACTCGTCAGCGTTTACGTGGAGAATGCGCGCAAAATCGAGGATCAGGAAATTGCCTTAGTATTGTGCGACGACGCAGAGGCTGCGTTATCCCGGATGAAAAGAACTGCGAAAAAGACTCTTATAACTCCCCTGTCCGCCGAGGATCAAGCCCTACGCGATGGATTCGCCGGCGCCTGTCTCGAGCATGCTAACCTATTGGAGAGTTTAGGATATAGCGAAAAGGCGCAGGTCGGTTATAAGAGGGCAGAAAAGTGGGGGTAAGTGACAGGTACCTGCTCTTTACTTGTTCGCATTAGCCGGCTATATCGTACATCGTACCTAACGCATTTCTCAATTTGTTGACTGTCCTCTGACTTCAACAGCCATGTGCGTCCTTCAAAAGATCCAGGTCCTACAGTTTCCTCTGCCACCGACAGCGCCTGCCGCGACATAGCATGGGTCCCTGAGGATATTTTTCCCGATGACATGCGTCAACCCATCGTCAAAATCGCGTTACCAGAGGCAGATGAGCGACTCAGCGATACCTCTCAGCTCGCCTACTGCCTTAGCCTCCTGCAAGTGACGCCATCGCCCGAAGAGGTTTTTGAACCAGCTGCAGGAAATTGGGTGAAATCCACAGAGAAGAATGCAGAGGAGAAGGAGAGACTCAGGACGCTGGCGACAGATGTGGTCCGGGCATTTACTCGCGATGAGCTCAAGGATGCCAAGGCCGTCGCAGAAGTCGTATGCCTGGCCCCAGTTCTTGAAAAAGAATATTTCCACTCTCTACTCATGCACTTTGTCGATGATGTTGACAAGTCCAGCCTGCTGGATGTGCAGTCCCTCGAAGGGCTGGCGCAGTCGGTCCAAAACGCTCCCGAAGGCTATCTCGACTCGGATGACCTAGCGACGATCCTGCGCAACCTCAACACCCGTCTACAGGATACTCACGCTCAATCTTCAGATCATATCTGCCGTCTTACGCTCGCAGTGTCCAATGTCCTAGATGCCATGGCTAATGCCAAGGTCTCAGGCTTAAAGCGTGTAGAGCTGCACGAGCCACTCTCTGCCTATTTGAGTGGACTGCAAGCCAGCAGCGACCCTTACTTGGTGTACCAGGCTGCCTACGCCTTCCAAGCACTGCAGTGTGTCCCAGACAACGAATCACCCTGGCAAGCAACAATGCGGCGTAC